AGCGGCAGGACTTATCAATAATCGCAGGATTATTCCCGATACGGCACACGCGGCATTTATCAAGGCTTGCAATTACTTTAAGATCAAGCTGCACCGCGTGCCTTGCCCGGAGCCCGAGTTCAAGGTCGACGTGCACGCTGTTCGCCGTTTAATCAACCCCAATACCGTCCTTCTTGTTGGATCAGCACCTAACTTCCCCCACGGCATTGTTGATGATATTCCCGCTCTATCGCACCTGGCCACCAAGTACAAGATCCCTCTCCACGTGGACTGCTGCTTGGGATCTTTCGTCGTTGCGCACCTCAAGAAGGCCGGCTTCCCCTCTCCTTACGAGGAAGAGGGTGGCTTTGACTTCCGCCAGCCCGGTGTGACCAGCATCAGTGTCGACACTCACAAGTACGGGTTCGCCCCCAAGGGTAACTCGGTCTTGATCTACCGCAACAAATCATACCGAAACAACCAGTACTTCATCTACCCTGATTGGTCCGGCGGTGTTTATGCCTCTCCCTCCGTGGCAGGCTCCCGCCCTGGCGCTCTGATCGCCGGTTGCTGGGCCAGTTTAATGAGTGTCGGCGAAACCGGATACATCAACAGCTGCACCGATATCATCAACGCGACGCGGAAGTTCGATACAGCTGTTCGGACCGATGCGACTATCTCACTGCACATGGAGGTCATTGGTAACCCGATCGTTAGTGTGGTCGCTTTCCGCAGCAAGAACGGTGCCATTGACATCTATGATATCGCCGATGACCTGTCCGCCAAAGGCTGGCACCTAAACGCCCTGCAATCTCCACCGGCTATCCACTGTGCCTTCACTATTCCCACCGCCAAGGCTGTCGACCAGCTCATTGCTGATCTGATTGAAGTCATCGGCAAAGAGCTTGAGAAGGCCGAGCAGCGCAAGCGCGAGGGCAAATCGTATATTCTCAAGCGCGGTAATACCTCTGCTCTGTACGGTGTGGCTGGCAGCATTCCCGACAAGAGTATCGTTAGCCGTCTGGCGGAAGGCTTCTTGGATACATTGTACAAAGCATGATTCTTGGAATGAACACCTCTGTTTTCCTTGTTTGTATCCTCTTTGCTCGGCCTGTCCGGACTGCTTCCGCCGCATAGTCCTGGTGTCTCCTAGCTGTCCTTACCTAAACTGCTGGCGCAGTGGCGTTATCATTACACAGGTTCTTTTAATTGCACATATTTGTTTCAAGTGTTAGATTCCACTAGACGGTAATAATGCATATAATACAATAGTTTGCCAGAAAGACATTCGCCCGATAGATGTGGACGTAGAGTACATGACCAAAAGAGAAAAGAAAAGCAACCCGCTCCATGCAAGCAAAGCCAAAACAGAAAAAAGAGGACGCGATCGATAAATCAATCAATCATCCGTCCGAGTGAAAGGCATTTCCAAAGACCCAAATTCCATCTGAGTCTTCAAGACCAGCGAAGAAATCCCAGTCTGAAAAGCATCCCGTTCCACGCGGAGCTCAAGGACAACAATCACTGACCACCGAGTTCCCCCGCTGCTCAGTGCAGCTCTTTTCGGTATAATATCCAGGATCAGGCTTGCGCTCGAGATGCACCTCTTGTTTCGTGAGGCGGTACTGGCACTCTTCGACCTGAACGAGTTCTTTGACTTTCATGATCTGACCCGCGACGGAGGGCGAGACGCTGTGGAAGACTGTTGCCATACGCTTTTTCAAGCCAAGAGCCTTGAGGACATCCGTTGAGCGGCGCGGGAGTCCAATTGCAGAGCGGATGAGGGTGATGCGGAAGTAGGACATGTTGGATTGTGGAGATCAACTGATATTCGGATGTTTATTCTTTTGATGGATGATGGCTTGGTTGTCCGGAGTTGTGGAGTCGGACTCGGGATGGACGGAACGGAGTGTGGTGGATATAAAAGGATACTAGGGTATCGGTGGATGAGACTTTGCAGCCGATATCTGCAGCGCAATTGATCCTGTGATCTGGTGGAGAAACGTCGCGGACTTGGAGATGATCGCGATCCCGCAAATTCAATTAGAAGGCGGTAGATCACGTGTGTATTCTGCCAGACATCCGATGACAGCAGCGACGACAACCTGCCGACCTGTAATAGCTAATATAGTATTTCACATTTTGAAAGCGGAGACTATGGGCTGCGCTCTTTCCGGCGTGACAGTACCTTGATTTATGTCATAGCTCGCTGCTGCGTACTACCTTCCCGCAGGCAACGCTCCATGCCCGCATTGTTGACACCTCACCCCTCGACCTAGCTTCGAGCGATTGAGCCGGAACAACGACACCACGAGATACCTGATACCATACCACGACTATGGCGCAATCTAGTAACATCGATACTACGGTCGCGCTGCCGCGACTCGAAGACCTCCTTCGGCACCCGGAAGATCTAGATAAGATCAGCGGTCTCAAAGCGGAATACCTGCGGAAGAAGACGGCAGTTGATTCACGGTTGCGCGAAGGTCTGCGAGATCAGCTGGAGGCCGTGCAACGCAGCATTGGTGCTCTGACTGAGGGCCAGCGACAGGTCTCAAAAACAAAAGACGAGCTTCAGGGCATTGACAAGCTGTGCGCCGAGTCGCAGCATAGCGTGGAGGACTTTGCGCAGATTGACCAGCTTGCGCGGATCCAACGACATTTTGATGCTACGCTTATGATGAAACGGGGACTGGAGAATTTCGGCGCGGATATCCAGGAAGTGGAGGATTTGCTTAAAGAGGATGATGATGATATGGAGAACCAGCCTAATATTTTGCGGGCTCATATGCAGATCTCGAGGTTGAGGGATTTCCGTGACGAGGCTATGGATCAGATCCGCAAGGCGGAGGACCAGAGCTTCGAAGAGACTCTGATACAATACTTTGAGGGGCTGGATTCTGTTATTGAGTGGTTCGATGACCACCTTGGTACGGCTTGCATGAACCTCATTCCATTGGTGCAGGCGGACAACAAGAGCATGGTTGTGCGACTTGCTGTTGTTGTCTTGAACGAGGAGAAAAATGATGATACAGTCCGAGCGTTGCAGGAGGCCCAGAAAGACCACAAGGACCTCGCAAGTCGTTTCAAGTCTATGAACATTGGTCCCAAGACCGTGCGGGGCTACAAGGACAAATTCATCCAAGCTATTGAGCTTTACGCCCAGGGTCAATTTGAGGAGACCCTCGAAAACTTCCTTGCTGATCCAGAAAATCTGGAAAAGAAATTCCGGTGGTATTTCAATGATCTATTCACGGTCAAGCAAGGCATGCAAAGCCTTGTCCCGAAAAAATGGAAGATATTCAAAACATATACCGATATATATCATCAGATGATGCATGACTTTCTGCTCAGCATGATTGACGACACCGAAGTCCCAGCCGATAATCTGCTCAGCATCATTCACTGGAGCGACAAATACTACAAGAAAATGAAGAAGCTTGGCTGGACATCAGCAGACCTGCAACCCAACATTCTCGACGACCGCGAACCAGAACTAGTCCGAAAGTGGCAGGACGTCATCATCACCGCCGTCGAAGAATGGATGGACCGTATTTTCAACGCAGACAAAAAGTCTCTCGTGGAACGTGCCGCAGACGCCCTAGACAACAACGCAGAAGGCTACTTCCGAACCAAGACACTGGCCGACATGTGGCGCATGCTCCACGAACAAGTGATGGCCTCAGGGGCATCAGACCGCGCAGACCTAGTAGAGGGCATCATCGACGCCATGTTCCGTGCCTTGAAGACCCGACAGACCTCCTGGCAGAACCTCGTGGACGAAGAATGCTCGAAACACCAAGTTGAAGGCGCGGACCAAGAAGGCGTGCAGCTGTTGCAAGACTGGCTGATCGGCATAGCCAACGACCAGATCTCCTGCATCGACGACAACGAGGAGGGCGGCCAGTTCGGCTACCTGACGCGGTTCAAGTCCGATTTCGAGCCTATGGTCACACCCAAGTACATGGGCACCACTGCGACGATCGAGCTAGATGCGCTGCGCGATGGCTACGTGGATCTCAGCACGCACTGCCTGGCGCAGTTCGTAAGCCTTGTCTTCTGGGTCGATCTGGGCACTGTCCTGCCAGACTTCTTCACGTCCCGCTGGTACGGTGAATTCGCCATGAAGCGTATTACCACTACCTTCGAAGACTACATGGCCGACTATGCCTCTGTGCTACACCCATCCCTGGCTGAGATTCTGGTCGAGGAACTCTCGGACGAGCTTCTAGTGCGGTACCTGTCTGCGGTGCGCAACAAGGGTGTTAAATTCCGCCGCAATGTCGACCCCTTCACAGACAAGTTCAAGGACGACGTACTTACTGTCTTTGCATTCTTTGAGAATTACCCCGACTCTTTCGAGGGTACTATCAAGCAGAAATGGCGACTGGTTGATTGGCTTGTTCGCCTCCTTGCTACTGAAAAGGGTCCCGCGCTAGTGGAGGTCTATGAAGCATTCAAGCTTGAGTACTGGGATCTGCAGCTTTCGTGGGTTGAGGCTGTGCTGCGCACCCGTGATGATTTCGAGCGCAGCATGCTCACCGCCGTCAAGGCTAAAGCTGCGGAGTTGTCTGTTGAACGGGGACAGGAGACCATCATGAGTCGGTTGAGATAATCTGTCGATACTTGATTCTTTCAGCCACACTCGTATTCCCGATTCATGTCAGCTCCATGCAACCAACCGCGCTTAGCCTTATTCATCGCACTGTCACGGGACTCGGGTTGATGTACTAGCCATTTGGCTTTCATTGTCCCGTTAGAATCTCAGACAACTCTTCATAAGAGGTCGTAGAGCTTCCCTTCGTGGCTCAGCCGATGCCGAGCTGCAATTTAACGCAACTCACTCCATGATGAGCAAGCCCACCCACATGTACCATCCGCAACCCAAGCAGGCTTGGGGTCAGTTTACTCATTAATACTACTAGCAATACAGCAATGGAAGCAAATACCTAAAACCATTTAGCTTTCTCATAAATATGTCCCAGCTGAGGACTCTATTTACATAGATCATCCCTAATTTATTATTTTCCGCTGGATGGCAGGCTGTTACATGGGGGCGTTGTGTTCGACAGGGGAGGTGATGATAGTCGTGGATTCAGACTCCGTTCTGCAACGACCGTATACTTCTCGCCGAGTCGTTCATTCAAACCATGACGGTCGTCAACCCCAGGATATAGTTTCCTGGCGCCCATTTCGCAGATGCAGATAGTATCCAGAGGAATTTCCCTTGCCCAAATGAAAGGATAACGCTGTGACGGTGTGGGAGGAGTAGCCGAATGGTTTTCATGCTTGGTGAGAATAATGTTTTTGTTGGGGATTGGTGAAGATTTTGCACGGTGGTGGTGATGATGGTGATGATGGCTTTCGTTGTTCTCAGGAGAGACACTGGGTCCTGGGTGTGGGATAGTTCGGCTGTCATCAGAGTAATAATTACAATATTGTGAGATCAGGCTGCGAGCATCAAATGTAAGGCGTTTAGGTGGACTCTTGTTTTTCGCGTCCTTGTTCTGGCCTTGTCGTCCATGAACATAAATGGTATTGACAATAGTCGCATGCAGGAGGAGTGGTCGCTGTTTTGGTTCTCGGGTTGTTATAGCTATGGATGGATCCGGGGTTCTCGGCACGCTTGGGGTTGCAGAGGGAATTTGGCTTTCTCGTGGGTGTAAAGTCACATCACTAGGGATGGTAGCAGACCCAGAGGCCACAGGAAAGTCTTGGACAAAGCGATTGGCAGGCTTTTTTTGTCTTCCTGCTGGTCTTCTGTCGGGCTCACTTTGGATGAAGCCAGCCTCGATGAATTTGTCACGTAGCTTTATGCAAAATGGAAGCAAGCGGCCTGTAGGATCGACAGGTGAAGCATGTAGTATAGTTGCTGATTGGCCTTGGGGTAGAGCATGTAATGACTCGAGAGAAACAGTCAAGGGCGATGATTGGTGAAGGGTACTTTTCTGTTGTGTCTGAGCGGCGACTCGCTCCGCCTCGTTCATTAGGTCTGCTAGGTCGAGGGATTGGAAAAAAGCAAGAGCTTGATCGAGCCGCTCTTTATTGGCGAGACTCATCACTCCAAGAGTAAGATGAAGTGTGCCCAGTGGACGAAAGGCCGTGCTGGGAAGACCCAGGCGGGAGGTGTCCCCTTGGCCATTGGAGGACGATTGAGAAGCTGGCCCAGGATCAGCGATATGAGCTGACTTGAAGGTCGCGAGCGATGCGTCCAGCTGCGGCAGCGATTTAGTGTTTACCAGAGGGAGACACAAGAAATGAGTGAGTTGCGGCCGCTTTTGCCGCTTTTCGGGACGTGGTTTGCGGGGCTGATGTCTTGACATGCCTGCGGCTTCCGTCATGATGAACCTATATCCCCATGAATGTGACAACAGCATGAGGGTAAATAAATGCCCGGACGAGCCAGTCGCCGAAATCACCTCTGGATAGGTAGGTAGTGCCAGGAAGAAGTCGGAAGTAGGTAAACTTAGGTTCAATACGCACGGACCAGGATCCACAACCTTGTATCAACCCCCTCCACTGGTGGAGATTTGTATATCTCTTGCCCATCGCTGAGCTACAAGTCACACTAAGGATCTTCAATCTCTCTAGCATGGTCCCCATACTGAAACCCTCTGCTAGCACGTACCCGTTCCCCATACTTGATCAAAAACAACGGACAAGGCGAGAGAACTAAAACCACACATCCTAGAAGCGTCCCACCCCAGTGATACCCCAACGCATCAAATAAGGGCGGCCCCGCAAGGGGCAAGAAGGCAGCGGTCGTGTTCCTCGCCACCATCATTGCACTGATGGCACTGACGGCATAGATACCAAATGAGTCTACAATATAGGTCTGTAACGAGATGGAGGTCGCTGCGAGCCCAAGGCCAACAAGTGCGGTCCCCAATATCGGCACCACAAACTGAATTCGATAATGGACTGTCCATCCGAAGAGAAAAAGGCCGGCGGACATCAATAGACAGGCTGGTAGGAGCAGAGGAAGACGCTGCTCTGGAGCAAATACTTCTGACCGTGCTTTGGCTCGCTGGATATATCGGTCGAGGAGGAAGCTGCAAAGCAAAGCCCCGAATCCGAGTCCGAGACATAGACCTAGGAATGCGAGACCAGAGGATCCCTCGGAAAATCCGAACGTTCTTGGAAAACCGGCGCGATAGTGGTCATAGTGATGTATGTATATCCGTACACGATGCTGAGATAGATTGTGCTTAGAAGGAGGGTTGTAGAGCGAATTAGAAGAGTGAGCGGACGGACGCTGGATCTAAAGAGTTTGTGGCTTATCGTTTCATTTCTTTCGTACCTTGATCGCTGTTCCGGTTTGTCTGTTTCGCGGTGAAGCTTCTTTGCCTTGCGCTCCAGGATGATGACCTTGTATGTCTCACGGTATATGATTAGCATAAGAACACTAAGGACACCGGAGATGATTGTAGGTAACCAGAATACCCATCTCCAGCCTGCTCTTTCGCCAAGATATGAGCCGATGACGGGTCCTATAACTGGGCCTACTACACCTGCCAGTGACATGACGGACATGGCGCGGTATTCCTCTTCAAATAAATCTTTCACTATGCCTGGGCCTATCGGTGAACATGCCGTCGCAAGACCACTGAGAAACCGAAACGCGATAAGGGTCTGGATGTTGGGACTCAGTGCTGTCCCGGCAAGGAAGACCACGAAGAGGAGGTTGGCAATGTTGAGAACCCATCGTCGACCGTAGAGCTCGGAAAGGGGGCCCCAAAACAAAGGGGAGACGATTTCCCCTAGTTCCCATATCGAAACGATGAGGGTGCGGTACAAGACATTTGTTGAATGGAAATCTGCGAGTATCGGAAGAGTGACAGGTGCTGCGATGATGGTGCATAGTTGACTGTTCGATAGGGTGGATAGTTAGTGGGAAATAAAATAAGGATGAGGAACTCACTGTGCACTTACAGTTCAGCGGATAGACAAGCGATGAGAATTATAATCGACCATTTCCATCTCTTGGGCCAGTTTATCGGGTTTGTTGGATCATTGTCGCAAAGTCCACCACACTGCGTGTTACATCGGTTCTCGGGGTGATATTGTTTTCTTGTGATTGGCCAAGAACATTCATCTCCATGCTGGATTAATAGATTACACAAGGGCCGGGAGAAGGAGAGGTCAAAAGATGGAAGTGTGGGAGGAAAGGAGTGGACATTTACGACTTCCCAACGTTCTATTTATGGTACCAACCTACTTCAAACATATCATGCATGTTATCGCTATGCTAGTTTGAAAAATCCACAGAATATCCTTGCTCCTTGAAGTACCGACTCATAACCGGAAAATGCTCACTATCCGGCCGACAAAAAGCATACCGATCAATACTGTGAACAGGTGGCTCGTAATCGTTTCCTCGTTTATAGCAAGCATTACGGTCCGGATGTTTCGCCCAGGCGATCAATTTATCAAAGTTCTTACACTTTAAAACCTGACCCTCACCGGCCGCATTAACCAGCTCGAGAGATGGCATGGGAGTGTCGTCTGCTTTGCATATGAGGTCCTGCCGCAGGGTGTCGAGACAATGTTCGATATGGGCAAATTTGACATTATTCTCTTCTTTCGACATGAGCTGTTTGATGGCTCTGCGGATATTTTTCTATGTTGAACGGTTATTCTTTTTGTCCTAATTGCGAAGGATACAGTTTCAATCACCCCGGGGCCAGTATAACCGCTTACTTACCAGACAATGTAGCTGATGAATGACTTTCATGAAATAGATCTTTCGTTTCGGGTCCCACGGAAAGTCCCATGAGTCCGTAAGGCCCATATCCTGGGCCCATTCGATGGTTGGGGCAATCACCATGGCATCAAGATTGATACTGTCCCACATCTTGTCAGAGTGCGTCATGTTATCCCCGTTGTACTCGGTATGAAGGGAGTATCGGGTTGGAACATCAAATGCTAGTCCCGCTATGGATGCATTGACGTTAAAGATGCAATAGTTTTTTTCGGAGGAAAATACAGCCACTTACTATAAGGAGATCGATGATTTTCAGGGTTGTTGTAAGATTTTATTTCTTCGCTTAGACCACGGGGCCGGGTTTGAAACAAGATCGACCATAGATTGAGTGTTAAAGATATGAACAGTGAAACGACGAGTAGTGTTGTCCCCCAGCATCTGATTCTTGATAGCCGTGGGTCTGGCCGATCAACTTCTGTGTCGCTTTTGATGCCTTGTTCTAGCTCATTTTGGTTGTCAATTCCACTCTTCTCATATTTGCACGGCATAATTGGAGGTCCTTTCGGGTTAGTATAGATTATCCAAACCCTTGAAGAGGCAGTGGTTGTGCTTTAAGCTAGTCTGCCATCTACATAAGACAGATAAAAGCCAATCCTAAGTTGCTGCCAGCTAGATTCTAAATGTTATTGCCGAATACGTAGCTAAGTCGTATGATACGGACTGTGGCCCAGGCAACATTCTTTCGGATTGCCGGATATTCGTTGAATCGATGGCCTGCGCAACCACATTGTCCTCCCGTCTTGTGTTTGATTGAGTTGTACTGTGATACGCGCCAATGCTTCTTTCTCGGATAGGTTAGGCTGCATGAGAGTATGACTTGTTAAACAGAGATTCGGGATGTAACATTCGACCATTCACTTGGCGCAAGGCGTCCTTATCACATGTTCCCTTGTGCAATCGATGAATATTCTCAGTCGTACAACGCCAAGGATGTGCAAGATTTCAATGTGAATTATAGAAGCTGTTGTAGTCTCTTAAGTTGTTAGCCGCTCAGACTGTTAATCACTGTCTATTTTCTCATGTAGCTTCTGCCAAAGGAGTGAAGCGCATAAATTCAGCATACAACACCAATATACCAACAACTCCTATTTATTCCAAAATATCCTCTATTGTTTGTAGGTCTATTCCCTCAAATAACCATCTCTTGCTCCTTGAACTTATGAACAGCTTTTGTCAACCAAGCCAGCCTCGGTTTGCGTGAGCATCCACATTAGCTCACCATCTCCACGACAATGTGGTTCTCCATGACCATCGTCCTTACTCTGGCTTCTTTGGCAATGTGCAGTCCATTGAGTTTCACAAATTATGAAACAAGTTCTGAAACAGTCGCTTCATTCGACAATAGCAAATATGGTAAATCGACTCGACCCGGTGAGATAGTGGTGGCTGGAATAACCAAGTGAAGGTACAAACACCAAGGACTTGATCTTTCGGACATATTTATCTCTTATGTGTCCCATTTTGTCCCGTATTTTCTTTTTCTGCTACGATTTGAGAGCAATTACACTGGAATAATCAAGTGAATGAAATTGTGCCCCTTGACTAGTTACGGGGTCGAACCACTATCCAAAAGCCTGATTGATCTCGATCCATGCCATGATCCCGTAGAATCTAGCCCAGCTGGTTTAAACATGCCACTGGGGAAAGATTCCAAAAATTCACGAAGGAACGGTACACAGGTCGAGATAATTGTCACTGTGTGTAGGACCTGGCTACACATCATCCAGGGCCAGAGACTAATTGATAGAGAACGGCCGTCGTTGTCAAATCCGTTTACATGGCGTAGCTGAATACCCGACACGACTATATTTCTGCTCCACGGGAGTTCATCGGTCAGTCAAGTTCGGTACAGTATAGAAACCGGAATGGGGGATTCACAGTATTCTAACACTTAAGAACGCAATAGCCACCAGACGTTTTTGTAATGGCATATGAAGCCGGTAGACAAGGACGCTCGGAACGATGAACAATAGGCTTTCGATTGCTATATTGATGACACCAAAGTATTTCCACAATGCGGCCTTCCAGCAAGTTAGCAAAATCCAAGATAACAGTATGGGACTATGGGTGGTGTACTAAATTAAAGCATTTCCCCGAAAGATCCCAGACTTTGGGTGGTTGGCATTGAAGGGATACCACGATTGTCATCGTCAAGGTCCAGAGTACTAAAAAGCACACGACTGCCGAGATGCTTCTTGTAATGGCCGTGAGGCTGCTCCCGGAGAGTATCGTATAGAAGATAACCATGAACGCCAGTTTACCTAGGCCAACTGTGATGACGTGAAATATCTCTGACACATAGATCGCCTTGAACAGACCAGGTAATTGATCTCCTGCGTCATTAGATAAAGATCTACCTAGTCCACGCGTGGCAGCAACGGAAGTAGTGGCTCCTGCAATTGTGGATGATGCCTTTAGATTGTAAGCTTACTATTCCAGTCATAATCAAAGGTGTCTGATAGTTTATAATTACCAGAGTGCCGAGAAGGAGAGTCAAGACCAGAATCTTGCGCCTGAGCAGATTCCAGCTTGTGAGAAGGCAGGTAGCCACCGCTCCAATTGACACAATAACTAAAAACAAAGATAAAATCTTGAGTGTTGAAGTTTGGTCATCCATATTACAGCAAAATGGACGGGATCCCGCATAGCTGCTTCATCTGGTGATAGTCGATGATTATCTCACGGCCCACTTAACGTAGGGTATCTAGACTGGATATAATAGAAAATACCTATTACCCACGTACCTTTGCAAAAGTAGCTTCCACCTCCCCGACGAGAACCCTTGTCCATATTAGCTTACCGTGGAAATCATCGCAAAATTCACTATGAAAAGTCTGGGTGGTAGCACGCGTGTCACTAATGCCATAATATGTATTTATTCAGCCTCGAAAGGAAACGACAGACTACAAGCTAAATCCTTGTAGTTCTTGCATTTTGGCCCGCTATCGGGACAATACCATATCTTCAATAAAACCAACACTTTGCAGAAAACGGAAGCTTTTCCGGTGCAGTCAGATTCGCCGGTACCGTCAGCAGATGGTAGTCTGTGTGACAGAATGCGGCCTCTACTGTTCTGTCTATTAATGTTGATTGGCGCTCCAGCGTTGTCCAGTGTCGCAAGGGTCCCCCTGTCATCTCATCATTTGTACCACCCCAAGGTACTGCTCTTCATGAAGCCTTCAGTACGTTCGTACTTCAGGTTGTCCCACCTCGAATATTCAAATTGGCGTAATTTGCCTATGAGACGGCACCACCAACTTCCCCTTAGCCCCTCCCCTGTTTGTTCTCTGTTTCCTTATAAACTTCTGCTGGTTATAAACATATATCCTTGAGTAACCGTTCTTAGCCATCCATTGTGTACTATATTCTTCAACGTATCATACCGAATCCAACAACATGAATAGGCGCGTGGCAAGTAATAGTGAGGCTGAGATACCGCTAAGAATTGCCAAGTGCCATTCATCACAGGACAGAGAGGATGCAATTACATGCAGTCGAGACGCATATGAGCTAGCGAGGGTTGGAAAAAGGGAGGTGTTGAAGGTACAAACTATCCAAAGTAAATGTTCTTCATTTTTTGATCTCTGTTTTAACTGACATAGTTCCCTAGCGGAGGTTTGGGTTGGCAAGTACCGTGGGGTTTGCCTGTAGCTTGATGCTGACATGGGAAGCTGTCATTATGTCCGTTCTCCCTTTCGATGTCTTGCGCAAGCTAACCCAGACTTAGTAACATTGGCATCGGGTTACCAAAGTGAGTCTGACTCGCCAGATATCCTAAGGTTGTGCTTGATATTCATCCAACACCTTAGTGGAGGACCAGCCGGTTTGATCTATAGCTATATCGCAGTGTGGATTGGCTTCACCAGCATCTTTATTGCGCTGGGAGAATTGGCAAGCATGATCCCTTCAGTATGGCTCTATACCCGGAGACTATTGGTGGTAAACCTCTAATACATGGGTTTGCTAGGCTGGGGGTCAGTATCATTGGGCGAGTATACTTGCCCCGAAATCCTCGACGAGGTTTTTCAGCCATGTCACTGGTATTTAGAGAGATAATTCTTCTCCTCGGATATATTCAACCATGGACTAAGACATAATAATCACAGGCTCAATTTGCATCGTTGCCTGGACTGCCGTTCCGACTGGAGCTATCTACGCGGCTGGAAGCATCTTTCAGAACTGTTTTGCAATGACCCATCCAAGCTACGAGCCCAAAGGGTGGCATGTGACGCTAATAATGTGGGCACTCTTGCTCATCTGCACAGTGCTGAATACATGGCTAGGGATGATACTTCCCGTGTTGGAAGTCTTCATCGGCATTGCCCATGTGCTTGGATTTTTTGCAGTTCTCATACCGATTATCTACCTCGGGCCGCGCGCCGATGCAAGATCTGTCTTTATTCAAACGTATAATCTGGGCGGTTGGCGGGATGTTACACTAGCGACATTGGTTGGCCTGAAAGGAACGGTTGCTGTGTTTTTAGGTGAGTCTTTGGGGGTACTCAATGTTTGATATTAACTAAAAGGGGTTTCAAGGCACGGATGGCGTTGTCCATGTTAGTAATCGAGGACTCAAGATCTCTCCTGTTTTCAGAACTGACGCTCTGCACAGATGGCCGAAGAGGTAGCGAATAGTAGTGTCGTGGTCCCGCACTCCATGTTGTTCGCCATCGCCATCAATGGAATCCTTGGATTTGCAATGCTGATCGCTTTCCTTTTTACCGCTGGAGACTTCACTGCGATCTTGAAGTCCCAAGCGACATTCCCGTTTATGCACATTCTGGAGAATTCCACCAAGAGCAAGGGAGCCTCAATCGTTCTCTCGAGTATGATAGCCATCATGCAGGCTTGCGCGGGACTAGGTGGAATCTCATCCGGTAGTCGCATGCTGTGGGCGTTTTCGCGAGAACGGGCTCTTCCAGGCTGGCGATGGATACATAAGGTACGTGTCACTCGGGGCAATATATTCACTTCTCTAATTGAAGAGGCAAGTAGCTGGACCGTCGGACCACAGTGCCCTTTCACAGTATTTGTATCATAGTCATCGCTGCAGGTTTAATTGGCCTCATCAATATTGGGTCATCGATCGTGTTGAATATTGTCTTGTCATTGCTGATGGAAGCGTTCTTTTTCTCATATATCATTCCCCTCTCGCTGCTGCTGTATCGAAGAGTTAGAGGTGATATTTTTGAGCCAGGCCAGAACTCCAACCAAGGACTCACCTGGGGTCCATTCCGGGTGAAAGGGGTTTGGGGGACATTGAATAACATTTTTGCATTGGTCTTCGCAGGCATTGTGGTGATATTTGGATTTTGGCCTGCGGAAAACCATCCGACGCCTGCCAAGATGAATTATAGCATCGCCATCTTTGGAGGAGCGATAGTCTTTGCAATGGTGTATTATTTTGGATGGGCACGGAAATATTACTTGGGGCCTGTGATGGAGGTTCAGTCTGTGGAACGATGAGATGGGATGGTCATACTACTATATATATATATACTTTATGGCAAACATAATCTCTTTTTCCTCTTTCTCTTTCTCTTTCTATTTCTTCTCCTGTAAAATCCCCAACCATGGCAGCCACAGATTTTGAAGTTCAAGAAATCACCACAAAAGATGAATTTGCGCGCTTAAACGACGTCCTCTGGACTGCCAATTTCCATCCATACGAGTTGAGTGTCGCATTTGACGATATCTACAATAAACACCCTGATTAACCTCACCCTTCCTCTAGACCCGCATTTACCATCTTCCACGCTGTCAACGGCCATACGGCAGAAGACCGTGCCAAAGACAAAGCCACCGATACAGACCTCCAATGGACCAAACACGAGCAGACCCCGGGTTCCCACTACATCTATGCCATCGAAAAATTAACCGGCCAAGTCGTAGGTGGCTGTGAATGGATATTTTACCACTCAAATCCCTTCCCCGGTGGCCCTGCCCCCGTACCTTGCACCTGGTACCCCGCCGGATCCGAGCGCGCCGAGTACGCCTCCCACGTCGCGACTCAATTCCTACGTCCGCGACAGATCTGGTTCCAGCGGCCTCACGCAGGTGTGTTATTTTCAGATGGGAACGGCGGATTTAATAAGAGCTGACCGTACTCATTAGGCGTGAATCGAATGGGTGTCCATCCGGAATTTCGGCGTCGTGGAATCGGGCGGCTTTTGATGCAGTGGGGTCATTACAGAGTTGATATTTTAGGGTATGAGTCTTTTATTGAATCGGGGCCTCTAGGGAGGTGGTTATTTGAGGGATGTGGATATATGAGGGTGATGGGGTTGCATATTGATTGCGAGCGAAAGAATCCCAGTGAAGAGTGGGAGAGACTGGTGCATGAGTGTCGACCACCAGGGATTCTGCTGCTTTGGAGACCTCCGCCGGGTGCATTGAATGAGAGAATGCCTGAGGGGCCCTGGGAAGTTACGTCTGACACGTGGAAATGGCCTATGTTTTCACATTTTGCATAATGGAGATACAGTCCCAGGCACAGAACAGTGTGTATATCCTATTTGGATATCTTCAGCTAATATTATCTTGTCCCTATCAACTAGCACCTAGTGTCCTCAGAATCCACAACCTTCTGTCAATCAAATCGTTGACGTTTATTTGGGATGCAGAAATACCTAGGTAACCCTAAGTTGATATAAACCCATGGGTGATACGCCAATTGATGACGCCTATCAACGTAAAAGATATCAACTTGAGAAGTCAATTCCATTCCCCCATCCCACTTAACTATTTCACTATGTTCCAATAATGAACAATCACCATACAATCACCCCGACGAAGATGAAATCCATATTCCAACGGCATCGACGAACAACCCAAAAGAAGACCCAACAGAAACCCCTACCAATCGACAATTTTCAAAGGATTCCACCAGAAATAGTGGAGATATTCTTCACATTCCTCTGGGTCACAGACCAAGTCTGCCTCGCACTCACTTGCAAATATCTCTTCGTTTGCTACCAGTCATTTCTTCGGGTGCGGAAAACGGGGGTCACTGAGCTCTTATGGCATGAACCAGTGTCGGAATTGCGTTTAGTTCGTCAACTGCAGAATGAGCGTTGGCAATACTGCTGGTGGTGTTACAAGCTGCACCCATTCTCTAGGTGGAGAGCTTTTCTATACATGTGGGGATATAGAAGAAAGTGCTGTCCCGTTCGTGACTTAGTCGGTTGGACGATACCTGATATTTGATGGAAATTCAAAGTCCATTAGTCTAAGTATCCTTCTGAGTCGTACTCTGCGACCATGTTGTTTGCCGCGGAACTCTCACGGATGGTAATGGGGGGTTACCTGTACTGCTTCCTGTTGTTTCCTGGTCTGTCCAAGTGAGGAATCCGTGAACTACAAAATACACAACACGGCCAATTGCTATTTTTCTCTTGATTCTTCCCCAAAATTATCTTGAAAGGCTTGAAAGGTAGTCATTAATACTGGATCTACCTGCATTCTGTGGTATAGACTTGGTTCTGGGAAGGTCAAATTGTTGTATGATGTTCAATTTCCATTATTCTTTCTTTTCATTGACTCCCAAGTAGTCAAGTTCAGCTTCTGTAGCCTGACTGTCGCCACCACACCCTTCCATCATATCCCCATACCACCCATCATGTTCCATCGCCTTGGACACCTCTGAAGTATTGATATTGCGCAAATGTGAATAGCCACTTGAATTTCCGATAAGAGTGATATTTCTTATGGGTAAAGGCAAGGCAGGAGAATGTTGACCGAAGTGTTGCGAGACTCCGCTGCCTTCGCCTTTTCCCGCTGGTGGTGATGTCGGCGTTGTTGACTTCCTTTTCTTTCTCCCATCCTTTTGTGTTTTGTTGTGTTTTGTTGTGTTTGAGATGACATCTTGTGATGGACACGGTTGTCTAGTTATGTTGTAGGGCATGACTCTCCATTGTAACTTTTGGCATTTGAAGGCAGGTTTGTCCCATAACAGACATAGATGCCAGATGTCAAAGTCACGACGACCCGGTGATGAATTCCACATGTTGCAACCATCCAACCCTTGGATGGCGACCACGGTCATGTCCCAGCAGACATTCTCAAATTTCAGAGAAATTCAAGGAATCGCCAGAGTTTGTCCCCGGCTGCATCCATCTGATCACAACACTGACCTTTGTGTCCGAAAGCCTGTTAACCGAGTCATACATTGCGATCTTTACTGGTGCCAGGAACATATTGCCAGGGAACAGATTTGCGCAGGCCCCCTACTGACCACCCAGCCCATCCCCAAGGACAATATTGGAAGCGACCGAGATAAGCTCCACCCATCCAACCAACCTCGGGAACCCACTTCATCGCACCTTCCGGATTATCCTTGGGGATGGGTAAGCCCAGCGAAATGGAACCGGTCCCCGAAACTTTACCGCGGCCTCCATACTGTGGCTCAAGTAGAGACAACATAGAATATTCACCACCTGACCGTTGTAACCTGGTAGCAAACCGAGATGCACAAGGCTGGAAAGATTCAACATCATTTTCTGATCGAAGCCGGAGCACTGAGGCTTCAAGTGTTGTCGGAAGAAATTCAATCATCTCCAGGAGAAATGCACCTAGACTTAGTTAGCGAATTGTACAATTTCGAGGGTGCAGGGGGCATAACCTCACTTGATCAAGATCAATCAGATGCTATTGAGCAACATGCAGGGCCAAGTAGCAAGCAAATCCGAGGCGATGGGCTAGTTCGTCTGTTTGGCGGTTGGTATAGACCTGGAAACCCAACAAGCGTCAGCAAAAGCTGGTAAGGCCCGTCATCGCAGAACTCTATCTAGCTATCTAAAGAGGTTGGTTTGTGGGGGTTGTCCGTTTGGGTTGTATTCAACCTCCTTTCCATGTTTGTCCACTCGGGGACCTTACCTGAAGATGTAGGATTGTGCGGTTATTCTGTGTTGTATGTTGGAGGTGGAGGGGTCAGTGCAACGCACTGGATTCCAAGCAAGCTGGAATAGACGGCGTGGATATGTGAGGATATCTGGTAAAAATCAACAAGCGTCAGCAAAAGCTGGTAAGGCCCGTCATCGCAGAACTCTATCTAACTATCTAAGAAGGTTGGTGTATGGGGGTTGTCCGTATGGGTTGTATTCAACCTTCTTCCCATGTTTTGTCCGCTCGGGGACCTTACCTGAAGATGCAAGATTGTGCGATTATTTTGTGTTGTATGTTTGGAAAGATCAGTGCAAAGCACTGGACTCGCTGGAATAGATGGCGTGGATATGTGAGGATATCTGGTAAAACCCAACAAGCGTCAGCAAAAGCTGGTAAGGCCCGTCATCGCAGAACTCTATCTAACTATCTAAGAAGGTTGGTGGATGTTGGTGTATCCAATCTCCTTTCCAAAAGATTTCCGCTGTGAGATCTCACCTGAATGTGCTGTGTGTGCTGTGTGTGGGTGGCCAGTGTATTACACCTTGCCCTGGAAATTGATTTGGAGTGGACCGGCATAAATTGCTGAGTCGGCTGTTGAAACCGAGGCGGTCCGGAAGGATCAAGCAGCTCTGGATATCAATTGGAGTGAGCAATTGGGTGATTTGTTGGTTTGGTCGCGGGTATGGAGATGTCTGGTAAAAACCAACAAGTGTCAGCAAAGCTGGTGAGGACTATCATCGCAGAACACTATCTAACTATCTAAGGAGGTTGGTCTGTGGGGGTTGTCCGTTTGAGTTGTATTCAACCTCCTTGCCATATGTTGTCCGCTCAAGAACCTCACCTGAATATGTAATGTAGAAATGCCTGGTGCGTGCTTGAATTGGTGTTTCAAGCATTGGGGATCAACCGTGTTCATGTTGGTATCTTTTGCAAATTGGCCCGGTGGTAGGGACGGGAGGTTGCTGGCAAAGACCAACAAGCGTCAGCAAAGCTGGTGAGATCCCGTCGCAGAATTCTAACTATCTGTGGAGGTTGGTTGATGTTGGTGTATCCAACCTCCTTTCCAATCTTTTTCCGCTGTGAGATCTCACCTGAATGTGCTGTGTGGAGATGGAAGATTGGGCATTTGTTTCCGACATTGATGTCGATGTTAACGTTGGTAATGATGGCGGTTGTAGTTTCATGGCCTGTGGGCTTTTTTTCGTCCCGTGGTGCAGGCTGGGGTTATCTTTCATCCCGCAAGGCCCTGTTTGATGCCAGAAAGGAGGCAAAAATGCAAAAACATCACTAAAGGCAGAAGGAAGAAAAGGTTTCCCTGCGTCAGCCAATGGACTGGTGAGGTCTTCCACTCCTTGCGAGCCAAAAGAACCCTGGGGTTGATAACGCTGAAGTTCTCACCTGGTAGATGCGACTGCGCAGTGCTCGTGGTGGTAGTAGGGTAGAAGGTAGAAAACGCTATAATCGAATCCTAAAGGCAGAAGGAAGAAAAAGTTTCCCTGCATCAGCCAATGGACTGGTGAGGTCTTCCACTCCTTGCGAGCCAAAAGAACCGTGGGGTTGATAACGCGAGAGTTCTCACCTGGTATGAAAGTCAAGTACGACTGTGAAGTGTCTCTGGTGGTAGTAGGGTAGAAGGTAGAAAACGCCGTAATCGAATCCTAAAGGTAGAAGGAAGAAAAAGTTTCCCTGCATCAGCCAATGGACTGGTGAGGTCTTCCACTCCTTGCGAGCCAAAAGAACCGTGGGGTTGATAACGCTGGAGTTCTCACCTAGAACATAAAGGCTCTCACCATGGGGTCATTCATCCCATGAGAGAGAACACATCATAGAGAGTCGACATCCATCACAGCATGGACTGGTGTTTTGGTCTCTGCAATTCATTAGCCAAGTAACAGGATAACAGGTTCCGACATTGCTCATTGATGTGGGACATGGGGGAATGGGTATGCATAGATAAATGACAGAGTATCAGGAGGCAGGCATGATGCCATGATGTCATGGAGTTATGGGACCACCTGTAACGATACCATGATCAGACAACCCCATGGCGTGGCAGGGATGGGGTAAAAAGGGAAAGGACGGAAGAGATAACAAAACAAGACACGAAATGCGTAGACGTGACGAGACATAGAAGTGGAAGAACAAATGGAAGGCACATATGGAAGGGACAGATGGAAGGAAGGGACAGAAGGAAGGAGCAGATGGAAGGAAGGGACAGATGGAAAGAGCAAATGGAAGGAAGGGACAGATGGAAGGAAGGAACAGAAGAAAGAACAAATGGAAGGAGCAGATGGAAGGAACAGATGGAAGGAAGGGAAAGAAGGAATGAACAAATGAACAAATGGAAGGTACTCACCAGTAAACATGGTCCAGATGATGTGACCAGCTGGGGGTCACCAAGAGGACCGTGATGCAAACACGTCGTAGAGGCACAGGAAAACATAGTGCGGTGCAGAGAGGATGGCCATGAAGCCATGAATGATGAATAAAAGTCAAAAAGTTCCCGGGGGGGATGGAAGAAGTATGAGAGAAGAAGTATGAGAGAAGATGGATGCAGGAGGAAAAAAAAATTGAGAGAGAAGAGGGGGGGAGGGGGGTATTTATATGTTGAATCTGGGGAGTGAAGCTGGGGGGTCCTTCCATTTTAGGGAAAGTAGGTTGTCTGGAAAAGGGAAAGTGCCACCATCCCTAAAGTATCACGCGTCTCGGGACCCTAGATACACAGAAGACATGTATAGGGATATGTGACAACGAAGCCCCAGGAGTCAGTCTAGGGAGTCCACTAGCTCTCATTAGCAGATATTGATATCTACACGTGTAGTGATATTCCTAGAGTATTATGAAGATATACAGCAATCTATAGCAATCTGTATAGGCGAGACACAACATCCTCTGCAGAGGGAGACTCACCCTAAATGAGATCACATGGACCAGAGCTCGTCTCATATGTCCGACGCCGAAGATATCGACGGAAAACATTGAGCCATACAAGTAGTACTTCGTAAATTGTGACGCAGGCGTCCACGGGACCATTCGATAGAGATACTAGGAAAGACATCGGAGAATTTTGTTATTGCATAGTTCGTCTACCCAACGTCATCTCTATCGAGTGACTGGATATTCAGGCTATCGAAGTCATATGTCGTCGAAGTTAAAGGCCATCCAAGCGGCCGGCTACTTGGAGGTAAATACGTAGAGAATGTGTAGCCTTCATTACATGCTAGGAATGATATTCAGCAAATCTTAGAAGGTTAATACAATAGCTTGTAAACGTTGGTGGCTGAATGGTCTCCGCGGACCTGCGGGTTTGATAGACAAGTAGAGAACGCATAGCATAGCAGGGTATCAAATATCTCCAATTGTCGATTCCATAGTAGAACGTACATGTAGGGGACAACGGAGAGCCCAAGATCTGGGGTTCCTGGCAATGGCACTTATCAAGTCTCCTTCTTGCGGCCCTCGACAACACGCATAACATCCGTAACACTATCTTTGTCACCCTTCTTCTTCTTGGGTCCACGTTTTCTCTTTTTCCCGCCTCGCTCGTCATCGTCAAAGTCGAGCAAGGGACCATCGTCCTCCTCCTCTGCGTCTTCGTTGCGGCTTCCTCCGAATCCCATATCCATATCTGCAGCATCCATGGCGTCTCGGCGACGTGCCTCTTCAATGAAGCGTTTGTGGCGAAGGGCTGCTGCATCAGGAGGCTGGTCTGCTTCGCCCTCTGCCGAGGGAGAGCTTTGTCGGAGGGCTGCAGCTCGTTTGAGGGCTGCAAGAATGGTTGGATCTTTCGTGAGGGGGTTGGATCGGTCCATAGTCTCCTCCTCTGTTGTAGTGGAGGACCCAGTCGCAAAGTAGTTCTTGGGTTTTGAAGGTGCTGTTTCAGAGACGGCAGACGGCTTCTCCTCTGCACTGACAGTGGCCTTTTCAGGTTTGCGAGTAGCCAAATCTGCCACTTCGCCATCTTCATCAGACGATGACTCGTCTTCAAGCCCAGCGAGAGGATTATAATCATCACCGACACCGGCAAAGATGTCATCGTCGTCGTTCTCAGGGGCCTCTTGTGCAGCAGCACGGGCAGCAATATCAGCTGGAACGTCCATACCGAGGGGTTTGAGACTTTTATCAGGCATCATAAGGTCTCCCGCGGGAGGCACAGCTGATTCAATCGGCTTATCAAGCCACCTAGTCTTCCTCTTCGTATTTCCTTGCGCGTCCGTGATCAGGAGCACTTCGCGTCGACGGCCGGTCTCATCACGCTCCACAAACCGCTTCTTCTCGGGCTTTCCATCGCTCAGCTTCTTGAACTTCGAGCCGAGGATTGACTCTGGCGGTGGAGCAGGCGCAGCAGCAGCAGCACGGCTTTCCCTCAATTCCCGCAGGATTTCATCGCGAGTCTTCGGCCTAGCAGGCGGGGGTGCCATGGTTCCCTTCTTCTTTTCTTTCCGTTGCTTGGGTGCAGCAGCAAGCTCCTCAAGTCCCTTCTCTTCCGTCATACGTTCGAATTCCTCATCAACGTCTTCTTTTTGGGGGGGCGGCGCAGGTTTTTGGGCCGTTTGCGACACGTCCTCACCAGCCCTGATCCTCCTCAACAAATCCATATCCAGTCCTTTGACCATGTGTGTGCTTGCGAGGTCACCTCCGACTCCGAGGTCTCGGCGGAGTTTGTCGAATGTGGCCTGGTCGATTTGTCCCAACTTAACCAGATCTTCTAGTGCCTTGATCCGCGCCTCCAAGCCCGCACTATTCTCACTTTCGTCCTCTTTATTGCGCAATTGCGCACGATCTTGGTAGCCGGTCGGTAGCGAGGTACCCTTCGGCGCGGCGGAGGACTTAAATCGCTTAGAAGGTCGATCGCCCTCACGGCGTTGCTCGAAGAGCTGGTGGGCGAAGTCCACACCAGTGACTGAACGTCTATAGAAATACGACAGCTGTTAGTTTCCTGCGAAATAGTAGCAATCTGTAAATCAAGCAACGCACGGTGTCATGGGAATACTGGATCGCATTCGCGACCCCAATGATCCACCCGGGGTTGCGCCGCCACGCGATGCATCGCGACCAGGTACTGGGTTCTGATCCTTTGGTTTTGACGATGACTGGTCGGCTAGTAGCCGGCGAAACTGCTCGTTATTCATGATTTGCGAGCTCAAGTTGCTTGGGATTGAAGTTAAGAAAGGTACGGGCGACTAAGTGTGCCACCCGGGGAACAGCTCTCTCATTGGTTAATATTGCGGGCAGAATTTTAGATCCACCTGCAATAATTAGCTGTTAGTAATATTGATTGCCTGAAGATGCCTGAATACCTGGAATATCTACAAACAATACACTACCTGGGTACATTATATTGCTTTATAATATCATCTACTAGCCTATAGACTCTAGCAATAAAAATAAAAAAGTTGTTGAAATTAGTATAGAATGCTTCAAGAGGGCGGTGAGACCGGCGGTCAGGCAGTGTCCAATGAGAGAAAGGCTGAGATGGAGCTTCGGCTTGGCACCGATAAGGTAAGACTATATCAAAGAGTCCACGGGGTGCCCTAAAACAGGCGTTTCATTATGGAGGCACAATTTGGCTAGGTCGCATGTGAATTTTCTATTTGTACTTTGTATTCCTCTGATAAATAGCACTGTCAGTATATATGACTGGATGAGCGGGAATTTGGTCTAGCGGTTGTCGTTGGCGACATTTGGCGCACCGCCAGTTTGGATCCCGTTCATCCTCAGCTTGAGTGCCGTTTGATCTCAAGTTGCCGGATCGCCTCCGGGCGATGACTTTTTTATTTATTTCTTCCTTACTGACTGTCAAATGATAACCATGCATGCCACAAGCAAGTTCTATGCGCAATTCGCGAGTTCTATTGGGTTTCCACAGGCCATACATACTTCACGATAGTGAATTCGCGCTGAACTTTCACGAACACCAGAAGGAATGTCTGACTTAATCCATATGGCCATACTCCATTCGAAAAAAACCAAACACGCTGCGTGACATGCCACTGCTAGATGCTGCTAGTCGGGTTACCCTTGAGGCGGTATTGGTACTCTTGCGATTCCTGTCTATGTGAGTCCAGCTTTGGATACTTTAACGGAATATATATTAAGTGCACCACTTTGGCAATAAACGCCCAGGATATGTGCCTTTAAACTTCAATGTGATCATTTTCCCCATAAATACGTGTAGAGACGAATATTTATTGATACCAACATGTCTTATATATATATATCCCAGATGCATGCACGGTGTCATTCAATAAATCAACCTACGCGCAGAAGCGATGAATCGTTCTAGCAATTTCAATATTTTCGCTTGGTTATAGCACTACGGCACAAGAGCGAGAGAAAACGCGTGTTGACCACTACATAAGGGGGAGTATACGTAGCAAAACATAGTCTTATCAGCGACATCAGGGGAACCTAATAACACATTCACAAGTCTAACCCAAAATTGAGGTGAACGTAGCTTGGTATTTTTGAATCATAACTACCGAGTGAAGCTATTGATGAAAAGCATGTCCGATATACAGTGAAAAAGAGACGAAAACATGGTAAAAATCCACAGTAAGGAAAGGAAAGGAAAGGAAAAAGAGGCTAAACACACACACAATCACAATCGTTTCCAATTCGCCATCAAAAATTCAACAGTAAGAAATCTAAGCACATGCACACCAACAAGCGCAAAAAGAAATCGCGTTTTTTTTGTTTTGGTTCATTAGATAGTCTCCCAGCCACCGCTGTTGATCTCTGACTCCAGCTTACGGCTGATAGTCGCGGGGATCGCATGTGACAGCCAGACATCGCGTAGTAGCCGGTCATAGCGCTTCTGGTTGAGAATAAGCTGGCGGTTACGGCGGAGACCCGGGTCGACTTCGCCGTGGCGGTCAAGGTAGGGCGCGTAGTGCCAGGATCCGTTCTTGTTGTGCAGATAGAGTACTGTGCATTTGCGAATATTGACGAAAAGACCGACGTTTTTACCGCATCTATTATGGAAGATTGATTAGCTGGAGAGTACTTGCAAATGAAGCGGGAGGGTATAATTACTTTTGAAGATGTTGGTTGCAGCCGCCAAGCTTGTTTTCCATGCAGCATACTGCCTGTGAGCAGAATATTTCTCCACAGAATAAACAGATACTTGGATCAGTGAGCTCCTTCTTGGAATTGGGGCAACGGCGACGGTTTGCCTCTTCGATCAGGCTATCGAAGTACTTGGGTAGGCCGACAAGCTCAAAGATAGCAGGGTGCGACAGGCTGGGCCAGAGCCGGTGGTCTTCGAAGCGGATGCCTGAGCGCGAGGCGTTCCAGTGGAAGATCCATCCTGAAATTACTGCGTCGAAGGGGCTGTTTGTTTTACACGCGGGCTTGACAGACATAAGAATGTCATCAATGGAAGGCAGTTGAAGTGCTTTGGTTAGGCGCGCAAGCTCAGAGGACTCCACATCGGCGAACCCTGTGTTGGGGAACTCGACGCCGTGTTGGACATGAAGAAGGATGACTGCCTTGCGCAGGAATACTAGTCCGTAGCTCGTAACAAGTCGCCGGACGGCAGTAATGACGCTTGGGGTGGCAGTTTCCTCTCCATCTTTGACGTAGCCACTCTCAGCGGGGAAGGAGGAGCCCTCAGCACGGCCGACAGAGTTCGCCTTTAGTTCAGCAACGATCGAGTCGAAGAACTGCTTGGTCACTCCGAATTGTTCTTCAGATACATCAGCAGCCATAACATGGTCCTCGGGATGGCTGGCGAGTTCCTCCTTCAATCCCAGTGGCCAAAGAATGAAAGTGACAGCGACCTTAACAATCTCGGCCACGAAGCACATCCGCACAAGATGCCTGATGTCAATGTTAAGTACTGGAAGCAGAGACAAGGATGACTCTGCGAGGAACACAAAGGTATCAACGGCGAGTAGAGGCTCGATGTTACGGACATCATTAAGCAAAGGTGTGCCACTCAAACAAGGGTGCCCGACAAGTAACTGACAGATCTTTTGGCGATGCATCTCCTGGAACTCATTTGTCGGGCGGCCTTTTGACGGTCCCGTCGAGTGAAGACACCCAACAGCAGCATATGTTAACGCCGTCTCTGATAGAACACGGAGATGGGTAAGCGTCAACGAAGGAATTGTGTCGAGCAAGGTCGAGCCAGGCTCTGACTCGACACCACGTTGTGCGATCTCCACTGCAGCTATGCTGAAGCCAAAGCTGCGAATTAGAGAATCAGTATGTACAAGATCTTCGTTGGCGTTCGCCTCGGGAGTGTTGTTAAACATCGAATGGACATGGTTCGTCTTGAATGTCTTCTTCAGTCGCCTGTAGCTCTGAAGCAGTTCCGACATAGGGCTGTCTGAGGGAGTCGACACGTGCTGAAGTGGGCTGGAAGGCGAGAGGTCTTCGGTCGGAGGGAAAACACCTGGCATTGGCACACGCGCTGGCATGATGTATGGTGCAGGGGCAGTTGCTGGGAAAGACTCGACCCTCAGTTGATCAATATTGGTGGAAAGGGGAGAGGCCAGGCTCTTAGACAAGTAGTCGATAAATATGTCAGTGTATGGTTGAGGATGGGCCTTCTCCTTCTCCATGAGGACTGGGAAGTTTTGTTGCTGGTTCAGGGTGTGCTTGAGACCCAATTGCATCCACTGGTCGAATGATTCAGAGGGACTGAGCGGAACAAGGGGAGACTCTTCCTTGCCCTTCCAAGTAATGGGGAGGAATGCATTTCCAAGGGCTTTGCAGAGAGGACACACAAACTCCTTGAGGCTGGTGTTCTCGGGATGGTGACGCGCAATCTGCTGGGTGTGGCGCCGCTGCGTCGCGGTAAAGTACTGCTCAAAACAGGAGTAATGCATGATGTGGCCACAGCCAGTCGTCACAGGCCCACGGAGGGTACTCTTTGCGTTGAATCCTTTACTCAGCCCAATCTTTTCGCTGATGAGTTCACCACCAGAAGAGTCAAGACGCTTGATGGTAGTATGGTTCTCTCCAGATACACCAAATGGTCGCACTTCTTCGGCAGACCTGTCCAGACTTGTGGGTGTTCTGAGAACCTCACGAATTCTATCGGAGTCCCTGATATCGGTCTGCCGCAGAATTATGCTGTCTTGAACCAAGGCAAATGTACCGTAGAGCCTCGAATCGCTGGTCTCTTCCTGGCACAAGATACATGTTCCGCTAGGGTACTTCCATAGCTTCTTTTCTGGGGCAGCGTCTGTGTCGGACCCGAGATCGCTGAAATCATCTTCACCCCAATCGATGTTACCCTGGGTGTTCAAGAATTGTTGCTGCTGCTGCTGGAACTGCGCCATGACCTTGGCTTGCCTCTCCAGTGCTTGCTTCTTCTTGACCTCCTTGTCGTGATCTGCATCAATTGCAGGGGAGTTGGTGTCGATTCGGTCGAAGGGGAACTTGAGAGACGCAGTTGCCGATGAATACGTGCGAGGGCGCTTTTGCCACAGACGTTTGAGTATGTGTCGGATTTTAGGGCCAGATGCGGTGAATTCACTCGTCACGGAAATTCTCTCCAATAAACCGACAATGGTCAAATGACCAGCCTTGATCTCTCGGGTCTTTGACAAAGCATTCCAATTGAATGAATTGGAATGCTCTTCTACCATATCGGTTTCCTCAGAATTATCTTCTAACACTGCTGCAAGGATAAGATGCAAAATCACTTGAAGGAAAGTCTCAACACGTGTCGGTGGGATAGTCGGTGTGCACTCTTTCGATGAAATGACATATTCCAAGCATTGGTGGACAATCTGTGCAAACAGCATCGTGCCAGCGAATCGAGAGAGATCTGAGAACACGCCGGAGCTGATGGGCCGGAGTTTTGGCTCAAAAACAACGTCAGATGCATCCTTGCCTGTCCTTTTCGCCATCCATTCCTTATAGATATTCTCTGCCTCGTCTCTTTGGTTCTTTGTGTAGTGTGCGCTGTATGGATCAATAAGATCGAGATGTTCGGGCTTCAACTCGAAGGTACCAGAGTCACTCAAGCCCTCGGGTGGGCGGAAGTTGGCGACATCTTCCAACACATCTTGGAACATGTCCGAGTCCAGAAGCTTGTCGCTAAGGCGGGTTGAGAGGTCGGAGAAAGACAGCGGCTTGAAGCACAAGACATGAGCGATGTCACGTTTGATGTTTTCGTGAGTGAGGTGAGTGCTGTCATCGATGGCAGTCAAAGATGTTCGGTCCGTCAGGAGGATTACCAGTAGATGCACAAATTCCTCTGCCACATCCACAATCTGGGTATCTTCGTATCCAGGACGGGGCATGTAGTTCCGAGCCATCCAGTCAACCATGCCAAAGCGGTGTGCAATGGAAGCAAGAACTCTGCTAGGGTCACAAGTTACTAGGGCAGTCTGGAGGAGGAAGATATCTCTGTAGTAGGCAAAGTCACGAGAAGAGACTCCACGGTACTGCGACATTTGATGCCGAAGACTAAGACCATTGCGAACCCACATGCCAGCCTTCATTTGCGCTAGCCAAGCACAAACTCGCAGTGGATAGTCAAACATGGCCAGAAGCAAGTCCTCCGGTCCAAGGCCAAGCAGAACATCATCAACGCTACTAGGGTTGGTAGCCTTGGCGGCATGCATCTGACTCCTCGCGGCATTGGCAGCGTCAAAGAGAACATCACGCATAGTCTCGCTGCTTATGTCTCGTCCGCATTCAACAAGCCATGACAATGTGTAGTGAAGGGCGTGGTGGAAACTGATAGATCCACGTTCGACCACGAATTCAACCACCCGGTGGCAGGGGACTTGGCCGGAGGCACCGACCTCAAAATCGAAAGGTGGCAGTAGCTTGAATCTTACTTCATCCTTTATTTCTGCCTGGTCGAATCTCCTGCGTTCTACGCCAGCTGAATGGAGAATCGCAGTAGTAGTGGTGGTCTCGATTGCCCTCAGAAGGTTGTCACCGTTGTCCATTTCAGGGTCGCGGAAAGACTCGCAGAATTGGCGACAAAGTCGGTTGATCTCCCGCATGAGAATTGACGCACTGATCCAAGCGTCCGTCTCGTATTCCACATGTTCACCAACGGCGCGGACATTGGGGCAAATACCCTGTGACAGCTTGACGAGATCAAGGAATTGAGGAAGATATTGTTCCTCGGTCCGCACACGGTGCTGGACATATTCGGATTGGAGAAGGTATCGAAGGTCAAGGAAGAAGTGGTAGAGACGCCTGTTTGTAACCGAGCCAGCATCAAACGCCAGCGTGGCGTGCGGGTTGACAGATTGCGGTTCACCGACTTGTCTCGTAGTCAAGAAGGTATAGAGGATAGACATCACCTTCGTAAGGAAATTGCCTCGCACGACGATCTCTTCAGTGATGGAGGGAGTCGTGAGAAGCTGCAATGAAAGGTTGACAATCGAGTGGTCCGGCTCTCGGTCCGCGATGAGGTACAGTTGAGCCAGAGCTGTGTACAATGCAGACAAACGAAGACCCATGATGCGCTTAAACTGAGGAACATTGACAACAGTGCTGATGTAGAGGTCACGCAAGTCGGTTCGTGTCTTCTTCCACAACCTCAGGTCATAAAGCACCAGCCAGTCTAAGCGAGTACGCTGCCAGAGGTCTTCATATGGAGGTACTTTTTCACCTGGAGCGGGAACGCTCGGTCGGACTTGCCAATGACTTTCTGTGTTCGAAGGCCTTGGCCGGTGCGAACCAGGAGTTCTGGGGATATGGATATAGTCACTAGCGCAGGATTCAGGGCCAGGGCTTTGAGATTCAGACGGGCCTCGTTCAGCAGAGGTCCGATCTGCGGTTTGAGCCGGTGCCGGTCGAGGAGGTGTCGGCTGGGCGCCAGTAAGTCCGTGGAGAATGCGCTCTGCGAGAGCAAGTTCCTCATCTGCACCCGCCAAGATCATATCTTCGTCTTCTTCCTGATCACGAGAGAGTTCGAGGTCCATTTCATCGTCATCTTCATCATCAGCATCCTGGGCTTCGACATAGTCTTCGTCTTCATCTTCATCTATGACATCGTCGTCAAGCATATCTTCTTCGTCATCATCGGCGGTCAGGATGACCTGACCATGATTAGGCAAATTAATCATAAGCGTGCGACCTGGAAGGTTCTCAGTCCGCTGGTGATCATCAATACCCCTCATGCCGATATCTTCGTTATATGCCCCACTGCCCTTTTTCCAGGGCGTAAGCATTTCTTCGCAGATGATTTGCCTAAAGATTTCATTGTCTTCGAGGATTTCACAGCCGGCGATATCAGCCAACCACTCCACTATCGTGGTGCACATTTGCTCGCGGAAAGTATCGCGCGCAGAGCGCACCGTGACGGTAACCTTGATCTCCTCAATTACCTTCGAAACACCTAAGAGTCTATTCAGATCCCTGGAATACTTGATTGCACTACGGCCCATATCGTTTGTTTCATGAGCGCAGGCAATTCCAAAGCTATCTCGTTCACGGCAAGCACGCGTGACCTGATGAGAGACATCCCGAATTGTATGCTTCTCATCATTCCACAGCATGACCACAAATTCCGGGTCTTCTTCCTCTTCATCGCCAGCGCCATACCAGCCCGGACGCAAACGAGAGGCCTCCTCGTCTTGCATGATACCCTCGACAGTCTTCGGTAGCCGCAATTGCTCCGGGGAGCAAGAGATGACATCACAAAAGTAATCGAGTGCCCGGGATATAGTCAAGCGGATCGAGGCCACGAGCTCAGAAGGCAATACCCGCTGTGCTCGTTCCTTACCCTTGGTATTACCGCTATCGGTATGAATTGCGCAAAACAGCGGAAGGCGCCATGCTTCGTCATCACCACAGTCACAGCAGCCACAGTTTCCGGAGGAAAGAGAAATCTGATATTGATGTCCGGAGTGATCCGAAGAATCGAAGCATCGACTACACAGCACACATGTATCATCCGCTGCACATGTCACGCATCGGTATGTGGCTTCCCCGGCACGGAAGATATGACCGCAGCGCTTGCCCCGCGCTGCCTCACTGTACTCGGCTCCTTCCCGAGCACCTTGGGCCTCCGCCAGTTTCCATGGTCCGGCCGGAGTTCCTTCTGGGAACAGCTGTTGTACTAGGTCTGTGTTGTGTCCGACAAGCGATCGGAAGAGAAGCTCTAGCAGGTCCTTCTCGGCAGCGGGACCATAACGCAAGTTGTGTTTCTTGGGCAAACTGAGAAGACCCTCACCGAGCAGCTTCTCACATTCCCCGAGCTTGAGCATGATTTGTCCGTTGTGGCCGGTTTGTGGTAGCGGCCGCTCAGGCTATCACAAGTGAGTGATGGAACGGAGCGCCGTGGTTGCGACAATGCGCTCAAGGTAGTAATGGTCCGACGCAGGTAGTTTCTTCGCGGGTATGCAGGCGGAAAAGAAATTTTCGAGTGGGAATTCAACAAATCAGTCCGGACCGAGTGGATAGAGTTCTCAGTTGTAGTTCACGTTGCTCACACAGTGATACTTTGTAGTGGGGGGAAATGAGAGCGACGGGTGAAGGTGGACCAATGCAGGCGAGCAGATCAGCACAGATACGGTGAAGTCATACGCGATTCAAATTTGAATGTGGAGCTCAAGGCCCAAATGGTCAAAAAAACAAAAATATAAGAAAACAAATTAGAAGTGTTTGTAGAAATCAGAAGATAACATTTTTCGTTATGACATCGATGGAACTGGCCTTTCAGTAAACGCCACACGCTACGGCCTGACCTACAGAAACCACGCCACCCTTTGAACATGGAAGTTATGAAAGAGAATATATAACTAGAATATATGTATTCGGCGCCTCTACACTTGACGATGTTAGACTAATGACATGATTTATTTGGCTCATGATATTAGGGACGTCATCTAAATGAACATTCTTCTGTCTTTCGATATTCATTTTAGATCTCTTTTTAGGAGTCGTTTGAGAGATCGTATGAGATGTATACGAAGGCGGCAAAAAGACATAAACCGTACAGACCAGGGAGATTGAAAGCCAAAATACAGATTTCCATCTATCGCGTACAAGCCCACATATGGGATGAGAAAGAACAAGCACGAGCTTCGGTGGCTTTTCCATGCCCCTTTACCCGTAGTAAAATAAACACAACATCACTTTCGGCAAGTGCATTTACTCGTCATCCTCCTCCTCCTTGACCATGTAACGGTGCTTAATGTCCTTCCATTGGCGCTGTAACGTGAGATAAATAGTCAGCGTGGGTCCTAGCCTCGGGTATTGTAGTCCATCGGGAAGGAGGTTCACATACGCCCTGGTTCCAGCTATCCCAGACCTTGTTGGAGGTCATGTCGAACGCACTGTTTTGACAATTGTATGGTCAGTGTTCTGTATTAAGGTGTATAGCATGTCGAACATGCTCGGAGACTGGATGTAACCCACAGCTCAAAAGCGAAGGCGCCGGCAAAAGCAGTGGTCAGGAGAACAGTGTTCTTGCGGATGAAGGTCCTAAACACAGTGAAGAGTGCCTCGGTTAGATTTCAATTGGACAATTTGGATCGCGATCGTAGGACCAAAGAAGGGGAGACATGCGAGTAGATAGCATTTGCGAACTGTAATGAGAGGTTAGTCAGTGCTGGACATGGCAGTGTAAATAGGAGCAGTGGGAGAGGGAATATGGACATACGCCAGCCATTGTGAGAGATTGGGGTGTTTTCACACGACCTAAATTAAAGGATTCGAGAGGAGGATGGGGCAACGAGAGTTGAAGTTGTGAGGGTGAAGTTGCGAAGGCTGAATCTGCGGGAATTGCCGGTCCGCTGATTGGCCGAGCCTCCGGCCTTCCGCACTCAACTTTCAATGCTCGTGTTGTTTTTCACTTTGGATCTTTAAAGATACTCATCTTTGCCCTGGAGCTTGACTTTGTCAAGTGGCTATCATTTATTCTTTATTTCACACCTCCATTACTCAACTTTGGCTCTACACACCACACCATGGCCTCCAACGTCGCGAGGTCCGGCATCACCACCGATGCCCAAACCGGCGAACGATACATTCCCTCCTCGGTCCGTGCCGATGGTTCAAAGCGCAAGGAGATCCGCGTGCGCCCCGGCTATAAACCCCCCGAGGATGTCGAACTTTACAAGAACCGGGCAGCGGCGGCATGGAAAACTCGAGGAAAAGGCGGGGTGCCGGGTGCGGAAGGATTGAGCAGCGAAGAAGACAAGACCAAGGCCGCAGTGAAACCAACCACCACCACCTCCACTGTCGCCAGCAACAAGAACGCCAAACGCCGCGAAGCCAAGCGGAACGCGAAAGAAACCGACGAAGCCGGTCCCACCGCTGAGGGCAAGGGCGCCGAGTCAAACAACTGGCGTGTCCCCGCAGCCACGGCCGCACCTAAGGAAGAGAAGCCTGCTGAAGAACCGCTTGATCTCGAAGCCGAGAAGGAGAAGAAAGCCCGCAGTCTGAAGAAGAAACTCCGCCAGGCGCGGGATCTTCGCGATAAGAAGCAGCAGGGAGAGGCCCTGCTGCCCGAGCAGCTGGAGAAGGTGATCAAAATTCAGGAACTTGTCCGGCAGCTGGATATGTTGGGGTTTGATTCCAATGGCGATAGGAAAGATGGGGACAGCAATGTGAATCCTTGAGTGGCTTTTTGAACCTTCAAATGCGGGGTCAAACTAGATTCAATATCCTACATCCATGTGTCGAGTATATGCTAATGTGCATATCATTGTCATCGGGGCTTCCTGCACACACCCTGAGACATTTTTTGGGGCCACCAGACTATCACACGTGGGGTGCGAGAAATATTACCTATATGGCAGGGCACATTGCAACCATTCGGTTCCAGCCTTCCAAGAACCCATCGCTTCGCCTGCGAGGGACTCCGGATGTTGTCACCGTATCCGCTATTTCGCCCATCGGAGGTCTGGGTGCTCTCGCCCTTGACTCTGAATTGGGACCAGAACTAAAGGGGGTAACAGACTTCACAAATGGATCGAACTCAACCTTGTGTTGACCGATGTTGACCGATGTTGACCGACCATGGGCTAGCAGTGAATTAGACATTAGAAATTGACTATATGATATCCGGCCAACGCCGTCGATTTGCAAATTACAACAAGAGACAAACTATTAATACAAAGATACATTTAATATACATGGCTGCGGCCTTCTCTTGTGTGCATTCCCAAGTACAAGTAGTAAACCCACATGCACCAGTCACATAATATCAGATTTTGGAGTCAACCAGCCGAACAGGGGACGTCACAATGCCACCCTCGAGTTTCCAGCGTCTATAATCAAAGGGGGTCCACGGACGCCACGGACTAGGCTCGTCATTGAGCCGGTTTCTTCCAATGCCGTAGGTGGCAGATAGGATACCCTGCCTAACACAATCGCCCACACCTACTCCATTATACCAGTTTCCCGCAAGAATAAGACGGTTCCTGTACTCCTTGCGAACTGTGTTCGAGAGCGTATACATGCGGTCCAGATGGCCGACTGTGTACTGGGGAATAGCGTTTTTCTGGAGACGACTTCGTGCGGCAGTTGGGGTATCAGTGATGTTCATGTGTCTCTTGAGCATGGCGCGGGCCATTTTCACTGCGGTGTCGTGGTCTGGATACTCCTCGAAGCCATCCCAGTAATGTCCACCTAGCATGACAGTGAGTTTCGTTCCCGGTGCAGAATCTTGGCTGAGTTCAGATGACGAAGGATCCGTTCCTTTCCCTACACTAGAGGAGGAGGCGAATATGACGCCAAGCCCACATTCTGGGTTCTGTTCGTAGGGTATCGAACGCGGTATGAGGTATCCAAAGCCATCCTCAACCGGTAGAAGGTTGGGATTTGGGTAATAGAGATTAACGACCATTGCCGTCACGGCGTAGTTCTGTTTGCGTAGTAGATATGGAGTCAATCCGACAGGGCTTAGTTTGGCCGCTGACTGCTCAGGTTGGCGCATGATGTTCGCAAGTGCAACTGGAGGAATAGTGGAGATGACATATGCATAATCAAACGTCTTGACTTGACCATGTCTGGGTGACCAATATTCCATCTATTGACAGTCAGCATAAATCCCGGAACTCAGGGATATAGGTTGGCAATGCAGAATGATACACTTACCGCAATCTTATTAGAACTTTCCCATGCACTCAAAGCTTTGATCTCCGTGTTCATTCGGAAGCTGACTTTCCCGGATGCTTTCAAAGAAGCGATTAGTGCCTCAATAAGCTGCGCAACCCCCCTCTTAAATGTGAAAGTAGTAGCTCCAGCCGCAAGGGCTTCTAAATCATGCTGATGGCGCATTAATTCCGGGCCCGCAGGCATGACGTCTATAGCCATAAAATCATCCATACTCCGAGTCTTTGTTTTGGAGATCGACCTGGAGATAAGAGATGCTGTAACTCCACCAGAAACCAAGCCACCGACGCCTCCAATGCCTCCCTCAAGGTTGCGGATGCTTCCCAACAGTGTTTGGGCACTCAATCGATCAATGTCACCTGCATAAATTCCATGATACACAGCGGAAACTAGATTATTTGCAACATTGGGGCCAAAACGACGTCCGATGAAGTCTGCAACAGACTCATCCTTCGCCCATTCAGTTGGGTGCCGGGGCGGAGCGAAGACATCTTTCGCTATCCCTGAAAGCAATTTGCTAAATACCGGCTCCTTCAGACTATTCACGAAATTGTCAACGTTCTCCCCGAAAGAAAGATCTGGCTTCGGCGCCGGCACGCGAACGAGACGGTCCGGGTAGTAGATGTAGCGATTCTGAGCCGCGGGGCTTGTGCTCGGGGTAACAATGAGGTCTTTATACAATCCTAGATTTGTAGCCTTTCAAAAGGATCAGCATGTTAAGCTATTTGAATTAGAAGTAGGTCCACGCCGGCAATACTCACCAGGTAAAGCAGAGGGAGCGACCCTGGCAGCGAGCTCTTTAACGTCCGCGGCCCATACTCGAACACCACATTCCCACCATCGACAGGGACTGTCTCGGAGTTGATCCAACCACCAAGCCGGCCTGTTTTCTCAAACACGTTGATTGTTTGACATGTGGGGTCTTGTGCGAGTTGCCAGGCGGTTGTGAGGCCTGTGATGCCACCGCCCAGCACGGCGGCAGTGTATGTGCGTTTTTGACCATTGAGAAGATTCAATTGCCTTTGCCTCGGTCTCAGTGCTTTAGGGACACATGGTAGCCGCATCTCTGCTGATCGGAGCAAGGTCTGGTCGGTAGTTGGTTGGGGAATTCAAGCTAAACCCGAAGGTCCTCGGAATCTCCCGTCCTTACTTAAGCTACGTGGGGAGCCCTTTACAGCCCCGGAGATCACCAGGTCCTCACCACCCTACAACAATCTACCAAGTTTGGACAATGTTCATGAGACATTCGCGAATTCATCTTCGCTTCGTTATTATTCTTTTGAAGATCAACGGGGGAATCTATGAACAGGACAGATAATAGTATCTGAAATAAAAGCAAATGCATAAAGAGTATGAACGCCCTTCCCTCCAGCCATTCCTCGTTCATTGGTCAAGATCGGATTGTACATGGTATTCTTCGCTTCGGAAGCAGACTGTTGTGGGATGTATGTTTTTCTGGGTTTGGGTTTTTTTGGAACAGTGATTTTCTTCATTGAGTCATGTCAGGCGGAGTCACGCGGTCAGCTCCTGGCTCTGGGTGTTCTCCTCGGTCTCCGGCTTGATCAACTCTTGCGGTCCATCCAAATCTGTAACGAACTTGCGCTCGCTGACATGTTCCCCAGAGTGCGGAGTCCACACCTTGTCTGTGTAAGCACCGCGCTGACCCTCAGCGTGCTTATAGGTGCACTTGGGGTTCAGGCAGGGATTGAACTTGCAGGCAGTCTCGACATGTGTGAACTTGCATCCTTCGGTCTTGCAGTCGGCTCCATTACGGCAGACTGGCATACTTGGGTGCTTGAACTGACAGTTGGGGTTGGTGCAATGAGGGAAGAACCGACACATGGCCTCGGCCTGGTGTGCGGACCGTACTGCTGGTGAAGGGTGGCGTCCGGTACATTTCTTGTTCTTGCAAGCTGCACCGAATGAACAAGTGTCGGAAGGATCGATTGAAGTCCCTTCGGGTGCGGCAGGTGATTGATGGGCGAAGGGGCAATCTTGGCGCGAGCATCGTTGGTTGAAGCGACAAACACTATCGGGGTTGCTTTCATCCTGCTCACCACCCGCTAGGCTGTCCATATCCACATCTGCGCCTTCCGCCGCTCTCGGCTTGTTGTAGCCGCGCTTTCCTCCACGCTGGCCACCTCGCTCGACCCGATTGAAGAGCGAACGACCATTGGGGCCATTCTGGGCACCATTTTGGAAAGCAGGGTTAACAGCGGGTGGCATGAAGCCAGGCATGAATTGAGACATCATCCGGGCCTGTTCTTCCAACATCGACATAAGCTGCATTTGGTTTTCGGAGGTCATCTGCATCATGGGGTTGCCTGGCATTCCCATGGCACGACCACCACGACCACCTTGCTGTCCGGCGCCTCTCATTTGACCCCGACCATTGTGTCCAATGCGCCCGTTTCCTTGTCCACGTACACGATGTAGGGCTGCGTCCGAGCCACGATCTAGGTTTCGATTGATTTGGTTCAACATTCTTCCCTTGCCACCTCTGCCGTTACGCATCGCTTTCGGTCCGGTAGGGCTATTGGGGAGAAATGTCAGCATGTTGTAGATATTAGAAGGAAGGAATGGTGAAAACCTACATCGACTCATTCCCGGCCTCGCCCATCTCGGCATCCTGGCCGTTGGCCTCTCCAAACGGATTGGGCATCGCTTGGGCTGAGTTGTCAAATTCCACTGCCGAAGGGTTCAACTGCCCCGTGGTCGCATTGTCCGAGGTCGGGGCGACCCCGTTGATTTGTTGGTTGAGTATCTCGACTTGGGTGAAAAGCCATTGCGAAAACTCGAGGGCCGCAGTGTCACCTTCCTGGAGGCCAAGGAAATCATTTGAAAGCTCGGTGGCGATTTGCTCTTCGGTCTTGCCGTTGACCAGCATGAGAACAATGTATTCGATCAACGGTGACTCTTGGCCATCACTCCAACCCATCTCCACCAACTTGGGCTGGATGACATTTGCGACTGCTTGCGCAAGAGGCGTTCCGAGAATGATTTGAGGCAGCATGGTGGAGGCGATTATGAAGTCAGGAAAAAGTGACAGGTCGTTGAGAAATTCACAAAGGCAGCAGTGCTGGTAAAAGAACTTGCGCCACCCGATAAAGGTGTTTCGGATCTTATCGGCGCAACCAACAATGAAAATGCGATGAAAACGGTATGTAGGAGTAGTTGAGGTTAGAGGTAAGGTTAATAGACCAGTAACAGGTTCTGGTAGAGAGAGCAAAACTTTAGCAAGCAGATTGAAGTGAAGCTAAAGACCCGATGACCAAAACGGATGTTTGATCACGTGGCTGTGGCTATCCGGCGGTGACGTTGGGCAGTACATACAGTGCAAACAACCACCACACGTGCCGTGAAGGTCGATTTTGGTATCAATTGAAAAGAGCGCTGTGTTATATTAACGGTCCGATGAAAGTGACGAGGAGAGCTGTTAAAAAGGATAAAAATGAGTAGAATTTATGACTACTATGTGCGGGTTTATATATTCACAATGGCTATTGTTTCGCCAATAAGCCATTGAGCTGTAATGTTGTGAATGGGGTTAATTGATTTCTATACACAAAGAGAAAGATCCAGACCAGACAAAGAACCCATTGGTCAAGTGACATCCAAGAAGGGAATAGTACTAGTACTAGCAATTGATTGTCTCAGCTTCTGGTGCTTGTAGCCTGAGGCATGGAGATCTTCAGCCTAAAATATCAGGCCTGATTAGCTCCCTCGGGCCTTCAGAAAGAACATGTGCACGGCTATGCAGTGTAGGAACGTTTTATGTGGCTGCAGGTGAGTCTGCAAGGTGCTGTCGATCTCTCCTCTCGGAATCATATGCCATCATTCCTTGTCTGCCGAGGTTTCATATATTCGCCATGCATGCTGCATCTTCCCCGGATTATTGGTCTCCACGAAAATGATACAGTGTGAAAACCATGATAATTAGACCTTAGTTGGGATGTGTCCCTGGCCCAACCTCATATTGAACTATCAAACCTTGGGGTAAGAGCGATCAACCAACAAAGCATAGTCACCCGTGGACATCATGCGGGGTTCGCAAGCACGGCTCCTTTAGGCCATCATTCTACACATTCTTGAGATATGGGAGCATTTATCATTGGACAGTAGAAATTTATAAGTATTCTCCGGAAAATTAGGGTGGTTGTGCCTCCGGTATTTTATAAATGCTAGAACCTGTATGGTCCACACTGTATGACAACTTTGTCCTCATAACCTTGGAAACTACCTAGGCTTCTATACCATTTGTCATACATAATAATACCAGGCCTTTGTCTCTTATTAAGGACATTCCCCCTCGGAGCCAGAAGCGAAACTAAACTCAACTTTTCCCAGTCTAACCGCACCATGATTGAAGACCTCCTTGCACGGGTGACACTTACTCGGGCCTCACTATGGCTTCTAGGGCTATTCGTTGCACTCTGCGTATTCCGCAAGTTCCAGGCTTCGGCGCAAATCGCCCGTCTCGGTGTCAGAGCTCCCAAAATTGAGTTCCATCTCCCGTACGCTCTCGACTTCATTTTCCAAGGCTACCAAACCAATAAAGTGAACCGCGACATAGAATTCTGGAAAGCAAAAGTCGGGCGGGCTGGCGGTTTGACAAATGTGAAGACAGCCGAACTCGACGCTGGCATTTCGACCCGTATGATCATGACCACGGACCCAGAAAATATCAAGGCGCTCCTCACCGGCCAGTTCGCCGACTACGGTAAGGGTGAACCCTTCCACCGGGACTGGAAGGAGTTTCTTGGCGATAGTATCTTCACCACAGATGGAGAACTGTGGTCTCGCTCCCGCCAGCTCATTCGTCCCATGTTTGTGCGTGACCGCATCGTCGACACAGAAATCTTTGAGAAGCATGTTCAGAAACTCATCCCGCTTCTCGGCGGAGGTATCTCACCCAGCAGCAGCAGCAAGGTAGTGGACGTTGGATCACTCTTCTTCCGATATACCCTCGATGCAGCAACATACTACCTGCTCGGCAAGGGCACAGACAGTTTAGATAACCCGGCAACACGGTTCGCCGAAGCGTTCAGATATGTGCAACAGCGGCAGGCGGAGTACTTCCGTTTCGGGTGAGTGATACTCCTGTGCGACGCAAGCACATCCTACCATTGGATCCTTGCAGAAGCTAATCTAACATTCAATCCTAAAACAGTGTCTTTAGCTCCGTATTGTCACGCACAGAATTCCGCAAGAACCTGAAGATAATGGACGAGTTCATCCAGCCATACATCCAAACCGTCCTTGCCCACTCAACCGACGAACTCAACGAGAAGCTCTCAAAGCACCAAACCTTCCTCGACGCACTAGCCAGCTTTACCCGCGATCCTCGTGCACTCCGTGACCAACTCGTCGCCGTCCTCCTCGCAGGCCGCGACACAACAGCCGCCACGCTATCCTTCTGCCTCTTTGAGCTCTCACGCAACCCAGAAGTCGTTGCTAAGCTGCGCAACGAGATCAGCGACAGACTTGGCGTCGGTGCCAAGGCTCAGAAACCCAGCTATATCGATCTCAAGGAAATGAAGTACCTTAATGCAGTGTTACATGAAACAATGCGTTTATACCCAGTCGTGCCATTCAACGTGCGTTACTCTCTACACGATACAACGCTTCCATGCGGCGGGGGACCGGATGGACTATCGCCTGTGGGTGTGCGCGCAAACTCGCGGGTTGTCTACTCGACGATATTAATGCAGCGGGATCCTGATCTGTATAATGGCCCGGGATCAAAGAACTACTTCGATCCTGGGAAGTGGATTCCTGAGCGGTGGGTTTCCGGCTGGCAGCCTAAGCCGTGGCATTTCATTCCGTTTAATGGTGGACCACGGATTTGTATTGGGCAGCAATTTGCTATCATTGAGATGGGGTACACTGTTATTCGGATTTTGCAGGCTTATGAGCGCATTGTTGCGCTGCCTGTTGATGGGAAAGATAAGGTTGAAGATCCGGTGCTTCGATGTGAAGTTACTCTTAGTCCTGGGTCCGAGTTGAATTGCGTTTTCCTCAAGGAGGGCGAACAGGCTGTGCACAGTGCGGCTAAGGCGAGTGTTGGTTGAGTGGTTGATTCTTCGGACTACAGTATTATATCTTTGAGACACGAATTCATGCCTTACTTTTAGCTTCTGAGACCAGGTGGAGTTTATATTTGCATTTTTAGTAGTTGATAGCAAGACTACCCAGGATCTGAGTGGCATATTTATAATATGCCAGTCCTGGGATGATATCCACATCCCTCTCTTTACGATAATCTTGGGATACCGGGGCCGGCACTGGAGATGGCAAGCTCCTGTCCTTGGAACGCTTGCGCTTGGCTCCCTGTTGATGATCCCCGCTGCTGCTGTCGTTGTTCAAGATGGATGATGCGCTCAACAGTCTCGTGCAATACATACAGATGAACATTTCAATCTTCTCGAGGCTTTCTGGGTCAAGATTGCAGCTACATGTAGATAACAACATAAGATGCGGTATTTATAGGTACCTATCTACTTTGTCTGCGAATCCCGCTTTAATTGAGGTAACGCCCATTTGACCATCCACGGCGACTGTAGGACCTCCTGAATTGTTGGCCGTTCTTCAGGTCGGAATACCAACATTCGGCGCATCAAATCAATAATGGCAGTTGCTTCTTCCCTATCAAACTCACACCCACGTTTTCGTCGGTACTTCTGTACAGTGTCCTCAAAAGCCAGTTCAATGCCAGGCCAAACATGGCGGCCCTCTTTTGGGTTCCCGTTGCTGTCAAAGAATCGACCTCGCTCCCGCCAGCGCATCCACCAATCTGAGGGTAAGGGTCCAAGCACGTCGATTTGTTGAGATACTATTTCATCTGCAGTAACAAAAGCATTGCAGAAAATTGGCTGCATGCCAAGGATTTCCCAGATCGCTATGGCCAAGCTCCAGATGTCTGCTGAATATGAGAGAGGTGCCTCTGGTTCAAACCGGGCTTCTGGAGGTTGCATTGCTAAGGGTGTATGGCAGTCTTTACCACGACGAGTTTCCAGATCCGGGGCAAATGCCTCACCAAAATCACCCAGGAGTATGTGCGCGTCAGACAGTGAAAAATCCTCTGCACCTTTTCCAAGATAAAGAGGTATTACTGCCTTTGAGGGGGCATTTGGTAGAAGCGGCTTCCGATCACATCGTGTAATAGAGACTGTCTCAGGCTCACCATACTCTTCATATAGCTCTTCAACCGAAAGGTGATTAAAATCAGATGGCAACTTAGCCAGAATATTTCGGAGATGAATATCTGGTTGAAGGAAATTATAAGTATGAGTATCAATGATTTTGATAGTTAGCAGCACTCACCTCCATGAACGTAGCCCCGTGAATGTATGTAAGCAATAGCCAATATGAGGCTACCTGATAGCGCCCGCGTAACTTCGAGGGGGAAAAGGCGACTAAAAGACGCTTCTCGAAGATTGCACTGCGCGGGTACCATGGTATAGCATAGATGTGTTCCATTGGGCCCATTGAGTTCAAACTCATTTAACGGAATGGGAATAGAATCATGTCCTGGGCTTGCAAGAGCTCGGAGAATATTGGTTTCTTGCATAGATGAGTTCGCTGTACCAACTTTAACAGCAATATAGCGATGCAGACAAGTATCCAGGGCTAGCCAAACAGTTGAGTAACCTCCGAAGCCCAGCTTGTCAACAATTCGGTATCGCCCGCGAAGCACGTCTCCTATCATAATAGGATGAAACCCCCCTGGACAGTACTTTTCAAGTGACTCCGCGCCGTCAATCCAGTTGTATCCGAAATGACAGCCTCCTGAATATTCTTCATTATGAGACATTTTCGTTGAATAACAGGGGGCCCTCGGTCGCGTGAGATAAGCTTCAGGTCTCCGTCCTTGGAGAATGGGCAAGGGGTGTGGTGATAAAGTAATAAATTGGGGGGCACTTGACGATGGAAAACGAAGAATATTTCGAAGGACTGTCTTGGGGCAGCGCGTCATGATAGATGGTAGTTGATGTCAAAGGGTAAACTTGGGCGTGGAAATCAGCGAAGCTCAGAAGTGTTCGCTCAGATGGCTATTAGAATACGACCAATCAGAAATACCACATCTTTTTTACGTGAGTTGCAGCGCCAACCTGAGATTACGGGGCTAATAATGGCAGCATTCCGTTCCTTGCTATTGTTAGGCAGCTCCTATGTAGTCGCACAGACTCAGTGGAGGCCCCAAAACATCTTTACAATGTCATCTAGAACAGAACTTTGCGAGAAGCATTGATACCACTTAAATTCCATCTTTTTGGGGCAGTCCGCTCCATCCATATCGACCAATCTCCCCAGAACGCGGGCCTCAGGATCTGCGCATACTCCCAATAATCCGGATACCAGCCTGCATACTCCCAGTCGATAATCCCTGTGATGTTGCCGTTCTCATCAACCATGATGTTTCGAGGTGCGATATCCCCATGCGCGAAAACAGCATGGTCAGAATTGGGCAGCATGTTGGGTAATTCGTGTTCGTACCGACTACCCCCGCAATGGAGGTAACGCTCATAGATGCGAGCCCGTAGGTCTAAATCGCTGCTTAGGGGTCGGGGTGGTGATTGTAGATCCTCTAGTAAGGGGTCTTTTGAGGGGGAGCCGTCTGCGGCGCATTGGAATATACCCTCGTATTGAGATGGGACGGACCGGATTTCGGAGATGAGATCCCAGGTCTGACGACAAGTAGATTCTTTGCTTTTTTCGTCCATTGTATCCCACGTCCCTTCTAATGTAGATCCCTGGACAAGGGACATCTCAATAAGCCCATTGTACTCGGAGCTGAAATTCATATGGTACACTTCTGGTACAGGCACGGTGGTAAATCTAGAGATAAGTCTCATAGCTTCAGCCTCAGCGGGCCGTACCCCATGCCCGGACTTAGTCACAATCGAGAAATCATATTCAAGTATAATCCTGCCCATTGGTTTGCCGAGCACAGTAACGACCTCTTCGTCAGGGGCAAGGTCGAAGAAATTGGAGACGTTCACGGAGGATGGACATGGGAATAATGTTTGGCCTCTTTTGATATATCGGCTTCCTTCTTGAAGATTTTGTGTCCGAAAAGGGACGCCTTCGGGGATATCAATCATCTTGGCGGCAGATGCGAAGTGGTTCAAATTGAGGGGCTAAAGTTGATTCCGTCTTTTTGGAGGGCTTTTGAAGGGTGTTTTCTGGTGGCACAAGGTTAGCTTTCTCTCCATTGCACGATTTTCGCTTTGGCTGCTTGCTGCGGCGAAAAATACGTGAAGACAACCTCTTTCCTGCCATGAGGCTTGATACAATAGACAAAAGTTGTTGGTGAGATTGCCACACAGAATAAAGACACCAAACAATTTCCAGCTCAAGCGTGTTGGCGGCTATGGCGGCTATTACGTGGGACGGTGCTTTGGACTGATCGCCCAATCCCAACAGATGTGAGAACTCATTCTTATGATACCTACATTGTGACAGAGCCCATCTCTAGCCAGCAAAAATTCATAAATTATAGTATTATGATAGTGTTTAATTCCGGTAATCACGCTCCATCTTATGGTCGCTAAACTCGTGGGTGAAGTGGGGGATCTCCTTATAGTAACCATCTGGACCATGTTGACCTCACCTGTATGAGGATCCCCTTCTGATTGCAGGCTCTAATATAACTAACCATACAGAAGGGTGCGTCCAGGAACAGGTTGTTATGAATCCATCAAAGACAGCTACCTATTACTAGTGCCCCTGACAATGACACCTTTATGCTGGCTTTCCAACTCAATCCAAGTCCCCTAAGCATCTCCGAAACTGGCGAGGGCGAGACTTCCCAGAAGGCAGATATCGTGCTGTTGTCTTGTCATGTCTCTCGGGAAATCGCAAACAAATTCAGCACCGGGCCGTTCCTTTCAAATTTAGTGGGCATTGAGGAATATTGAGGAACATTGTTCAATCAAGTCACTGGTGAGAGTGAATGCATCTAAAATCTCTAGGGAGACACATATTTGGTAGACCATTCAATCCAATAAGAATACAATTAGTAAAAGTTTGACTGTAGCTTCCGTAACTTCCTGAGTCTTTGCAAAATCTCCACTCTCCTCAGCTCCAAGAACAAATCCTCTTCGTCTGCATCATCCAAATCACCCGAAACATTGGAGAGTAGAGATGGAACTTGGATTTCCTTGACTGAAATATGAGTCCTCCCTTTAACAGTGTTGGTGTATGTAGAGCTCTTAGCCACATCCGAGATCAAGGGATTATGCAAGACCTGTGTTCCCTTGGGCAGAGGAAGATCAGGACCCTTTAACGGTACATATGTCTCGTTCGGACCATAGTTGTCTTCCTTCTCGGCATTCTGAGGTCCCACCCAGCCTCTACTCATTTGCACAGCCTTTTCCCATTGTCCGAATTTTTCCGCGCTCTCTTGTGGCGGGACTTGGGGCTGGAAGACCATACCACCAGAGCGATTGATATCGCGTAGCTCGGCAAAGTTGTGCCAAAGTCCAACTGCAAGTCCAGCTGCAATCGCTGCACCGAGCGCTGTGGTCTCGCGCATTTTGGGGCGGTAGACAGGGATGGATATCAGATCTGCTTGGATCTAGATTTGAGAATAGATTAATACTTGTTTAAACTCTTGTAGACGTATAAGAAAATGATTTCTTACCTGCATTGCCAAATCCGAGTTACTCATACCCCCATCAACAGCCAGTTCGGATAGTCTGTGGCCACTGTCTTTCTCCATCGCATCTAGAATTGCTTTGGTCTGAAAGCAGGTTGCCTCTAAAGTAGCACGTGCGATGTGGCCCTTTTGGGTGTATTGGGTGATCCCAACTGCATACACCGTCAGGTCAGATAAAATCCAAGAATCAAGTAATAAGAAACTCACAGATTGTCCCTTTTGCATCATCGATCCAATAAGGCGCAAAAAGCCCACTCAAGGCAGTGACAAACACACATCCGCCATTATCTTCCACCGAGCAGGCAAGGTCATTGACATCCTTGGACTCACGGAAGAAATTCAAGTTATTCTGCAAGAATTTGATCCCAGACCCGGCAACAGCAATACTCCCTTCAAGTGCATAGATAGGTTTCCCACCAAAGTGGTAAGCCACTGTAGCCAGCAACCCATGTGTCGAGAACACCGGCTTTTCGCCAACATTGTACAAGAGAAAGCATCCAGTGCCATAAGTGTTCTTAGCCATTCCAGGCAAGAACCCTTTCTGCCCAACCAACGCCGCAGACTGATCCCCCAGACACCCCATAATGGGAACCCGCGCCAAAGCCCCAGAAGCAACAACCCCGTACGCCGTCGCATCAGACGAGGGAACAATCGTAGGTAAATGAACCTTACCCCTGATCCCAAAGAAGTCCAGGAGTGCCTCGTCGTACTGCAACGTCTCCAGATTCACAAACATGGTCCGCGAAGCGTTTGTTGAATCCGAGACAAAGACGTTGGCAGCCACTCCACCGTTCAAACGGTATACCAGCCAAGAATCGATGGTACCAAACGCCAGTGTGCCGCGGTCAAACGCATCCTTCACTCTTGGGACATGCGCCAACATCCAGAGCAGCTTCGTAGCCGACGAGTAGGTCGACAGCGGCAGACCGCAGAGTGTCTGGAGCTGCGATGCCCCTGGTTTCTGTTTCAGTTCTGCGACGATCGCCTGAGACCGTGTGTCTGTCCATACAATAGCATTGTATAGGGGTTCACCGGTCTTGTGGTCCCAGACTATGGTTGTTTCGCGCTGGTTGGTTATTCCGATGCTTTGGATGCTGCTCCGGGTGTGGCCCTGCGCTTCGAACTTCTCGACGGCTTCTTCGATGCAGGTCTCTACTGAGGTTACAATCTCGAGGGGGTCATGTTCATGCCAGCTAGAGGTGGTTAATTGTTGCATCCAAGGTAGGTTTTTGGTCTTGCTATTGGATTGGACTGTAACTTACCCCGGGTTTGGGTAGATTTGGCTGAACTCGACTTGATGTGATGCTACTGGCTCGCCTTCGCGGTTGAAGATTAAAAATCTGGTGCTCGTTGTGCCTTGATCAATTGATCCCACAAAGGTATTTGAGGTCTCCATGGTTATGGGGTTTTATGGAATGAATTTACGAGGGAGAAAAGCAAACGGGTGGTTATTTGCGCATGGCACGAGACGTCAAACTTACTATACAACCAAGCGCGGAAAAGCTCAAGATACAGCAGGGTACTCCAAACACATAAATAACAGCCTTCCCCACATAATAGCTGGACGGTCACACAGCGGGGTGCTGATTCGAAGAATGAGGAGGAGAAACCGAGAGAAGGGATTGGTGGGATTACCCCTAATCAAACGTGAGATAAGACGGTTAGAACGGGCTGTGGGACAACGTGTATTGGGTCTTCGTATAGACTCGTTCTTGGAACAGTTCTTGGAACTGAATTGTGGAAGTATCCCATTGTCAGTGCGGAAAGGATATCCTCGGAAAACGGCTCTCTCATCCGGACTTTCCCTCAACCCCTATCAGCGTGACCTTCCTGCATATTGTGGGGAGAGATCAGCAGACGACTGACGACTCGGTTAAAGTTGAATAAGGTTGAGGAACTGTCAGATCCAAATCGGTGGGGAATTGCGCATTGACTCGGTCTTATTCTATTGTCATATAAGTAGCACCAGCAGGCCAACTAGGCATCTACCGATAAACGGCCCAAATTACAACTGCTAGGTTGGTCGGAATTGATATTTTCATCTGCAAGCCTATATCGGCCTTTTTCTTTTGGATCATGAGCACTGCGGTGTCAACTGCTGGAGGACAAGACATCACTTCTACCCTACTGGCAGAGTCAAATCCGGACAACCCCAGTCTCGGTGATGCTACCTTTAAGTGTATGGTCATACGGACAGCAGACGGTGGTCAATTGTGTCACTACCGGCGAGAACCGAATAGTGACAAAATACTACCCTTAGCATCATCATGGGGGAAAACCAATCTCTCCCCGTTACTTCTCCTTCCCTCTGGAGAAGCATGCCGCCTCAAGGTGACACAGTTCGGACTTTCTAGAAAATTACAATTGGGCCTGCGTGAGGTCTGGCATCCGACAAGTTGGCAATGAGTAACAGAAGACATACAAGCTTCTTCTTATAGTCATGGCAGTCATGGCAAATACCGGTAAGCGGGAACTGTTCACAACATTGCGGTGTCCAAGAACTACCCAAAGGAAACAACCCAACCGGGATCAGACAGTGACTTCCGGCTATCCAGGCCAAACGGCCGTTCCTACAAACGACCCCTGAAATAAACTATGAACAGAGATGCGCTGTCAGAAAAGTCTATTATGTGTGGAGGACAAAAGAACGACGGTGACAAAAATGACAATGGCCGGTCAAGCCACTTCAATAAAAGGAATATGTGCACTTGATGATTCCGAATCTATCCGCTTTTGACTTCAGCTGATATCTTCCCTGCAATCTTGCACGATCTTTGGAGATCTGGAGCTTGAAATCAGGAGGACAAGACACACAGACACACACTCTCTTTCAGGACAAGACCCTGCATCAGCCAATCGAGCCACCCTCTTGTACGGAGGACAGCACAGATTGAGTGCAAAGGGTTGGTTACACTGTCGTCCCTGCTTCTGCACCGTTGATATACCGGAGGGACTACCATATCGTTTTTGTGTGGTTGGCGAGATTCCCCCCGGTTCGCCGTACTATATCAACTCGAAGCCCCAACCCTGGACTCCAGATTGGGCTCCCCCTTGGATGGCTACCTGGAAGGAGCTTGAGCTTGATCCAATGTCAAAAGTCCACCGTGAAACTCTATGCTCTAGCAATCATGACAGTGGCTGTGGCTCACTCTGTCTGAATAATAAGAATGAAACGACTATCCATCATATAAACCCGGAAGTCGAAAGTCCTTATACTCGCCCTCTCCTCTGGTTCAAAGTGAGGGAGTACTGCCGTGATGCATTCTCGGAGTTTTTTGGGACGATGATCCTAATTTTATTTGGGGATGGGGTCGTTGCTCAGGTGCTACTAAGTCATGGCGAGAAGGGTGACTACCAATCTATCTCTTGGGGATGGGGGTAAGGCTCTTCTTCTCTTTATAAATACCCATCTTCTAACCAACCCCATTCACCAGACTCGGCGTCATGCTCGGAGTATATGCCAGTGGAGCATCAGGAGGCCACATTAATCCCGCCGTGACATTTGCGAGCTGCGTTCTCCGCGGGTTCCCCTGGCGCAAATTTCCCGTATACGCACTAGCCCAAATCCTCGGCGCAATGTGCGGTTCTGCCATTGTTTACGGCAACTATAAGTCAGCCATCAACGTCTACGAGGGCGGGCCAAATATCCGCACAGTCCCCGGCTACTCGACAACAGCAACAGGCGGCATCTTCTGCACCTACCCAGCAGAATTCATGACGAAGACGGGGCAATTCTTCTCCGAGTTCCTTGCCAGTGCGGTCTTGATGTTCATGATATTCGCTCTGAAAGATGACGGCAATCTAGGCGCCGGGCCGTTATTGCCTCTGGCACTATTCTTCGTTGTTTTTGGTATTGGCGCGTGCTTTGGATGGGAGACTGGATATGCTATCAATTTGGCACGGGACTTTGGGCCTCGACTAACATCCTACATGATCGGATATGGGCATGAAGTATGGGCTGCAGGGGACTATTACTTCTGGGTACGTTCTGGGCATACATTGGGCTTTCTAAACTTCTTTGGCTTACAAACACTTTCTTAGGTTCCTATGGTTGCACCAATATTAGGTTGCACCTTTGGCGGATGGATCTACGATCTATTCCTGTATACTGGGATGGATAGTCCGATCAACACACCCTGGGTGGGGCTCAAGAGGCTGTTTGGACCCTTGAACCAAAGGCGAGTCGCACTGCAAAGTCCAGTCTGACATAATCCTATCCTTATGCATGAAACCCCAAATGCAGGCTTGGGGTAATGAGCACTGCACTGGTCTTTTTTTATTTTATCTTATTCACGATCTGTTTCTGACGATCTCGTTTGTAAAAAGGGGTGGAAACCAGCTACGATTATCATGATTTATATTTTACACTATTTAGCCAGTTTTTGCAGCATTCCTTTTAACATTGTGCTATTTACTTTTTCCAATTTTTTAAGATGGTTCATGACCTTTCAAATGTTGTTATTTGCTATGTTTTTGTCAGGCAAGTCCCTATCGGCTGTGCAGATAAGTCATGGAGTCCTATATCTCCTATAACAAGAACAATACTATATTATATTTATTTCTTTACCTAACAAAACGCATCCAATGCATGGTATCACGTCTCTCCATCTGGGCTGCATGATTCCAGGACAGAGCACAGCATCTGCAGTACCTAGGTAGGTAGGGGCTGTGTTAGGAGAGGTCTACGTGGACGTCAAAGTGCATTGTGGAATGTGAGCAATTGATTGAGTTGAGAGTTGTAAAAGCTAAGTTACAGAATTAGAAATCCAACAGGCTGTGTTTAAGTAAACCTGAACTTGAGCTCTCCAGGGCCAGAGAGATAAGTGCAAAAAGTAATGATCGACACTGTGAAGCTAACAACCCAATTGGTAACATATAACCAGATTAATTCAACCCCGGAGATATCGAATCCAGTTCGTATCTCCCATAAAGATCAGAAACAGGAGATATTTTGGTTTTTATGGAGTAGCAAAAGAGGAATCAAAAATGAAATTCTTGTGTCCAACTAGTCAAGTATCATGGCCTAGCAAAAGATAACAAACAAGATAAAGACGCATCCAAGAAAAATGGCCCCAGGTCCCAGTCTGCTCTCCACTAATAAGGCACAGTTGTCTCCCGGGCGGAGGTTCCAGTCTGGATTTTCGGAGCTAACACCCGACAATCCAATCTACTATGGCATTAATTAAAAATCAAAATTTCATGAGTGAGAATACAATATCTATTGCATAAATACTAAGGCTGTCCACACAGATGGAAGTGGAGAACCAGCATCGAACTCGATATAAAAGATATATACAATGGGTGTATTATGGTTATTTGTGTACTATTTAAAAGTTGAGAGATGTTCGATCTATGTTGTAGATTGAATGTATTTGTTGTCATCCTTATGACTAGCTAGTTAGTAGCTCCAAGTTTATCTCCGCAAACGGCATCCCCGACTCCGCCGAGCCCGTTGCCAAGTCTGTGTGGCTGCAAGATAATTAATTACACAATTCTTATTTCAGTTGAAAGTCTTAAGAAGACGGTTAGAGGAGAGGAGAAGATATCTCATGATCAATAAGATAACACATATATGTAACTAGTTATATAGTTAACTAACCATACCTAACTACATGTGATTCTATGTATAATCCACCTATACACGTGCGCTTTTGTCTTATCTCTTACAATGTACAATCAGTATCATTATTAATAGACGATATAATAAATCATATGTTCTAGATTGATAAATATATACAAAAAGAATACCAAAAATACCAAAATGGTTATCCTAAGGGGGGGCGTAAAAGAGAGTTGCCACCAAAGAAAACTCTTCCCGGCAAAATTGGCCCACACCGGGTGGTATTGGCGAGAGAAAAAAAAAAATTAAAAAATTGAAAAAGAAAAATTGAAAAAAAAAGGTAAGATAGAAGGATAGAAGGATTAGAATAATAGAATCGAATAATCCATAGATAATCAACATGAGCCCCATCTATTTCCCCTCAAATTCCTCTTTTCTTTTACATAACATATATCCTGTAGTGTCGTGTTACTCCACAGAGGAAAAAGCCTGTCTTTGGATCCGTCGGCTTAATTGAGTGGATACTCCGTTACAGTCTTCTTCAAATCCTTTCTTTCTCCTCTTTATCCCCATCTTGAAGCTCCCCAACTTGTCTTGCCCACCCCCAAGCAGACATGGCGCCAGACAAGTCAGAGGGAAAGACGAGCGCTGAAATGCCTGTGCAAGTCCAAGCACAGAGCACGGACTATGATATCGACTACGAGAAGCATGGTGCCCAGCGTGAGGCGAACCCGCTGCCGGATCTCAAGCGGAAGCTGAAGAGCAGACATCTGCAGATGATTGCCATTGGTGAGTTGGGTGATATTGTGAGAATCAGAATATCCGAACTAACAGTCTTTCGAAGGCGGCACAATAGGTACCGGTTTATTCATTGGTAGCGGCACCGCTATTGCCCACGGAGGCCCCGTGGGCGCTCTCATCGCTTATATCTTCGTCGGAACGATCGTGTACTCGGTCATGACCGCTCTCGGAGAAATCGCAACATATATCCCAATTCCTGGTGCATTCACCTCATACGCTGCTCGCCTGATTGACCCTAGTCTGGGATTTGCTATGGGTTGGATCTATTGGTTCTCATGGGCATCAACATTTGCGCTGGAGTTGACCGCAACCGGTTTGATCATCCAGTTCTGGAATAGCAACATTCCGATCGCTATCTTCATTGCCGTCTTCTGGGTCGTGATTATCATTTTCAACATGATGCCCGTGGCCTTCTATGGTGAAATTGAGTTCTGGTTCGCGAGTATCAAGGTTATTACCGTGATCGGGTTTATGATCTTCTCAATCTGCATGAACGCGGGCGTCGGTAGAGAAGGGTATATCGGTTTCCGGTATTGGGTGCACCCCGGCCCGTTCGTCCCTTATTTGATTAAAGGCAACGATTCGTTGGCCAAATTTGTTGGATTCTGGTCCACGCTTATTCAGGCCGGATTTTCCTACCAGGGAACCGAACTGGTGGGTATTGCGGCCGGTGAAACCGAGAACCCGCGCAAGACCGTCCCATCTGCAATTCGCAAAACCTTTTTCCGTATCGTCTTCTTCTTCATCCTGACAATCTTCTTCCTCGGGATTGTTGTTCCCTCCACCGACGACGGTCTATTGGCTAGTGAGGGTGGTGGTGCTGCTGCAAACAACGCCAACGCCTCACCGTTCGTCATTGCTGCCAACCGTGCGGGCGTCGCGGCTCTCCCCGGTATCATCAACGCCGTTCTTCTGACCGTCGTGCTTTCGGCGGCCAACTCCAACGTCTACAGCGGGAGCCGTATCCTGGTGGGTCTAGCCCAGGAAGGTTTCGCCCCTCATTGGTTCAAGATTACCAGCAAGCGTGGTGTCCCTTACTATAGCGTACTTTTCACCGCGGCCTTCGGTCTGCTCGGATTCTTGAACGTCTCCGATGCAGGCAGCACGGTGTTCACTTGGTTGCTTCAGATCTCAGGTGTGGCTGGTTTCATCACCTGGTGTTCACTGAACGCCTGTCACCTTGCCTTCCAGCGCGCTTAAGGCTCGCAACATCTCTCGGGATATCCTGCCTTACAAGGCTCTCTGGCAGCCCTGGTTCTCGTGGTATGGTCTGTTTTTCAACTGTCTGATCATCATCACCCAGGGCTTCACTGCCTTCATTCCACACTTCCAAGTTAAGGAGTTCTTCATCAACTACCTGAGCTTGATTTTGTTCGTGGTGTTATATGCGGGACACAAGATTGTGTACCGCCCCGCATTTGTCAAGCCCATTGAGGCCGACCTTGATACCGGCCGCACTACTGCTGATAATGAGACATGGGAGACTATTGAGCCAACTACATGGTATGGCAAGGCATGGCAGTGGATTTGTGGGTAATTAACTAGAGACTATCGATCTCACTGTATATATTTTACACTTGCATATTTTATGGGCGTTAATTTTTCTTTTTTTTACGCATATATCTATATACTATATTCAAACAATACTATATCTTATTCCATCTCCTCCACCATTTTAAAGATACTACTGTTGTAGATTCCCAAATTCCCAACAATCTCGGTCCATGTGAAAATTAGTGCATGTGGTCCCCGGGCCCAGCAAATGACGCGGAATATGTAAGCAAACCCCACTTAGTGTCGGTACCTGAGATAATATGTGAAGAACCACTCTGTGGCAAGTACCCTCCCAAACAGCCGAGGTTCCCTTGTCGGCTCATGTCTTTTGTTGTCCGAAAGTAGTCAGTCGCGCCGGTTTTCATTGTTGTACTCCAGTTTTCTCCCCCACACTTTTGCCCCCTTTAATATGCGGCTTACTCGGGCCTTTCTTTTTTTTCACTCTTCTCCTTCTTCACATAGACTTTGATTTTGGTTCGTCTGCCTATTGTTTATTCTCATTCCCTCGCTGACCCTCGCTGACCGCGCATACCAACAGACATGTTCTTCTCACAACCTCCCCATTTGGCTAAGGCCGAGGAGCTCAAGCGAGCACCTCCCAAAGGTGTAGCTTACTCTGTCGCCATTCCCGGCACTGAACAGCCCGGTCGAAGTCGGGTATACCGAGCATGGAATGCGCAGAAGGAACTTTTGACGACACTGGACCCCCAGGTACAGAGGCCCACCCGGGAATGCGAAAATATCTTAATACTGACCGATGTTAGATCACCACGGCCCATGATATGTTCGAGTCGACCGCCAACCGCCAGCCCAAGAGCCACTGCCTCGGTTGGCGTCCGTATAACTCCACGACGAAGTCCTTCGATCAATACCAGTGGCTCACTTATGAGACTGTGCAAAAGAGACGCGCTGCGTTCGGTGCTGGTCTCGTAGAGCTGCACCACAAGCACGAGTGTCATCGCTCCGGCCAGTATGGTGTCGGTCTCTGGTCCCAGAACCGGCCAGAATGGCAGATCACTGGTGAGTTAGGTCTCGAGGGCGAAGAATTCAAGATTCAAATGCTAAATTGAACCTTTGTACAGATCTGGCTTGCATTTCCCAATCCCTTTACTCCGTTTCAATCTACGATGTCCTGTCCCCGGACGCTACCGAATATATTATCAACCACGCCGAGCTAAGCTGTGTTGTCACATCTCTACCGCATATCCCGACTCTGCTCAAGCTTAAGCCCTCTCTCCCAAACCTGAAGATTATCATCAGTTTGGACCCGCTGGATGGAGGTGAGCAAGACGGTCACTCTAAGCGTGCCCTTCTTGAGTCCATGGCCGCCGGTATGGGTCTGGCGATTTACACTATCGACCAGGTTGAGGAGCTGGGTTTGGCCTCGAAGCGCGGATATAATGCTCCTTCTGCTTCGGATATTGTCACTATCAACTACACCTCCGGCACGACCGGTCCCCCAAGGGTGTCGTTCTGACACACGGCAATGCCGTGGCGGCCACGTCGTGCGGTCTGGTCGCTATCATTCAAGGCCGAGGTGATACGGCGGTCTCTTATCTGCCGCTGGCCCATATCTATGCCCGTCTTGCAGAGCACTGTGCTTTCTGGGGTGGTGCACGGATTGGTTATTTCCACGGAAACATCGTGGAGTTGGTCGACGACTTGAAGTTGCTGAAGCCCACTGGTTTCATGTCTGTTCCTCGTCTTTACAGTCGATTCGGTAGCGCAATTCGTTCCGCAACGGTCGAACAGGCCGGCTTCAAGGGCGCTCTTTCGCGACACATCATTGCGGCTAAAACCGCAAACATGAAGAATCCCGATCCCTCCAAAGCGACAGTCAAACACGCTGTGTACGATCGCATCTGGGCTAAGAAGGTGACTGCCGCTCTTGGTCTGGAGCGAACCAAACATATGGTGTCTGGCTCGGCGCCCTTGGACCCCACCCTGCACGACTTCCTGCGTGTCGCCACCGGCATGGACGTCCTTCAGGGTTACGGCTTGACCGAGTCCTACGCCCAAGCCACCGCCCAGCCGACCTACGACCTGACCTCTGGCAATTGCGGTAGCCTCGCACCCGCCACCGAGGCATGCTTAGCCTCCCTGCCAGACATGGAGTACTCCGTAGACGACAAGCCGTATCCCCGTGGTGAGCTCATGCTGCGCGGAAACAACTTGTTCCGCGAGTACTACAAGAACGAGGAGGAGACCCGCAGTGCCATCACCGAGGACGGCTGGTTCCGTACTGGCGATGTCTGCACAATCGACGCACAGGGCCGCTTCATCATCATCGACCGCCGCAAGAACGTGCTCAAGCTCGCCCAGGGCGAGTACATCTCCCCCGAGCGTCTGGAGGGCGTCGTCCTTGCCGAGCTCGGCTACGTCGCCCAGGCTTATGTCCACGGCGATAGCATGCAGACCTTCTTGGTTGGCATTTTCGGTGTCGCGCCTGACCTCTTCGCTCCGTTTGCCAGCAAAGTCCTGGGCAAGACCATTGCCCCTACGGACTTGGAAGCGGTCAGGGAATCTTTGAATGATGACAGGCTCCGTCGTGCTGTCCTCCGTGATCTCGAGCGCATGGCTAAGAAGCACAAGTTTGCTGGATATGAGAGAATCCGCAACGTCTCTCTCAAAGTGGAGCCGTTCACCGTTGAGAACAACTTGCTGACCCCGACGTAAGTTTTATTTCCACATCCGTACTCCCAGCATTGCTAATATTATTTTCTCCTTTCCACAGTCTCAAACTCAAGCGTCCCCCCGCCGTCAAGCTATACCGTCCCCTTTTGGATCAGCTCTATGAGCAGGCCATCGAGGAGCAGTCTGCTCCCAAGGCTAAGCTGTAGTGGCTCCAACTTTTTTTTTCTTGTTTATTCTTGTTTTCCATCGTCTCACTCTGGCATTTGGCAATTCTTCGCGGGCTCGGTTCAGAAACTGTACATAGAACCAGTCTGTACATTGTAGTATATTGAACATTCTGATTGATGTCTGGTGCGCTACTACCTTTGGTCATTCGTGGCTTGGGGGTGCGCTCTCTCTAGTCGTATGGTCATTGATTTGGCCTGATAGTCTGGTCTTTAGTTCTAGTTTTCTTTCTCGTGTCTTCCTTACGGGACTAGACTATAGATACATGTATACACATACCCATTTCTCATACGCTACTTGTTGGCTTTCATCTTCTCTTCTTGCCGTCTAAAGTCATATTTTCAAACATAATTTTCTTAGATTCTGCTTGCAAATTCCACCTTGCGTTCCTTGGCATAGGTTAGTTATACCAGACTATATAACTAACCGGCCCCACTTTTATTTCCCAGGCAATAAAACGGACCCTCGCAAGCGAGGGTCTGGCACCCAAACACAAAACCACCCCCAAATGCAAAAACCTTCATAAATCTAAACCTTTCAATTTGATCATCAACCACACCACCACTATGTCTTCCATCAATCAAGAAATCGAGAAGCAGATTCAGCTAGCTATGGAGCACCTCTCCGAGCAATCTAAACCTAATATCTCGAAAACTACGCGAGAATTCGCGGTTCCTATGCACCGGCTACGCCGGCGATGGTAAGGTAGAAAATCACTTTTTCAACGACAACCTAATGGCAGGAAGCTTACTCCTATATAGGAGGGGGCTTTATATAAATATATCGATTACTTTGATTCGGTCGGAGCGTCGATTAACCGCCGTCAAATTGCTACTACTACCAATTCAATTCTTCAATATAATCATACCGATCCGGATATAGATCCGCCACAAATCAGTGCCTACTAGCTACCACGTTTTCTTAAACGGCACCCTAAATATAGTATACGACGGCGGCGGGCCCTAGATATTAAACGGGCAAAGGCATTAGACAAATTAGTAGTTAAGAGGTAGTTTAAAGACTACTAACAGGTGATCGATAAGCACGGAATTTGCCAATAAGATATCTATAATTTCGACGAAACTAGCTTCTAAATTAGCGTCGGACGCGATCAATTTATTATTACTAGGTATCTAAGGAAAAAGCTATTTAATAGATCCGTTACTAACCGTAAATCTATTACAGTTTTAGAGGCTATTTCGGCGGACGGTTTTACCTATCTACTACTAATTATTCTAAGTACTAAATAGGCCTTATTATAGTAGTTTAATAATATTAGTAGCGATAAATATATCGCTACTACCGAAACTAGGTATATTAATAATACTCTAGCCTTTTAATAGATTTAACTCTTCTATAAATAGACAATTAGCCGTACCCTTAGTATAAAACGGCTAGTTCTTTACGATCGTTTTAGATCATATTTAACGTCTCAATTCATCAAATTTTATAAGAAAAATAACATTATTTTATTCTTTTTACTCTCGTATACTAGTTATATACTACAACCCCTTAATATAGGGGTTTTTAGTATATATAAACACTAGTATAGTAAGGCTATTAAAGCAGCTACTATAAGTAGATACCGCAAATTTTTAAAGGATAAATTCCTACATTTAATTAGTAAAATCAGACGAAAAACCTTCCGGCCACATACAATTAAGCTTAGGTTTAGATTAATAGGCCTTTAGCCTATTAATCCCAAGCTAATTACCGATAAATTAGATTTATATAATCTATATTATAATAATCTACTACGGCCGGATACCCCCTTAATATACTCTCAAAATACCGAATTTAGTACCCCAAAAACCGCTAAAAAATTCCGGAAAATTAGCTATCGTATTGATCGATATAATGCTAATACCTAGCGGTTTAAAGACGGGCTAGCAAAGCTTACAAAGGGAGGGGAGGAGCAGGCAACTTTAGCCTCCTAGCTACAGCGGGAGTTCGATAATACAAAGGCTATTATAGGGGCACGCCACGCCAGATATAACAATTCCCGTCGTTATGCCCAGATCACCGGTATCATTAACTCCGGCTAAGTCAAAAAAATGAAGTATAAAGAATATAAATTAACGGAGAAAATCGACCAAGAAAAAACGAAGCGGAAGTGGAAGAAGGTATTGATCGAAATCCGGAAGCATGGAAGGACCAAAAAACATATTGTTAAATAAATTGATTTATATAGATTAGTAGTAATTTGATCAATTGATCTAAATATAGGGTTAAATTGATCGATTTACTATATGGTGGTGGTTTAAATGGTAGTTTAATTGAAAGCTATAAAATATCTTGCATTTGGGGGTGGTTTTGTGTTTGGGTGCCAGACCCTCGCTTGCGAGGGTCCGTTTTATTGCCTGGGAAATAAAAGTGGGGCCGGTTACATGTCCAACAAAAAGAAACCAACACAATCCTTCAACTTCCACCAATCAATCCCATTGTTATTTTGATATGAGAGACCGAGCAACAAAAAAACAAAAACATATGATAAGAGTGGGATTTGAACCCACGCCTCTTGCGAGACACGGAGACAGTTGTGTACCATCGGGATCAGGTGGACCTGAACCGTGCGCCTTAGACCAACTCGGCCATCTTACCAATTGGATGAAAGACGGACGAGAATATGAATTTATGAAGGAGAATACTCAAATTAGGGCTTTCTGTGGTAGCAGCCCATGCTGTGATTCCTCCTACAGCTTCAATTCTTGTTAGTATAAGTTAGCGCTGATATCCCATGTTTTTTCTTCAATATCATTAAATATTGTCTCCATTTGATAGTTGGTGGGTTGTGTTTAATATATATATGCCGAGGGGCTGTTGGTGGACCAAATATATATTCAAACGTAGTATGGTATTCGTGATAACACTGCATAGCCATAACCTATAGCCTTGTCCTAGCAAATAATAAATAATATTGGCTCTACCCACGACACATAGACAGTGGAATACCCTGCGATTCTACCCCATCAATCATTCCTCCCCAGGTAAGGGAGACAAGCCTCATAAATCCCCCCGTAGCCAGGGTATTTGATCATTCTCTGAAACATCCCCTCATCAATAACTCTAATAGACTGAAGGGATCCGACAATGAAGAAATCAGTGTAGCTTGGCCGGACACCAAGCACAAACGGACCATCCGCTTTGTTCGTCCGCATAAGCTCGCCAATAGCGCCCATAGCGTCACTAACACCGTCCCAGACGCGCTCCTCCCTGTCTCCGTCAAGAGGATCTTCAAGACGATGTCCAAGGGCGGCTTCGCGCGTGCGCCGGAAATACTCATGCGAGCGCGGCGACAAGATGCGGACCTCGCGCGGCATCACTGACGAGTACATCGCCTTGCCGAGCACACCGCGTGCCTTGGTCTCGATCTCGCGACCAAGGTCTGAGGTTAGTGGCACCGGTGGGTCTGGGTAGGTAGACTCTAGGAATTGCGCGATCGGGAGTGAGTCCATAATGTATGTGTTGGTTGGCACATGTTGGATTGCGGGGACGGTGTATTTGGATGCTTCCCCCGCAACTAGGCCACTTGGTGATTTGGAGTTAGCTGGGGAAATTCTTCACGTGTGATCCAAGGTCGAGGTTATTTGTTGAGATATGTAAATGAAGCAGAGGGGATTGGCACCCAAAGACTGAAAAGTAATAGAAGGTACATGTAGCATACAGGTTCTTGAGCGTGGGCTCAATGTCCGGAATCTCGAGGAAGACGGTCCTGTAAGGGATATTCTTGTAGTTGAGCATGAGTCGAATGCGCCAGACAACGGGAGAGAAGCTGACGTGCTTAGTGCAGGCCAAGTCGTACAAAACGATATCGGGTTCGGGTTGGGCGGCCATTTCTTCTTGCTGTATCTTGACTACAAAACAAAGGTGAAATGCGATGTAAAGCAAATGATGGAGCACCAGGCGTAATACACAGAAACAGAGGGAAAAGTGATGAGAAGGCCGATGTTGGAATGCTGATTGAGTTAATGGCGGACCTGGGTCAGCACGGATTTATACGAACAAGCACGACTGCAGATACTCAATGATGGAAATGCTATATATAGATTAACTGACCATCCATAGAAGGCTGCCATCCAAGCTGACTAAATACTAAATTAGTGCTTTGGTGTATTTCATCGCTTCTTAACCCAGTGATGAATTACATGAGCCGCTCTATTATTTCCCAAACCCTAAATATCAATAATCCAGCCCCAACAACGTTCTGTATATTGATAGCCCGTGAACTGTATTCAAGCATAAAGCCCTAACTTGAGTGTTTCCCTTCATAAATCTATATTCTCGTCCATCTTTCATTCACTTGGTAAGATGGCCGAGTTGGTCTAAGGCGCACGGTTCAGGTCCACCTGATCCCGATGGTATACAACTGTCTCCGTGTCTCGCAAGAGGCGTGGGTTCAAATCCCACTCTTATCATATGTTTTTGCTTTTTTTTTTTACATTTGGCCTGAAACTGGTATGTTGTAGACTTGCATGGCTTCCATTTTTGTTTTAGTTCATTGGTCAGTCGAGTCGGTCATGTCATGGAATTGGCGGACTAGTCAAGGTGTATATCCTATTCGAGTAGACTTCCGTATGTTAAAAGCTATATATGATATACAGCGAACAGAAGAAACAAGCATGAATAAATCTAAAATGGCAAGTGAAAGTCTACATAACTATGCTGTAGTTAACATAACTAGTTAACTAGAGAGAATACATGTAGGTACTGCGTATGCAAGGTAAAATAAAGATCTGCAAAACGCACAACTTTAAAATTCTCAATTGCCACTTCCACACCAAAAAAATCCAATCGAGCTAACAAAAGCCTTATATCGAGATGAATATGAACAAAAACCAAAAAGATCATGATAAGAGTGGGATTCGAACCCACGCCTCTTGCGAGACCAGGAAACTATTGCTAGTTGTAGAGTCAAGGTATACCTTAACCTGGCGCCTTAGACCAACTCGGCCATCTTACCAGAGAAGATGAAGTGTCAAGAAGACATATGGCTATATGAAAGAAAGACAACTCCTACTACCTTCAACAGGCAAGCTAACAATATAGCCCTGGAGCATTTCCAAGTTAAATATCAAGGATTCCCTTATTGTATTAGCTGTGCTTTGAATGAAGGGTTTTTTTGGCCTAAATGGCTACCTAGGTATATAGCTAGCACTAATAACTCTTATTAACAAGTTATCGACAAATAACTAGAGATGTATTTGTGAAGATATAGTATAGAAAATGTGGCATTTACTACAACTATATTTTTTGGAGATGGCGGTTCGCCTGTGGAACATTAAGGATCAAGAATAAAAAATAAAAAAAAAGAATGCAACGACGGCTGCATGATTCGAACATGCGCCCGCGAACGGAATTGATTTCTAGCTGTTGGAATTGTTAGTGAATGTGTTGGTGGATTTGTTTGGATGAAGAGAAACATACTCAATCGCCTTAGACCACTCGGCCAAACCGCCATTTGATGTAGAAATTGTCAAGAGACATGTTAGATAAACGAAATCTAATTTCATTTATTTACAATGTCTCATCACGGGTAGGTATGCCCATGAAAATACCAATCTACTTCCATCGTGAACAATGTTATAACATTGGCGGTCTCAAGAACCAGTTTGAGATGTTCCCCCGAGATACCCCTAGCTCATATGTAGGGACCAACCCGTGCATCAGCAGCTCCTGTGCTTGTTTCCTGAAATAAAGCCTCTGTTTTTGCAGTACTAAGAGAGCCTTACCTGTTATCCTTACTTGCGGTAAGAATGGGGAGAGACTGGACTTTTGATGCAAGCTATTTTCACAAGATGAGTACAATATTAGTCGTCAAGACTATCGCAGTGAGCCTTGATTCATGAAGCCATAATGTTGGTAGGTACTTCATTCCAGGTTGCAGTGTGAAAGTAGGGTTTGGCAGAAATTTTATTAGGCTACATATGTACATTCATGACCGCCAGAACTAGTGTTGTTTCACAGTCCATTCGGAGTTCGAGATGGAATTTCCCGAATAGGAAATCCAAGGAGGTCCGATGCCGAAGTCCGATGTCGAGGCCCTATCTAGTAGGCATTGTACCTCCTCTCCCTCAATGCCTCGAGTGAGAGTTGCGTATCTAACGTTAGAAGTAAATTCGATGAAAATGGCAACCCCTCGTCGAAATGGACGTCTATCATCGTGCGAGCCTTGCCGGAAGTCCAAACTACGATGCGATCACCAAAGTCCCATCTGTGGTCGATGTCTCTGTCAAGACCAGGCGGATCGTTGCTTCTACCATCCTGCTCCGCTAACTCAGCCGAGCGCACGAGCCCCCAGGGTGATTTCAAGGAGACCGAAGCTAATGTCCTTTCTTGTATTAGCGTCGACTGGGAAACGGGTAATCATGCAGGATATTATCGCGAAGGAATTTTCTCAGCAAACTATTATTGCGGTGGTGCATCGACTTCGTTATATTCATTGGTTCGACCGGGTGATGCTGCTCAAGGATGGGGAACTGGTGGAGTGCGATAGAGCTGAGGTATTGCTGCAGAGAGAGTCTGACTTCCGGAAGCTATATTTGGATTTCCAAAAGCCATATTGATGGGAAGCCAGGAGAAGAGAGAGAGCAATGCAACTGTATTCGGAAGTGCTAACTGCTAAAGAAGAAGAAGAAGAAGAAGAAGGGGAAAGAATAAGAGGGAGAGGAGATTACAGTCCTGTCACACAGGGTCAGGTGACACCCATACCAGCACATATACTATACTACTGGATGATCTTTAGTTGGGGATTTGTATTTACCGATGCTGTTTTATGTATATGCAAATGATGTGACAGCATCGACCAGTTGATTGGCAGAGCTTGGTGAGTTGTATTGTAGAATCTACTGATGGAATGCTAATGGAATGAACGGATATCAAATTTAATTAGAACATCGGGCCTGAAGCTTAAGCTTCCGTATGGACCGGACATAATATTTCAATGTTGTATTTGCATGAATCAACTGAGCCCATAGATGGATGATTACCGTACTGTCCTTCACAACAGTGGCTCCATAGAATATTGGAATATCACTTCCCTTAAATAACAGATAGTATTTCATATAAGCCTAATTCAAGAGGCCATTCATCTTATAGTATAATGACTCAAATCCTATCTCGTATAGAATGCATCTCATATTCCTCTTCTACCTTCCACTCCTGCACCTGGTGAATAATCAGACGTTGCGAGTGCTGACTATCCTGCGACTGCCGGGAAGTAGTGAAGTCAATCTCGTCTCCCTCTCCCCGGTTTATTGAGTAGATGTGGGATTGGTTGACCGATGCGCTCTTCCCAGTAGGTGTGAAATATGAATTTTGGCCGTTGCTATTTGTCACGCCCTGCCCCCATCCAGTGTTGAATGAGATAACAAATGGCTTTAGACATGGCACGGTGGATACCATAATGCTGCAATGAAGGAGAATGGCGGTCACGATCATTGCATTCGATTGATGCAGAGGTGCGTCGGGAAGGAAAAGCGAGTGGTTAAGATAGGTTTGGCGAAGTATAATTAGAATAACAACCCTAGATATTGCGGAATTATTAGCCATTGCAGTTCTTCTTCTTGAATTCCTTCGTCTATGAGATATTAGACACTCACGGAGCTCTTGTCCCAAAAGCAAAAACTACCGCCCATTTTTGCTTCCACCGCATCTGAACCCCCCAAACCAGTAATATACACAGTCCAAAGGTAAGGATATCCGTAATCACATCAAACGCAGTGATCACTTTCCAGGCAATACCCTGCTCTCACTTGTTAGTTGGGTCGCTCGATGTGAGCAAGTATAACGCACAATATTAGTACAATGCTGCGCCATAGAAAATTGGTACTGTGGGAAGCAACTGAAGGCAACCGCAAAAATCGAACCAGTTATCCACGCTGTCACCATTCCCAGAAGAACCTTGGCGCAGATCAAGTAGCCCCCTTGCCGGCCTAGTTGTTTGAGAAGCAAACATATGGATATCTTGGCCGCGCCGTGTCCAGCCAGGAATAAGAGGTTCGCCGCATAGATGTCCTGAATCAATATCCGTCAGTTCATTCTTCTTTCTTTCGAGTAGAACCGGAGGCCGAGCTTGGAGGTTTACGGGGGAGGGAAGACGACCTTTCCAGCGCGTACTAAGTTCGAAACCGAGCTTTCGTCCTCTGATCGGCCCAGGCCATGGGAGATTGCGTCCATGATTGTTCCGACATGAGCAATGGCTATTATCTAGAAAGTGAAGTCCGATCGACATTAGAGATAGGTGGATCGAATTTAGTAGCTGTGGGGTTAGAGACAAAACGAGGAAAGGTTGGGGAGGGGAATAATAGCAAATAGAACTTACACTTCCGGTAAAAACTACCACATCGTCAATCTTGACTGGTCCGTTGATTGCTAGACGCATGTACAGTCGAATCAGGTTCACTATTATCATCCATGTCATGAAAAGTGTTTCAACGATGACAATCAAGCCACTTCGATTCGTCGCGGAGACTGTATAGGGGGAGACGGTCTCCATGAGGGAGTCCAGGCAGTCGAGATGCAATGGAAACTAGAAGACAGAGATTTCGCGACGGATTATGGTTATAACTTTTGAGGAATACTGGGGCCATATTTGCGGCAGATGAATGAATCCAAGGATCATAAATGAACGACAGGGATCTTGGTAGGCTTGATATAATGCATGCGCAGGCAATCACGTCCCGTATCAAGATGTGCGTATGTGTACTGTATAGATCATTTTGTAGGAGTATTTTATTTTAAAGAGCTTTGGAATTACACAACTATAGGAACCTCTTGGGAGTATAAGTCTCTCTTTTTCACATCAACCTCAATTATAAAATATCAAGGCTCGGTATTAAGTAATTTTTCGGTCTATTAGTGCGGTAAGTATATAAAGGAGATAATAATGGATTCATAGATTGATCTAAAATTAAAACCAGTAATTATCTAGATTACCTAGAGAATTATGTCTCACCACAAAGTACGGTATATTATTATGTGTCTTGGACCGCGCAACGGCTTGGTGATTCTATATGTAAAAATCATTTTCGTACAGAAACAAAATACAAGACCTGCAATGGACAATGTTGTATGTGGGACCGAATATCCAGGCTGTTGGCCCAGGCCATCGTTCGCACATGCGTGGAGTACGGAGTACGTATGTTGTATAGTTAGAGCTAATCTCAGAGGAGTTAGGGATCGATCCACCCAATCAGAATATCCCAATAAATTGGGTACATGGCTGGGATTATGATCCTGAATGGGTCCAGGAATGGGCGAGACAGCCGAAGGTAGACTTAGGGACCGTTATTGTGCTTAAAAACCCCACCCAAGCCTAAAGGAAGGGTCTTTTCTCCTTAGACAATGATTAATCGCGCAAAAGAAAAGCCTACTAACCTATGGAATAGCTCGTATATATAAAAAAAACCCCAGCTCGTCAGGGTTGGATGGAGGATGTACTGTGGTTTCTTACGACCGGTACGCTTCTAGTGGTGCCCTAATGCATCGTACTTTGGCCGCTGCCAACCACAAGCTTTGCGGGATATAAATATTTATTATTACCATGTTTTCTTTTTGTTTCCGTTATAGTATTTTTCCCTGTGCCTACGTTGCAATTTTCCAACCGGAAGCACGGTTATATTATTGCCCTAGTTGCAATATCATTGAGTTCATAGTCTAATTTTCCCATCTACTTCTTTTATTTCCTTTTACTGGTTTCCCCCTCAGACATAGACATCCCCTATCACTGGAATTGAAGTGATCATTATCCACCATGGGACGCGAAGACGGAATCATGTTGAACATTCAACACTCTACGCCAGAGACGTCTTTCTTGGAGACCCCCTCCCAAAAGGCAGGCACGGCGCAGGACAAGCAAGACATGTGGCGTGCCGGTCGAGATCAGGAACTAAACGTACGCAACTCTATTCAACCTTTCTGAGTCCCCCGTTCCAAATTACGCAGATCAAAAGAGAAAGAAAAACAAGAGAAAAGAGCAAAATAATGACACCTACTGCAGAGAAACTTCCGGTTTCTTTCCGTTCTTGGGTTTACGGCGGTGCTTATGTGCACATGGGAAGCAGTTCTCTTGTAAGTCTTTCTAAGTAAAGTGATTGATATCTTCACTAGGATAATCACCTCGTTATATCATATTGGGACCTTGTGCTGACCTATTACATTAGCGGTTCATCTAATGGGCTGACCAATGGTGGCAAAGGAGGTATGATCTATACTTACCTGGGAGGCCTGGCAGGGTTCAGCTTTGTGATCCTCTCAATGGCTGAGATGGCTTCCATGTATGCATAGTTCAGATGTCTTGACGATAAGATCGCTAACCCTTAATTCCGATTCTTTTCAGGGCCCCTTTGTCCGGTGGTCAGTATCATTGGGTGTCGGAGTTCGCACCCCCGAATGCTCAGGCTCTATTGAGTTACATTACTGGATGGATTTGCGTGTTAGGTTGGCATACCGGTATCGCAGGATGCTGCTATACAGTCGCTAACATGATGGTTGGCGTGATTGCGATAAACTACCCTGACACATATACCTATAAGCCATGGCATGTCACGCTGCTCGTCATTGCGGTGGCTCTGGTAGCCTTGATATTTAACACATTTCTGGCCCAGAAGCTTCCCTTGATAGAGGGTATCATCTTGATTGTGCACTGTTTCGGTTTCTTTGGAATTTTGATTCCACTTTGGGTGCTGTCCCCTAGGGTTCCTGCTTCCGAGGTATTTGGTTCTATAGAGAATCGGGGTGGATGGGATAACAATGGACTCGCTTGTATGGCAGGGCTGGTTGGACCTATCTATGCATTGATTGGTATGTCCAGGCGTTCATGGATCCTACGTTGGTCGTTGCTAACAATATATCCGGAAAAGGCCCCGACTCGGCGGTTCATATGGGTATGTATCCTGCTATTCCATGATCCATGTAGGGAATTAACACCGGAATACAGCGGAGGAAATTCGAGATGCATCCCGGGTACTTCCTATGGGCATGGTCTGGACACTAATCCTCAACGGGTCCACCGGCTTGGTCATGATTATCACATTTGCGTTCTGTGTGGGCGACATTGATAAAGTGCTTGAGTCTGAAACGGGATTCCCCTTCATCCAGGTCTTCCTCAATGCCACGGGATCAGTCAGTGCCACGACGGGCATGACAGTTGTGATTATGATCATGCAATTTTGCGCGGCGATCAGTAACTTCACCACAACCTCCCGTCAGATCTACTCTTTTGCCCGAGACAAAGGCCTTCCTTTTTCCGATTTTTTGGCACAGGTAAGTTCTTTCACACGCCGCCATTCATGCCTCTGACTAAACTGGGGACAACACCTGGGCAGGTTAACCCAACCTTCACCGTTCCGCTCAATGCTCTTTGCGTCAGTCTTGTCATTGTCTCTCTCCTCTCCCTCATCAATATTGGGTCTTCCGTGGCTTTCAATGCCATCATGTCCCTCGGCACAGCCGCCCTTCTATCCTCCTATATCATTTCCATCACCTGCGTTCGTATTCGGAGATGGCGCAATCAGCCCCTACCACCGGCACGTTGGAGCATGGGCAAGTTCACCCCCATCTGTGACACCATTTCCATCATGGTTTTGCTGGTCATATGGGTCTTTAGTTTCTTCCCCCTGACGAAGAATGTGGACCCAACTTCTATGAATTGGGGTGTGGTAATATTTGGGGGTGTTGTTACGGTTTCACTCGGTTATTATGTGATTTATGCACGGAGGGTGTACAAGGGTCCAGTGACACGGGTAAAATTGATGCAGCAATGATTAATGGAGGCATCATGTAGTTGGCTCACAGGGGTTTAAAAGTCATATAATTATTAGTTTCATTTAGAATTAGTGGATAGACTTCTCTTAGGGAATCTTCATATGATTTTTGTAGTTGTCTAAGGTTCACGACATCCCGGACAGTGATGAGAGTTGACAGAAATCTGTTTGTATTGCAATGTATTGGTATAGATAGTCTGTGGATCTCGATCCCTCATATACCAACAGCATCGGGTCGCCAGAATTCCAAAGTGTTTTAGCAAGAATGAGAGATGGTAGAAGATTCAACAGGCCAAGAGAAAGAAATCGGTGGCAGAGGAGATTTTGCATGCGGCTACAACATACAACATATTCTATAGGGGAACAGCATCATACGAATTGTCCGTGGCCCGGCACTCCCCAAAGTGAGACTTGGTAAAGTCCGGTAGTGCCCATCTCTCTATCCACTCGCATTTTACAATATCTTGCGCAGTTGGCCGCTTTTCCAGCTCAAAAGACAGCATCGACCGCAACATCTTTATAACAGCAGCTTTCTCTTCTATGTCAAAACCTTGGATTCCAGCCTATTGCCGCGGGAGTTGAATATGCTTTTTAAAGCGGTCTTCCTAAGATCTCACGTGTCGACCTTGATTGGGCTTTCTACTTTCATCGAAATATTCGTGGCGCGCCGTCTATTTTTCCCACTACTATAGAGGTAAGTTCCCTAGAGTATCAATCTACTTGGCTGTGATATCGTCCGGCGTAGTAAGTATATCCTTAAATAAGGGGCGCTGGCCGAGTATTATCTAGATAGAATATACGAGTGTCCAAATATCAGCTAAAAAAGAAAGACTATATTCTAACTTAAATCGGGCCTTAGGAGGTATAAAGGATATAGGGGCGTACGAGCTATATCGGTACTCTATAGAGGGTCTATATACCTCTCTAAAATCACTAAGTAGGACTCTAGATTCTAGAAGGGAGAATTTCTCTAAAGCTTTTCTAAGCTAGATAGGAGGGACGACGCTAGATAGAAGACTAGAGTTAAGCGGCTAACTATCAAAACGAATAGCTGGTTCTAACGCGGGCGAACTATACTTTTCGTATAACTCTTTAATTAAGAGCTAATCAAAATCGGCTAGGAGGCGTAAGAGAATATTACCGATATAAAGGTCTAATATAGTAGTTATATAAGTATATAATTATAAAGCTATAAAGAATAGTGACTAACCTCTATAAACAACTCCTTTCCTATAGATATACTTAACGGCTAGCAAAAGTTATATAATAAGCGAACGAGCGGTTATAGCCTAAAAGATACGTTTATATAACCCTTCCTTCGTACTAGAGATACTATATATCGCTAGGGTTGTTATATAGTAAGGGTAGGTACTATTAGGGCTATAAAGGACGAATCTATCTTTAATAGCGGGTATTATTATCCTCCCCGGGTGATCAAGTAGGGAAGAGTGATTAAGATAATTGAGGATATCAACCTTACGATCATTTGAATCTACGGTTCTAACTTTAACTGCCACGTTTGTATTAGACTAGTAGTCCCGGTAGAGCCAAGTGGTTAAGTAGGCTCCGTAGCCTAGCTTATAGGCGACTCGGTATCGGGATTAAAAAACATCTCCTATTAGAATAGGGTGATATCCACTAGGTTGGTACTTTTCAAGTCTCTCGACTCCTTCTATCGGTACATATTTGAAGGGGAGCGGACCGGAGTCAGCACTAGACGAGAAGTTCTTGAAAGCCATAAATGACTTGTATGCGAGTCCAGCAGCAGAAAGTTTCCAAGAACAAGGATAGCAGAGCAACGAGGAAGATGTTGGGTGAATGAACATCTGATCTGACTAGTTAGAGCTTTGTTGACGAGCCCAAAGCGAATTTCGTGACCTGATCACGAAGGCCATTACCAGACGGCGTGAGTTAAGTAAATGATTAGGCGGTGAAAGTCCGGTTAATTATGCCCGCCACAAGGTCGTCTTCCAAAAGGACAGTTTTCCTGTAGTTTGACGAATTGGTTGTTTGGTGGGTGATAAGTTGTGTTGTGGTAGACCGTGGTGTTAGGCTGGCCACCCACTCTCTGGAGATCTGATCTGTAGGAATTAACCTGCGAAGGGGCATAACGGCCAAAGGTCAAATGCCTGAATTTTCAGGCCTGATGCCTGAATTTGCCTGAATGTGCCTGAATATTGTCTCAATTTATTCTGGCAGAAATTAAAATACCTGAATTACTATGACAGAGACCTTAATAAGCAAAGTACCTATATATGTAGGTAATGGATTTGAAAAATGAAGCTATTCCTACCATACAAATTTTTGTATACATCTATTTCTAGGCGTTGAAGCTATTGCGACTGACAAAATATCTCTGCTGAAAGGGGCGCTTTCAATCTTAAACGTGTCCCGGAGGATTTCACCCCCTAGTCAGACAGACAAGGCTCTCTTCGAGGTTGGGCACCAAGGAACACGGCATATCGTGAAGTGCTGGAGTCCTAGACATGATCGGGCGTAAGTACCTTTCCGATTGCTATTATCCTAGTCCTTATCTCACTATATATATTCGTCTAGGTCGAATACGGAATGTGCTGTTTATAGGCGTCTGTCAGACTCACGACCTAGTGGTTACAGTGTCTTCGCGAATATGATACTTGCTGGGAATATAATGTGCTCGAGTTTATTCCCCAACGGAAGGGCGCTTGTCCTCCCCTATAAGGATGGACAGATCCTCGCCTATATCTGGGACGAACTCAGTAACCACGAGCGAACCCACGTCCGTGAGGAATATGAGAAGGCCATCCGTATTCTTCGGTCTCTATCAATCTACGTACCCGATGCGAGAAAGAATAACGTTTTATATCAAAGGGAGACAGGAGCCGTCACAGTATTTAAACTAAATCTGAACTGAACCTGAACTGAACCTGAACTGAACCTGAACTGAACCTGAACTGAACCTGAACTGAACCTGAACTGAATCTGAACTGAATCTGAACTGAATCTGAACTGAATCTGAATGGAATCTGAATGGAATCTAAATCGAATCTATATTATATGGTATTGTATTATAGAGAAGGTAGTTGAAGCTCTAGATCTTTACTCTACGGATTACGAGTGTCGAACTCCCCGGGGTTATTTACACCCGAAGATATCTCAGACTTTCTCTACGAAGAAGGAAAAATTCCATTAACCATCATGGCAAAGGTCTGTGGAGAGTATGTCCGAGAAGAGACTTTAACGGTTACTCGGCCCAGCTTTATACCCTCCGATGTCACATCTACTCCTACTAAAAAGAGGTTTCTAGATGTCTTTGCCTTTGCGCGCCAACAATCCTTTCCGCCAACCTTTTATTTTGCCAAGACGGGACTAAAAGGAAAGAACAAATTAGACGGAAATTGTGTTGATTCGAAGGACAATTTCATCAATTCACTTGGCGGCAATCTTCTTTTCAAGGGTTTATCCCGTCGGGCAGTGGTTAGCCTAGCCGCATTCTTTACACCCCTCGTCTCTTCAAATACCTCTGACCACGAGTTTGGACCTGGTTGCTATACCACTCCTCACTCAAATATCTCCTGGAGTACGCTGGCCCAAATGGCGTCATTTTGATTTTCAAGGATGTTGACTCCGGTCTTTGATGAAGGTAGACTTAGCTCGCCAGGACTGACAAGGGCGGCGCGAAGCCTTACCTTAAGACTGGCGAGTTCGGCGGCGCTGGTGGCATCGGAGGCGGGGAGTCCGACTTTGGAGGCATCTGGGAGAGTGGAGTACATGATGATAGAAAGGAAGAGAAGAAAGAGGGGCTGGGGCGACAGTTTCTAACGTTCGGGAGCATGTACCGGCAACATGGGATCGATCTGATATCTTACAAGGGCCAATTTCGTCTACAGATTCGCATTCCAGACGGAAAGTTCCGGGATCAGAATCACAGGTTGTGGGAGAAAGCCATGCAGGATTGGAAGCCTGTGTTGAGAAAAGTTCGTTGCTTATTGTTATGAACGTCCGTGCTGGGAAATTTTGTTGCTTCGTATCATGAACGGCCGCGTTGAAATTATCATAATTAGGATCGAGAAGCTTCATTATGTATTGCTATGACTATGATGCATATCGTATATCGAGTACGTAGTCCTGCAAGTAAACTAAACCACATCCAACTAGCAAATCGACACGGATATCCAATCTCATTGCTTTTACGAACCGATTATACCAAACACAGAAAGAAGGAACAGCATCTCCTAGTTCCAAGCAATGATGTCGAAATCCTCCGAATAACAGTACTATGACTAGAGTCACATTCGGCTCTTTCCTTTTCCGGGAGGGTGCATTGATTGAGCCCTGGAATAATGAATGAAAATCAATGGCAGAAAAGTATAGTGTAAGAGTACAATTCCATTGGTGAGCTACGACTAAACATCCATGCTAACTAAGTTGAAGTGAGAAATGAATACCCACTCAGTTCAGACAACTGGCCATCCACTGGAAAAGTCGATCTTGTTCCAACCGAACAACTTCTGGTGATCCGCGTAACCAATAGTTGTATCCACATAGTGATAGTACAGGACAGGGCCAAGACTGGAATCGGTAAAGACACCCCTAAACAAAGTAAGCAACGTAACCCAGGAAAATTTTGGACAAATGAGGTGGAAACTTACTGTCCTCCGGGCCCGTAGACGTTGCCGTGGCTTTCCAGCACAACTGTACCTCCTCCATTTGTGCAGGGTACACCAGATTTGTCCACCTAGAAAAAAATACTGTTAGACCAAATTTACATTGGCAGGGGTAAAACACGTACAAATCCGCCAGTTGGCGATGTAGATCGGCAGACCTTGATCTTGTACTCTTCGCCGGGGGCAGGGCGAGATGTATCGAAGGCACAGCATTTTCCAGCAGAGTAGAATAGGTAGTAGTAGCTGCCGTGCTTGTACATATAGGCACCCTCAACCGCATGAGTTCCCGCCGGATCAAAGGCCACATTGTAAGATGACGATGAAACTTTGGTAGCAGCCGAGTTCATAGGAGCTTGGTAGATATCGTGCCAGAAAGAACCAAAGTTCATGTAGTAAGAGCCACCATCATTGAACAGGTTCGCATCGATAGCATTGTAGTTCTTAGAGGAGGAGGACCGGATTCCAGTACTTCCGTGGTCAGTCCAGGAACCCGGCTCCATGTTCGGGGAAGTGGCTACTCCAATCGCCGAATTTTGGGACCCGAATGTCGAAACCGTGTAGTAGACCTGGTAAAGATCATTGACGAGCTGGACGTCGGGTGCCTAAGCAGAGTTATATCAGTACCGACTTAGCAAGGCATTTCGTGTAACTTACCCAGAGGTCATCATTGCCAGGAAGGTCAACTGAGGACCCAGCAGGCAACATAGAGCCAATGTTTGTCCATGGGCCGTTGATGGAGGCCGCACTCGCGTATGATATCTTATTACCAGTGGAAAACCGGAAATACCGCTTGTCAGACGCGCGTTGGATCAAGGTAGGGTCATGCACATTGCAGGGCCCTGAGCAGCCGCCAGGATTGGAGTATGCATTGGCAATAGCTGTAAACAGCACCGCCGGCAGTGTAATACCAGCCAAATACTTCATGGTTTGATATTTACAACAGTGATGGGAACCAATATCGAGTTGTTCAAGGGAAACCCAGGGCCTATTTATATTGACAGGTAGAAACGATCAATCTGTGGACGACTCATGAAAGACGGAGCGTGTTTTCTCAATATTAACCGGACTGGCAAACTGTACGAGTACGATTTACCGTGGTGAATTTGCGCTTGAGCCATCTGGGGAAATCCCCGAGACATTCATCAGCCAACAGGGGCAAGATGGGACTAAACCATGGGGTGTCTCACCGATTGGTGGAATTACCATACTACATACCAAGGTATCTGCCGAATATGTGACGAAACACGCTAACTGCGCCACATTGGCTCCAAATGGGACTAAATCATCGGTGCAACACCAACTTGGTGGAAGATGGAACACTAGCCGCAGCCCTTCGGTGCTACACTAGATCATTAGGTAATGATTCCATTACCCTCGAGGTCGAGACCTCAGCTGCCTGTTAGTAACCGATGGAGATACTACTAAGTAGAGATTCTCATGAAGTAGAGTGGACGGAGAGAAGAGAGGAAGAGAGAGAAGAGATGTGTGGATGTGTCCCATGTGGGGCTGCTGCCTCAGGCATAATAAGGCACCCAACAGTAACCCCTTACAGTAACTAGTTAGTTACTACCTAACTAGGTAAATAGCACGACTTCATAATCTGGCGAACCAAACGTCTGGGTGTACTACTGGTATTCTTAGACCGCGGTATCACTTGCTGTATGTTACACAAACTATTGCTGATACGTACCCCCTCTTCGTAGAATTTTCTATGTATAATAAATAGGTCTGAACAAGGCCTCGATCATTTTCTGGTCATTTGTTGGTTTTTCTTTACTTCTTTTTATTTTTCTTTCCCTTTTTGATATGATGGCAAATGGATCTGAGCCCCTTAGTCTTTATGTTAAATAACCATGGGGAAAATATGTAACTAATTTAGGCTTAACTACTACTGTACAGAAAGTAATACCCGAAATGGGATCGTCAGCCTTATAAGGCGATGCCAAGCCGTAGAGCCGGGGTGAAGAGGGTTTTATTGGAAGCCAGTGCCTAGAGGCCTTTCCCTATTTCTCTCGCCTGCATGCTATTTTTGCTATTCTTTTTCCACATCCTAGATTTCACCGTACTCTTTCCGGTTTCTTATTTCTTTAGGTTCTCCTTCGCCGACTACAGGTGTACGGAGTAGTAGCAAGCATACAGATCTATGGATTGCGCTTTCTCCATACTCCGTACTATAGACCCCTTTTAATCTATTAATGATATCTGATCCAATCGATTAGGGGGCAGGGGGCAGTTGAAAGCTGCCATAGGTCCAATCCTTTTATTCCTCTCCACTCTTGATACATAAAAAATCATCAAACTTGCTTGACCGCATCAAATTAGATAAGCTCCTTAGACAACCTTTCAACTTCTAACTTCTAATGTTTCGAGCTTAGAGGTTAGAAGAAAAAAAAGAAAAAAGAGATGCCGGCGTTAAATCGGCAAAATCGAATTTCAAAAAGCGTTCTAATGCTTGGCAGACGCAAAACAGGTCAGGCAGCAGCATTTTGCAAGTTGTGATATATTCACATTGTTGGCAGAGGGAGTGTTGTTTCCATTCAACCAGATCGACAAGGCCGGCCTGGGATCTGTTCAATTGTGTCCCGGTAGGGAGCAATCCGCATGATTTCAATGTACCATGTTAGCCACCAAGGGTGTTGTTGGGGGATTTGCCAATGACCTCGCCCAGACAATCCCAGAACAGGGAGTATCTCGTCTTGATAATCTGTCAGACAGAATATAAATGCCCGTGACAATGTTACATTTGCGAAAACTTAAGAACAATGTCACTATTCGAGCCCCCGGGAACAAATAAGTAAGTGGTCACACCTGTCACGGAGTAGATGTTTCTCCTTTCTGAGTATCTAGTGAATGTGGACTAAGCAAATATATGTTGCAGGAGGACTGTTAGACCATAAACTGAACAATAGAGCTATTTCCGACAGCACTCTCAAATAAAAGAAAGCAGCCGCGGTGTCCACATTATTCAGATCCTCCTGCCAATCGAAGCTCCCTAAGAAGCTATTATCGTACCAATCAACCTCGGAATTTGTGGTGACGCTGTCCGAATTGCTGGTGACAATGCGCAATTTCAATATATTGGTGTTCCATAAGCCATCTCTTTTGTCGTAACTTCCGGCCTTATGTAAAGATAGCACGGTTTCAAAACAGGATAGTTCGCCAGGGTAATGTAAAATAAACAACACGTACATATAGCAAGGTCTGATGGGGCAGATGGGGTCGACGGGGCCGAGGGGATCGGTGGGGGTCGATCAGTAAACCAGGTGATGCACGATGGACACTCGATGTTGTAAGCTGCCAATTGCTGACTTCTTACTTGCCCAAGGATTTCAAACCGAAGTCTTTTTCTTCCTTTCTTGCGCAATCAAGACCCCACGCAGACCCACTTTCACATCCCTTGATGTTGGTTTTGAGAAGACTGCACAGCATAAAAAACTAGGCAAGTGTCCTGATTCTTCCAGGCTACACTCTGTTTTGTCCTCACGGCTACTCCCTGGGCATCAGAGGAACTTTACTCAGCATGCAGCAATCTGGGTCACTGAGCAATCTCTGCGACTGGGCGCCGCAAGATTTGGGAATGACCTTTATATTCGGTTTCAGCCTCTTCCCTGTTTCCTTCTTGTTGTTTCGACAGATTACCGCGTTTTATAATGCGAATTTTCACCCTCTCTGTAAATTCCCGGGCCCAGTTGCGGCATGCCGATCAGAGACATGGCTGTGTCAAATGACGAAAAGCGACTTCCAGGAACACAACTTTGAAAAACTACACGAAAAATACAGTGCGCCCGAAGATCTTCGTCTTAGGAAATAATTTGATACTAATTGAGCAACTTGCTTGACCAGATACCCAGGCCCTTCGCATCGGACCCAACGAGCTGCACATCACTGATGTCAACCTATACAAAGTTATCCTCAGCAAGTCCAGCCTGTTTCCCAAGTACGCTCCATTCTACGATGGATTCAACACCCCTCATACCGTATTCACCGAATGTGACCCTCCGTTTCACAAAGAGCTCCGTCGATTACTGAACCCGCGTTTTTCTCATGTTGGATTATTCAAGTTGGAGCCCATTATTCAACAAAATATCAAAATGCTTGTTGGAAAAATTCATTTTCTGGCAGCTAATGGACCGGTGAACGCCTATGATGCTTTTAGGTAAGATATATCATAATCTTGTTTCCTCTTTGCTAAAACCTTCTAACAGGTTAATGACCACTGAGGTTATCCTGCAATTTACATGTGGAAGAGCCGGGGGCCTTATGGAAGAAGATCAGAACGGTTTCCGCTCATCGATCCTGGGGGGGCTTTAACGCCGCCTCAAAAAGAATTCCCGACCTGCAGTACCAGCCATGGCTTCGAAAGCTGATCAACATCATCCCGCAAACCCTTGTATACAACTTAAGTCCGGAAATTGGAAGTTTACTAGACATTACAAAGGTACATGTCCATGCTTTTCAAGGCATGAGTAGCGTACCCTAAGCTAACTAAACCTGAAGCTCGCTGAAGACTCCGCGCGTCACTTGCAGAAGTCCGAATCTAGGTCCGACCATCCAGTGGTATTAGAAAGATTGGAGACAGTCAATGATGCGGAAAAAGTGACCGAGGCGATGGACATTTTGATTGCCGATGCGGACACTACGGCTTCTACTTTGACAACTGGGTTGATCCACATTCTGTCTGACAGTGAAATTGAGCGTCGATTGCTCAACGAGGTTGATTTACTCCCGCCAGACGAGAATGGCCAACTTCCCCTTCAGACTTTGGAAAAGTCAGAATACTTGGTAGGCCATCCCATGATATATTGTGCTCACTATGCAATTGAGGTGTATTAACCAGGTTTGTACAGAATGCTACTGTCAAGGAAACACTTCGAGTCGGCATGGCCGTTCCAGGTCGGCTTCCTCGTGTTGTGTCAGATTCTCTCACGGAGCCTTTCATTGTTGATGGCAAGGTAGTTCCACCGGGTACGACTGTCTCCATATCTACCTACACCATGCACACAGATACTTCGATATGGGGCCCGGATGCCCGCAAATTTCGACCTGACCGGTGGATCGGTCCTCAGAGCAAGGGCCTGGAGCAGTATTTGTGTATTTTTCCCAAGGGCGCAAGGATGTGCATCGGTCAGAAGTGAGTATCAGCACCACTTCATTCACCCAAAAAAAGGATATTAACGTTTTCTCTCAGTCTCGCGCTTGCCGAGATTATCATCGCACTAGCCTATATCCTGCGTAACTTCAAGATGAGTTTACGATCAAAAAGTGATATTGGGGCGAAAAATGATCGATTTACGCTGCAGTACGAAGCTCATGGGGCTCAGGTCACATTCAAGCCGCGTTCGTGATTTTTTAAGGGCTGATGGTCACTTTGGAAGGTTGGTTGCCGACCTTATACAACTTGCGAGTGATAATGCATCGATCTTTTCAATTATTTTGGACTGCAGAAAGTAATTCGCAATCTCGCCTTCAACTCGTCACCTGCACAGGTTTACCTCTAGCCGCCTCTAAATATCTACTGAAAACAGAACACTCGTCTCCTCCAAACGCCGACCAGCAGTCTCAGGAAGCAAAATCCCAGTCCATAGGAGCCCAAAGAAAGTCATCACCGAAAAGAACCAGAAAGTCCCTTCTGGCTGCATGCTATCAAGCAGCAACATCGACGGAACCGCCTATCTAAATCAGCACAAAGCAACCATCGCACTCCGGCTGATCAACACATACCTTTGAAATACCATACCGATTTGCATAATGGAAACACATTAACAGACTCGATCCAGTCGAGCGAACACGAAGCGGGAAAATCTCGGCATTGATCACATATTGCATGGAGTTCCAGCCCATTGCCCAACCGATTCCAACAAAGTACAAGAAAACGATAGCCCCGATAGCTGCCCTTTTCATAGACTCCGAACTTTCCTGGGCCGAGAAGGACTCAACAGTCAAGAATATGGCGACATATATAAAAGCAATCTGCTGCACCATAATACCAAACAATAGAGATCTCTTGCGTCCTATGTGGTCGATCAAAAGGATGGCGCACAGGAAAGAGGCAATTAACTTCACGGCACCGAAGACAGCTGTGACCAACAGTTTCTGCGATTGACCTTTTATACCGAAGAGGGCGAAGAGCTCGGGCGCATAAGCTGTAAAAATAAAGTCAGCATCGAAACGCGAAACGTTCCGCTGTTCGGGCATATCACATACTGGTAATGGAGTTGGCGCCGGACCATTGAGCGAGTATCTGCCCCGAAAAGACAAATAGCAGCCTTCTCTGGTTAGCCTTGACAGAAAACAGCTCCTTTATAGCTCGGAACCACGATTCTCTTATAGTGTGGTTTTGATCCGCTTCCAGCTCATAATGAATGCCTTCAATCTCTGAGATCACTTCAGGGTGTAACGCAGGCACACCCCAAATCCTACCCAGTGCCTCTTTCGCTTTCCACCAATCTCCGATTTTGCACAGATACCTGGGACTCTCCTCACACAGGAACGACAACAGAATCAAAAGACCAGCAACTATGACCTGAATGCTCTGTGGAATGATCCATTGTTTGGAATTTGTATTGGAGATATGCAACGATGCACCCCAAGCCGAGAAATACTGAAACGCATCAGCGTCAATGAAGCTCATAAAAAAAAGAAAAGGATGAAAAAGAGAATGCAAAAGGGACCAATCACCAACTCGACTCACCCCAATCATAATCCCAAGATACTCCGACATGGCAAACGTATTAATCAACATCCCACGAGCATGGGCAGGTGCAATTTCTGCCAGATAAGTCGGAGCCACGACGCCGGCCTGACCAATTCCTAGACCCATGATGAACCGACCAGCATACAACTGACCCAGATTCCCGGTGGAGGTGATGACAATTATAGATCCGAGCATCCAAAACATGCAAAGCTGCCTCATGGTCCAAAGTAGACCGATACGCTCACAGAGGAAGAAAGCAATCAAGGCCCCCGGTATACTACCGATATGGACCATGGACGTAATATTTGAGAGGATATTCGCTTGCTGCGATGAATCGAGGTCGTTGCCTTGAATGTGGAACTCATCGATGAAAGACTTCTGCGTCACCGTTGTTGAGATGATACCCTCGTCGAGACCTTTTTTTGAGTTAATTGGCCTGGATGGGAAGGGGGAGGGGGTAGTTGGATAAATGCATACCTCTGGACATGCCCGACAAACCAAAACACAAAGCCGCACAAAGCAATTCAACGCTACAGTTTTTGAAAACTGAGCATGACTTTCCAGAAGTTCCAGAAGTTCTCATGGTGTATACTGGTAGACATTGGACATGAATGTGGACAGGTCAAGGGACATTTCACTTGTAACTTTATTTGATTGCAATAACACTGCGATAGTGAGAGTTCCTAGTACATATATAAAAAGTATATATAATTTGCCGTCTAGATCGAGTTTACTCATTTCTGCTCAGAATTATGTTATCTCCTGGCGAAAAATAATTCACGGGGGACCTTGTAGCTAACGAATGTTTCTGAAATTCGTGACCCACTCAGCCCTATAGGGGTGGATTGAATCCACAGGGACGTACTTCGACATATCCACAGCGGAAAATTGAACTACATAGTTAACCTACCCGATTGGTTCTCGTCATGACGCATTCAGCCCTATAGTCGCCTGTGTAGGCTCGAATATATCAGCACTGACGGTGAGACATGAGTCTCTGTGGGTCATGTATCGGGTCCCCCCTTTACGTGTGAGCAAATGGAGGATGAGAACTAAAAAATGGCCATCGTCGTTAATACCCGATTGAGAGCCCGGTAACTCTCGACCCCAAGATATACCGAGGGTACGCAACTTGACCATCTTTCCATCTCAAATACCACGGCTATGAGAGCGAGTACCAATGCATGCTAGGGGAGTAACGGGCACATACATTTTACCTCATGCCTTTCGAGCCCACGGGAATAGTGTCCAAGCAGATAGTTTGCAGTCGCACTATGTGGATGCACAAATTTGGGGAAGTCGGCTATACTTCTCATTCGTCGAACAGATACCCTTGCCACTCATACCTGAGAAAAGGAGATATATATAATTAGGCTGACGCGGCCAATAAACCGTAAGCACCCTTTATTGGATTGAATTAGAGTGGAACGGCAGCCCATTGACAGGTTTCTGTCGTCTCTGCTCGATATTACACAAATTGCGCAAAATACACATTCCAACAGTAAAAGGCTTACCGAGTACGATTCCAGGGCCTCAAGTTTTCGAATAGGAGTATTAGATGAAATAATGTCTTGGCTGATCCTTTGGTATCGGATGCTCGGCATACAAAGATCGGCGCCCTCAGCCCTACAGATAGTGGGCGCGCAAGAGAATAATTCTAGTTTCCGGTTTCTACTCTGAAGATGGAAGGAGATTGAAGATCATATTCAGGAGAAACAAGCTATCTCTTACATAAATTATACAACATTGAACCCATCTTTCATTCTGCACACAGGAGATTAGGTATCATCTCTATTGATCATCTTTCATTCGATTTGAGTCATCATTTGGGGGCTACCAAAGACCGCTTTAAGCCCACTTTCCAATAAGCGCCATGATACCAGCCCCCAACAAAGTACAGCAAACCATAAACAGCAACTTCGATCTCCTCTTAGTCCGACAGGGATCAAACAAAAAGTCTCTAGCCAATAACTCCACAAGACTAGTATATATCAGGACACCGGCGGAGACGGCATTCAACACACCTTGAATGATAAGCGAAACCTTTGACCCGGGAGTATAGGTAGTGTGCACACCGAGACCGATCGCGATGGAGACAGGAGTCGTCAATCCATAAGCGGCGCACAGAATCCACGGCAACCAGGTATGTTTCCCGAACGGGATGGCAGACATTCTCGCGCCGATACCAAGCCCTTCGAAGGATTGGTGGAAGACGAGGACTGGGTACAGGGTCGCAAATTCTGAGCCTGTCACGCCGAGGTTCAGACCAATTATGACGGAGTGGAAGATAATTCCGAATTCCAGGAGGAGGAAAGCGGCAATCTGTTGTCTGAAGGAGCGTTCAGCGGTGACGGAGCCTTGTGATGACCATGTCTCTGTGCCTTCCTCGTCCTTTGGTGTGGGAGTTGCTTGTTTTGGTGACAGGACATCCTGCTGTTCCTGGCTGATGAAGACATTGGTTGCTTCTTCGTCCCTGTGGACACCGTATTTATGCTCCACATAAACCTCCGCAGCCAAGTCTACAAGGAAGATAACAACCACTGAGACTAGGACGATAGCTGCGCACCACGAGTACTCGGCCCAGTATCCAGATTCACCGACACAGGTTCTGGGACCGATGCGTTTGTAGGCTGGATCAAGGAGATGGATAAAAGCGGTAGTGATAATAACACCGGTGCCAAAATATCGGGCGAAAAGATAGACGCCCTGTGGAATTTTCCAACTCGGCATGCGCTTGGACAGAACAGGGAAGACGGTAAAGGCAGAGGAAACAAAGAGGATCACGAAGATGGAAGATATGCGGGCACCAAGGTGACCGTTGTAGTCATTTTCTGAAACAGCAAAGTAGCAGAGAACATCTTCCTTGCTGGCCGTGGTGAGGTCGACGTTTGCAGGGTCGAAAGACATTTGTCGCGAGTTTGGAGAGGCCATTGTGAAATAACAATGGGTATTTTATACTCATCGCCATGAGGACCTTGGGTTCCTGAGGACCGAGATGGTATTTCAAACCTGCTGCCTAGTATCTCATCTTGTAAGATAGCTGGAGGTCGGCTATTGCTCCGATCATGGTTACATGGGTCCGGGTATATAGGGCTGAATTGAGGAGAGCTGCGCTATGAGATGACTTTAACTGGTTATGATCAGATCGAGGGTGGCCTTCAAATTTTCGTGTGGAGCTGGTAATGTGGACTCTCAGAAATAGATTTGCCTGTCCGTTTTATATCTGCATTTATATCGGGGCGTCATTTACCCTTTGACTATGTGATACAGCAAACTGATTGAATAGCTCGTATGTGTCTGTGTCAGTGTCACATCCATAGTTTGATTACGGTATGAACCCAAAGCGAAGAATGACCAAATCGTGGTTCTGGTGTGGTTCTGGTATATAAGGACCCGTGGGGTTAGTGACTCCATTTAGCGGTTTATTCGAGACAAGCCTCCCAAGCTTTTGCCCACTTTCCGGCATTACGAACATTGTTATTTGCCGTGTCTTGGGCTTAAGAGAGAGAGCGAGCTCCCAAACTACAGAACTATCTAACGTAATTCAACCATTTACCATGCCACCAATTCACCCCCGAATCTCTAGGAATTTAATACAGCAAGGTATTAGGGGCTTATTAGCTGTCCAGTCGTTTAAAAATAAAGAAATCTGGTCTATTCGCGAAGTGGCACGTCAATTGTAATGCAACCTTGATGTCGTGACCAATAAAAGATGTATCTTTGTCAAATCCAACTCCATGTGAGAGATACAAGAAAGAAAAGTCCCACGCGTGATAAGTGATATGGTAGTTGCTTATATAGTTACCGGAATCCTTGCTGTATTTAGTGAGACCTATGTTGTAGTCGCTAAATTCCGGGGCGTTTTTACTCCGCGTCGGAGATAATTAAACGCCAATGCCAAGGGGGATTATCAATCAGGGCCCCCATGTTTCGTGATATATAAACCAGGTCCCTGTTACTCTCCACCATATAATTAATCTTGTATTTCCTTGTCCATTCGTACACATCATGTCGGATATCAAGAATATTCTTGTCTTGGGTGCAGGAGAGCTGGGCACACAGGTATTGCTCTCACTAGCTAAACATCCCCACCTAAAGAACATCACTATTACTGTCTTGTTGCGACCATCCAGCATTTCCTCAAAAGACCAGGACAAGGCACGTCATATTTCTATGTTATACGACCAGAGTATTTTGGCCGTTCCCGGTGATCTCACGCACGATTCACAAGAATCCCTCTCCCGAATCTTTCGCAACTATGATACAATCATCGGCTGTACAGGATTCGCTGCCGGACGGGGTACTCAACGCAAACTAGTCCACGCAATACTCGCTGCCAAAGTTCCGCGCTACATTCCATGGCAGTTCGGAGTCGACTACGATATTATCGGACGAGGATCCGCACAAGACCTCTTTGATGAGCAGCTAGAAGTACGCGATCTATTGCGCTCGCAGACCAGCACTAGATGGCTGATAATCTCTACCGGAATGTTTATCAGTTTCCTTTTTGAGCCATCATTTGGGGTGGTCAACTTGAAAGACAATGTTGTATGCGCATTGGGTAGCTGGGATACGAAAGTCACCGTCACAGCCCCCGAGGATATCGGAAAGATCACTGCGGAAATTATGCTTAGTTCTAAGCATAAGGAACCCTTCAGCAATAAGGCAATTCATATTGCTGGTGATACTATTAGTTATGCAGAGCTGGCTCTATTATTAGAGAAGAGCACTGGAAACCCTGTTCAGAGAACTCTACGAACAGTCCAGGGTGCACAGTCCGATCTTGCAAATGAACCCGATAACGCAATTTACAAATACCAAGTTGTCTTTGGAGAAGGCCGTGGCGTGTCTTGGGACTTGTCTACGACGTGGAATTATGAGAAAGGAATACTTGGTCTATCCGTCAAGGAATATATCGACCGCTACATAGGATAAACTTGTGAATAGTTCATCAAGTGAATGATCTAATCAGAATGAAGCCTGCTTTTTGTGAGAATTACTCCATATTTAGTAATTTATGTAGTCATCTCATTCTGACTTTAAATCCCGATCGATGGGATTTGCATGGGCTGCCCAAGCAGAGTGACAACAGCAGAAACCATCATGAATTCGATATGATTCATATGCGGTAGGTGATATTAGCCAAGGCAAATATTATATGTGCATAGATTAAGCAATCGAGGAGACTCTTGAGCACTTGAGTGCTTTGATTAATCGGGCTGATCAAATCAAGCCGACAAAACCAGGCCGGGTACATTGCCAGAGTTCGACGTATTTACCGAGATATCGAGATTACCTTCGGATGGGACACCGATGGTTTGCGATAGGCCTATCAAGTGGGAATAGTAATGAGTATTGAATATTCATCGAATGGAAGAAGGACTGGAAAGAATACCCTTCTTGAAGTCAACAAAATCAGGCCGTACCAAACAAAGACTCATCTCCTAGCTCGCACACCAGGTCCCTTAGAGAGTCATCATGGGAGATCATTCCATCTGGCCATACGAAGGCTTTATCTGCCAGAAAACTATCTATAAGAGGATGATCTAGGGGAATTCCGTCCCCAAAGCCTATGGCCGACCCATCGACATCATGAACCAGTTGTTCCTGTGGCATTGTACTTCCATTGTGGGCCGCAGATATACGGTACTTTGCTTCGTTGGCTTCTCTCATCTTTCCAACACTTGCTCGGGTACGTTGTAGTCTCTCATGGTAGTCAAAGCTAGGAAGATTACCATCTTCCTTCATAGCTCGGAGTATAGTGAAAGCACATGAGACAGCATCTGACATGCCCACGTTTGGGTCCATGACTGCAGACATGATCAAGATGAGAGTGGAAGAGAAGAGGTAGTGCGCATCAAAGTATCCAAATGACGCTAGAGATCCGTCAACAAACAGTTTCGTTAGGATGGAATTCGATGCCCGTGCGGCCTGTACACAGCTTTCTGCCAGGGCGAGGGTAGTAGGGGAAAAGACTCTAGGCGGGTCTTCAGTAGCTGTAGCGCTCAGTGAAAAGCGATTCTTGAAAAGATATAATAGAATCGGACGTGTTGTCGAAATCACACATTGATTATAATGAAGATGAAGACTGGAAATATTTCGAGGCAAATGCTCTTGGCGTAGTTGTAGCATTGATGGGAGTTCGTCATTCCATTTTCGTAGACTCAGAAGAATTCGATGCACCCTTTGCACAAAGGTTTCTGTAGTTCTCTGTGGGAGGCAATATATGTCATTAACTAGAATGAAGCTCATTAGTGATACGGACGGCCTAAAGTGGAAAGAGACCTTTACGGATTTGCCCTGTGATTTTCGCCAGCTTAACGTTCGCGACTAGGTGACTGGGATCGGTAAATTCCTCCAACTCGGCTGGAGTAAGGCCTTCATTCGTTGGAAGCTCAACATCAATCACAGCATCGCTTATAAGCAAAGGGTATCCGAGGTTGGAGCTGCATAGTCGGTCAAGCGTGTACAGTGTCCACCAGACGCGCTTTCGGTGCTCACGATCCACCGGGCATAGCTTGGTATCTGTGGGCAGACTTCGATGAAGGCCCAATCCAAGGGCTATTCTCAGAGCAATACCGCTATAGGTGTACGCTGTTTTGACGCGCCCTAGAGCGTTTGAATAAAAGCACTATGGAACTGCCGTTAGCAAAGCCACCGATTTTAAGGGTTGCGGGAACCTTGCAATGTATCAACTTACAAAAAGAATCATGACTTCTACCTGCTCCACTGAAGGGGTTTCATATAGATCTTGCAATAAACCAACCGCACGCAGGAAGTAGTCTGTTCCTGGTACGTGTTGATCGGCCATCCTTCGTTTTCGGTTCGAATACATTTCACCCAGCGCTAGCAGTACAAAACACTTGCACATCCATGCAGGGTTCCTGGGAATCCCTCCGGTACACGTTCGGTCCAGCATGTCGAAAAAGGTTCTCTTCAGAACTAAATGGTAGTCGGTACCTAGGAATCGAATGGCAACCTCCGCCAATAAGCGAGCTTGTATCCGGTCAGGCAACACCACCTCTGGGCACATCAGACGATGAAGAATATCGTGTTGGAAATATGTCGGAGATGCCCAGGATGAAAAATCGGCATCTTTGTCAACGCATTGGAGCAAGGTGTCCCCAAAGCCAACGCAGGAAGCCTCACCAATAAAGATCGGCTGTGAGGATGACCTAGTGGCAACGAACCCTGTGGGTGATTCAAGAAGAGGATTAGAAACATCAATATCTGGGGACTGAGTCGAGGGCTGAACTAGATCCGGAGTAGGACAGCTCGCCTCATCTAGCTCAGATGAGGCTCTTGGCCGCTGCTTTTGGGCTCTCAAGGCTTTGACTTCTCCCTCTAGCTTTTTGATGTATCTGGGATCTCGATTTCATTAGTTTCCATGCGTACTCAGAAAGGCTTGAATTTGGTATCATACGTCTCGGACACCGATATCTTTCGGTCTCGTGTAGGAAACTCGCACTGGTCGTGATTTTGTGACATGCAACATGATTGACAGGGCTGAGTCCCCGAGCATTTGATCTTCTGTGAGTGACACCGTCGGCAACTATACCGAACCATAACTTGTCAGCCTAGGAAGAGATAGGATTCGGGACATCTCACGCTACATAGATGCGTCTTTGACGCTTGGCTGAGGGGCCGTGTCTGGATGCCATGACAGTACATAGATGAAGTGACGAAATGGAGAAGGCGAAGTCTGTAAACAAAGACAGTACGTTATCTGCGGGGAAACGAGATAAGAGTGCGGAGTGCGGAGTAATAACCTACGCGTATCCCCGGGTTACTGTTAGGGACAAAGAAACATATGGGTTGTATTGGGATAGCTGCTAGAGAGAGAGAGAGAGAGAGAAAGAAAGAAAAAGAAAGAAACATGCAACAGGTAGGGAACGAGCCCTATCCACCTCAGGCACGCAGCGGTATAGGTGCCATGTGATACAACCCCGTTTAGGGTATGATCATGTCTGGATTAAGACTGACGGAAAAATAAGATACTTGAATTACTATTATAAAGGCCTTAAAAAGTAAAGTACCTTGGTTCTGTTTGTCGCATGGCACCTATACCGCTGCGTAGAAACGCCGTTTTAACTGTTCGGACACCAAAGACAACTTTATCCATTAGGACAACTAACCAACTACAGAGAGTATCGGAAGAACACATCATAGTCGCCTTTCTCCGGTCTTCTTTCCAGCAACTCACCTGCTTCTTCGGCCCGGCGAATTCTCTCTGCTCTCTGTCTGTTTACTACTGTCATTCCCGTCATCAACAAAGCAACCATCATCAATGCCACCACCGCAAGCCCCAGGCTGATCGAAAGTCCCTTTATATACCGCGGGGAAGATTCCGTGGTGAATATCTGCCCGACAGCGACGCCTGCAGTGTTTCCAAAGCAGAGTGTCATCCCGACCATCGTAGCCCGTTTGAAGTGGCGAGCTGCGTTGTCTTGAAGCCATATGAGCGACAAACCGGCTGTGGGATAAATGCCGAGGGCGACAACTAGAAAAATTATATTCAAAAACGGCAAAATGGAGTCAAGGGGATTCTAAACTTACCAAAACACGCGAAGTATCGGACTCTCAGGCTCTCCACCGAAATAAGAATCGAGTAGCCGATGATCAGACATAGCAGGGGCCCGGCGAGGAACGGACCTCTGAGATTGGCCCGATCCGAACAATATGCAATCATGAGGAACCACACCAGGCCGACCATGTAGATTGGGACTGTCATCAGATTTGCCTGTACGCCGGAGTATCCCAACCCAGAAATGATTTTGGGCAGGAAAGTGGTGAATCCATAAAGAGAGATGTCCACGCAGAACTGGTAGATCCAAAACGCAAACCATTTAGGATCGGTGAGAGCACTTAAAGACTCGGCCCAACTGAATTCTTCATCCTGTCCCCAATGAGGATCATTGTCATATCGGGCTTGAATCATGCTCTTTTCTTCGGCACTTAGAAACCAGGCAGTGGTTGGATGTTTCGGGAACACGAAAAGGAAAAGTGGCACGAGTATCAAAGTCATGGCACCTTCAACCGCAAACAGCCAGCGCCAGCCTTTCCATCCATTAGGTCCGTGGACCTGCGTGAGACCGTAAGCGAGAAGTCCACCAAACGCACTCGAAAAGGCACTAAATGCAAAGATTAAAGCAGAGCGTTTTCCACGTTCACTCTTCTTGTATACTAGCGCAATGTATACATTGATGCAGGGGACTAATCCAGCTTCGAAAAGGCCGGTCAGGAGCCGACACGCATAAAGCCCTTGCCAGTTTTGGATGAAGGCTAAACGGGTTAGCACCTGAACATAGAACTTTGAAACCCAATCTACATACCCATTCCAAGAGTTGTAATCCCCCAGCAGAAGGCGCACGTTGATAACAATGGCTTAGGCCCGATGATCTTAAGAAGCACCGCAATCGGTCCCTCGAAGGGAACATAGGTGGCGTACCTGTTGGGAAAATATATCATCAGGAATTATTCAAACATAGCAAAGGTTAAAAGGACCAAGAGCTCATACAGTAAAGTCGTAGCGGTTCCAAACTGATTCCCAGTTAGGCCCAAGTCCTCTGAGAACCCAGCTGTGTTCGCGTTTCCGATATTGCTTCTGTCCAAGTTGGCCATCATGTAAAAGAGACCTAACATTCCAATAGCGAAAAGCTATATTAACATTAGCAATGCAAGCACTTGAGCCTTGATGCACATATGTGCATGTGATGCCATCTTACATCGAATTTCCTCATCATCCTGCTTTCTTTGACTGGATCAATGTAGATCTCGGCTGAACCGACGCCTGTGCCGGACTCGTAAATGTCGGCCGTGTGAGCCTCTTTGAATGATTTCGTTCCCATTTGAGCGTGTTTAATGTTTGGCAGGGTGAAAAAGGGGCCTTGTGTTTGCCCTGGAGGTGACAACGAAGTTGCGAGGTCCGGCAGATTATGTTTGATATATAACGCTAGTTGTACGATAATAAGCCCCTACAAGGAGGACACTAGATTATAGGATCCTTTGACCTCGAGACCCGGAGGTCCGAGACTATGCTTAGCGAGACCATACAGCAGCTTTCGTACTTTCATTCAACTTTAACTTAACTGACCAATGTCCTTATCTTGCCATGATCGGTTATATCTCAAGCTTGCCGGACCAATCGGCTTACAGTCTAAGGTCGACGGCTTTCCGTAACAAAATCGACGATCGTTTGCTGTGTTCTAACCCAAGCAGAAAAAGAAATAACCACGCTAAGAGGAGCTTCGTGTTTTACTCTTACTTTGGGAGACTAGGAGGGGGAAAAGCTTGAATGAACTACCTTGGACAACATCGCGCAGTCCTCGGACTGTCTGCCATTTCTTTGTTGGCTGTCCCGCTATGGGCCGTTTATGGCATTCCATTGGAGTCGGGGCTTCCAGACATTTCAGCGCGGATTGACGGTATCTTGAAAGATACACCATTGATTGATGACTATAATGATTTGCCTTACCTCCTTCGGATCGAACTTCAGAATAGGATTGATTAATAGAGCCCTTTCATAGCTGAAACATCTCTCTCAATGGATAAAGCACATCGTAATTTGATTGCGGGAACTACTAACATTGTATAGTTTATCGAAAGTTATAGTTATCATATCCTAATCTCAATACCCCTTGCAAGTCTCATGTCTCTCAGTTGCCCACGGCCGTTGCATTCCTCTCAGCCAAACTACCCTGCGTCCGGAGCAATGACGATCCAGGGGAAAACTTTTCATAAATCCTGAAAATATCCATGAACACCTCTTCCTTTTTGTGTGGATCTCTTCCATAGCCACCACCTCCAGGTGTATGGACAATGATATGATCGCCAGTATTCATGTGTGTCGTTGCCTTGCCACCCAAGCTGATAGTTCTGCTCGTTCCATCGGGATACTTTCTCAGCCATAGGTTCACTCCACGCTGGCCTTCTTCACCCCCTGCCATGCCATATGGAGGGATAACACGTCTCTCGGATAGAATGGAGACCTGCATAGGTAATCGGAACTCGATGTCGCGGATACAACCATCGCCACCACGATGTCGACCCGCACCACCACTTCCTTCGCGGATAGAAAACTCGTGGAGAATTACCGGGTAGCGTCGTTCGAAGATTTCAGGATCGGAAATCCGGGTATTGGTTATATGTGTGTGCACGCCACTTTCACCATCCCAATCTGCACCAGCACCGGATCCACCAGCGATGGTCTCATAGTATCCGAACCCTTTGACCACTTCGCCGGTGACTGGATTTGTGCCACCATAGCCAAATGTGAGATTATTACATGTTCCTTGTGACGCGGCAGCTGCACGGAAGGCTTTGAAGATCAAATCGACAATGCGTTGTGATGTTTCCACATTTGATCCCACAGTCGCTGCTTTGAGCGAAGGCGATAGGAGTGTATTGGGTGGGCATATGAGCTTAATAGGCTTCAGACAGCCTTGGTTGAGAGGGATATCTGATGAAATCATTGATCGAAGACAGTACTATACGCTTCGGTTAGAACGACTTGCTCGTATTCAAAGCTTTAATGCCTGGAACAAAAGTTTGCACTTACCATGATACCAGAATACATGATTGCTGGTGGACAGTTCAAATTCCCGAAATGCTCAGGCCCAGTGCCTGTGAAGTCAAATACTGCATCGCCTGTCTCTTGGTCGATCATGATCTTCAATGCGAGAGGTGTCCCATCATCGATATAATCCACAGCTTCCAGAGGTTGTCCTTCAAATCGCTGCGCGATAATCTTGAGCAACCCACGCGTAGACTGGCTGGCATTCTCCTGGATCGCATTCATATAGAACTCAACTACTGGCCAAGTATAATCCTTGATCAAGGACTGAATCAAATGAATGCCCTTGTTGTTTGATGCAATCGCGGCTTGAAGATCGGCAATATTGTCGCGCAGGGTGCGAGTGCCACTCGAACCCGGATATGAAGCTGGGATATCAACCAGGACCTCGAGAAGGCCCGGCTCATCAAAGACTCCTTCTTTCACAATCTTGAAAGACTCCACTGCCGCACCTTCCTGCCAAAGCTCCGTTGAATTGGGGGGCATGGAACCCGGCTGGATGCCGCCAATATCTGCATGGTGCCCTCTGTTGGCGACGAAAAATAGGATTTTTGTCGGGTTTCTGTCATCATCAAAGACGGGTGTAGTGACCGTCAGGTCTGGCAGATGTGTACCGCCAGCGCTAGGGTGATTGCTAAGAATAACGTCGCCGGGTTTCAACTCTCCGGGTCCGTATAATCGCGCTTGGTATGCGATGGCATAGCTCATAGAGCCGAGGTGCCCAGGAATGTGAGGGGCGTTTGCGACGAGACTGCCCTCGCCAGAAAAGACGGCACACGAATAATCCAATCGCTCCTTAATGTTCACCGAAATTGAGGTTTTTTGCATGGTCTGGCCCATTTGCTCGGCAACACTCATGAATCGATGTCCGAACACGCTGAGTTGGACAGGATCCACCGCATCGGTGCTGATCTCCGGCTTTTCTATTCCAGAGATCTCAATCACCACATGTTCAGGCAAAATGACAGCTTCACTGGCAGGATCCACAACGATAGTTTGGGTTTTGTCGATGACCATAGCCGGTCCGCTGATGCGTGTACCAACAGATAGATCCTTGAGCGAATAAAGCCCGATGTCAATCCAGTCGGTTTGCTCGAAATAGACCTTGATATTCCTCTCCGGGGCAACCGGGGTGGCAGCGGGCGAGTTTGCCAGTTTCTTCATTTCCGCGCAAGCGCTAGAAAGGGCGACATCCATACCCTTTCCAATACTCCGCACGCGAACACCATCGATGAGGATCTCCCGGGGCTGCGTGAATCCGAATTCTTGTTCATGGCGAGCGGCGAAAGCATCACCAAACTCTTCAAATTTGACTGGTCGGGGTATCATCAAAGCTGTGTCACTGCCCTGGTACCTCATATTCAGGAATAACTCATGGTCAATTTGCGACTTTGCAAATCCTTGGGAAACAAGTCCTGCAACACCCGCATCTTTCAATCTCTCAAACCTCTCTTGAAGTCTCGGGATATTATCAACAGTGAAGGCAGCAGCTTCGGGCTCTTGGTTCTCAACCACCACATCCGCAAGAGCCATTCCGTAAGCTGATAGAATACTCGAGTATCTCGGGATCAGGGCTCGTCGAATACCGAGGTCTCGCGCGATCGCAACCGCATGTTGACCACCGGCTCCACCAAAGCAGCATAGATTGTGTGCAGCGGTTTCAAACCCTCGGCCTTCACTCAATGTCCGAATGGGGCGAGTCATGGTTGCATTTGCGATTGAGAGGAAACCCACTGCAACCTCTTCTGCGGTCAGCTGAGACAGTCCATCTTTCTCTGCATTGATGGTGGCCGCCAAGGAAGAAAACTTTTCTTTCACGATAGCCATATCTAGGGGTTGTGGGAAGTAGTCGGGGATGATTCGTCCAAGGAAGAGATTAGCATCGGTCACGGTCAAAGGACCCCCTCTCCCATAGCATGCCGGGCCAGGATGAGCGCCTGCGCTATGAGGGCCGACTTTGAACAGGCCATTCTCCCAGAAGAGCATCGATCCACCCCCTGCAGCGACGGTGTTGATATCCAGCTGTGGTGTCTGGATGGTAACTTGTGCAATTGTGCTTTCAAATATATGTTCCAAGGCCCCAGCATACCGAGCGACATCGGTACTTGTACCACCCACTGCATAGTGTCAGTAGCAGTTCAAATGCAGGATGGTTATCCTGGTATGTAAAAGTCGAAACTTACTGTCGAACGCCAATATCGGTGTCTTGTCTTCGGCATCATAGCACGTCCTTGACATACCAACCACACCACCAGCTGGCCCACTGAGCACTCCGCGCAACCCAGAAAAGTTTACGATAGATGTAAGTCCTCCATCAGACTGATTGACAAAGACCTTCTTGGCATGTTCATCTCTGAGTTCGCCCTGGAACCCCTTCCGGAATCCCTCCAGGTACTTTTGAGTTACCGGGGAAAGATAGGCATCCGCAACGGCCGATTGACTGCGTGGGATCAACTTCGCCATTGTTTGCAGTTCTGAAGAAACGGCCACTTTGAACCCAATCTCCCGAGCTACGGCAGCTACGGCAAGCTCGTGCTTTTGGAAGGTATACGAGTGCATCAGGGCCACAGCTAAAGAGCGATACCCCTGGTTCCAAAGCACGTAAAGGTCACTCCGAACGGCGTCCAGATCTGGCGTCTTCAATATCCGCACCGCTTCTCCTGTTAAACCAATGTGCAAACTCGAATCAGAATTGACATCAATCGGCTTAGGATCTGGGTCTTCTGAAAACCCTTCGATGGTGACTCGCTCATCGACTTCCACAACCGTCTCGTATAGCTGGGCGAGACGTTGAACGGATAGATCGAAAATGTTGGGGCGAGCCTGGTTGCCGATTTTAAGTAAGTCGCGGAAGCCCTTCGTAATCAACAGGGCGACTTGGTCGCCTTTTCGCTCAAGCAGGGCATTTGTAGCAACCGTGGTGCCCATCCGGATGGACTCAACAGGAGTCAGATCCAGAAGGGTCCCTCGAGGCACCGGGGAGCCACTTGCAATTTCCAGAATCTGTCGAATACATTCTGTGGGTGCGTCATCGAATTCATCTGGAGACTCGGATAGAATTTTGAAGATGACATCGGAGGCATGTTCTGGGATTTGAGCCCAGGCGTCGGTAAAAGTACCGCCTCGATCGATAGCAATCCGGATCCCAGCTTTCGTCATCTTGTGTTTGTGTTAACAGGATGTAATGTTCAGTATTTTCAACAGCAGTTACCTGATGAACAACCGCTGTTTATAATGGCTGGGTATCGGCCAAGGGACACGAAGATCGCGACTACTCCGCATTGCCAATCTCGGAATAAAAGCCGCCAGCCAGTGGCTTACACTGTAAAATACCATAAAGTGCACTGTGCAATCGTAGATCCACTCGGCTGGCAGAGGTGGAGGCCGAGATAGCCGGTGATCCCTGACCGGCAAGTCCAGCATCAAGCCGAACCCCGCATAGATATGCCATAACGCCGATAAACTGCCATGGGGCATCTCAATAGAGAGAGATCAGCAGAGATAAAATTCTAGGTATGTGTGTAAAGCGTGTGTCAGAAAGAAAGCCACAGCTTCTTTCTTGGACTCGAACGCAAATTATGGCGGAAATCCCAACCGTCCTACTAGTCGAATCTAGCGTCCAGCAAATCGACCATGTTCGACGCCAGACTCTCTCCGAATAAGTGACTCTAAGACATGATTGTGCTTCCGTGGACGATTTTGTAGCTCGCCTTCAACCTGGCGGTCTGTATAGTAACATCTGCGCCATTATCCGCACCGGTTGGCTGAAAGCAGGGTCATACGCATCTCATCACTTAAAATGATCCTGTGGTTCACGACAAACTGAGAGACAACTGGATGGTGACTTTGCTGCCTCATATTGGACTTTGTTCCAGGACGAGTTGTGCCAATTTTGAAAGACAAACCTGGGATGATCTAGAATTCTTCCTACTGATCGGAAAGCCTGTATGCCCCGTGAACATGATTAAAGGATCCTGATCCTATTTTACAACTCAAATGAAAGGTTCATGTAGTATTCAATGAGAGTATGCCATATGCCGGTGAGTTAGTAGTTGGTTGTTGGGTGACCATACTCGAGCCAAATGATTATACTCACGTCGCCTCAATACGTTGCGCAGGTAATATAGGAGAAGCCAAAGCGTGTCCAGGGGAATCTCTTGATATTATGTTCGTATCGGTTTGTTAAATCTACTAATTTGAAAATGTAATCTTAATCAAGCGTGAGCCGCGAGGAAGGACGGGAAAATGAACGAGGCGGGTCTGTTAGGGCCCTGTTCAGCCTTCTACTATATCCTACCGTACAAAGGGTAAAGGGGTGTAACTGTAGATATTATGTGGTTAAGCTAGGATACAAAGTATAGCATGGTGTTTGCAGGTAACCCAATAAAGGGACATGGCTATTATATCATTCCCTCCCTGCAATATAAATATAACTATTATATATGTACCTGTACGTACCGGATTTTCGCGGTCGTGACTTTCCCGATCGGGATGCCGTGATGAGAGCACTCAGGGTCTTGCTGAGTATTTCATAGAAGGACGACTCAGACATAATGCTGTTAAAATATGGAAAGTTAGCCATCCCGCCGATGTGAAAAAGATGGAATTCATTACATTGCCTCTTTGGGTGTCGACAGGAAGTCTTGGCACGGTCAGGTGGTTTCGCGTTGGGAGTTAACGCGGTCAGTAACAAGACAAAGGCAAACAACCATCCACCGTGTGGAGCAACCCAGTCACAATATGTCGCCTAGGCCCGATGCAATATCACTATCCGATATTTTGCAATATCGCCGCGAGCTTCTGGTGAACCCATTATTTTGGACCTCGTGCCACCTAGATGCGCTTGGATGTTCGTTCCAGCACATTGACAACTTTTCAACAAAGGACATTTACAACCACTATGAAGCGCCTCCGCAGAGAAATGATAATCAAACATCTTCTGCTAAAAGTCGGACAAGAGTGAGCGATGCGGAGATGCTTGCCAAAAGTGCCGTACCTTCTGTGAAATACAACATCCTTTGCCGTTTCCTGCTACACGATGGCAGTGGTTTCAACATGCGTAGGTAAGGGCTACAACTATAGCTGTGGATATGCTTTTTCTAACTGCTAACAGCCCTTGATGAATATATAGTAAAGGACCCGAATTCTTTTTCGCTGGCCAACCGGTTCATCGACCACGCTATACCGTCTTCCATCGCCGTAATCAGCCTAACCAGTTTAATCCAGATGCCCAACCATTAATCGGCTACTTGGACTACTTAGACGTCACTGGCCTTCGCGCAAAGAGGCTTAAGCCTCGCACACGCCGGGATAAGGGCCATGATACTGTTGGCGCACGGATCTTTACAAAGAAATTGTCGCGAGTTACGCCTGCGGAATGGACAGAAGACCGGTATTTTCTATGTGTCTTGCTGTCTATTGCGCAGCTTCAGGAACGCCTTTCCAAAGATTCTTCCACCCCAAGTTTTTTGGTATGTACGAAAGTCAACTTATTGCTCCAATGCCGCTCAGAGAACCCAACTTACTCATCGTAGTCACGTCTTCTGGTGGTGAATAGGGATGATGATGACTTTATTTATCTTTACGAGGGCCAATTCGCATGCGAGTTCCTCAAAATGCTTGACAAACCGACAGCGGCCACTAACTGCACCAACTTTCCCACTATCCACTTGAGAAAAATACCCTTTCAGCCCTTCGAAACCTTCGGGGAACGAATACTAGCCGAGATTCTCGCTACTAATTTTTTGTCTATTCGTTTGGCGGTTTCGGACAACGTTAATACTGTCAACCAAGCTGTCAAGCGACCACGCCAGCATGAAGGTGGCGAAAGGCGCAATGTGAGACAGAAGTCATAGATTCTATGAGTATTCATGAGAAGAGCTCAGTATTCAAGTATGGTGGCCTTTCATCCCGCCTTTTGTTCGAACAACGCAACTAGGTCACCTCATGGAGTGCCTCCTAGTAAGGGGGATAACTTTGGTGGCAACGGGATCTCCAACACCAGGATGGTCCACTTCCTACAAGTCCACGCAGACGCTCCAGCGATTGATCGTTGTTGATATCTTGAAATATGCTGGGTGTTGTTGGCTCATGACAGCGCTCAATGGTCAATGAGAAAACCCCTTCCAGCCACGCCGTCCAGACACAGTCCAGACATACAGGGTATCAGTCTTGTTTAATCGAAAGATGCCGGAATGAAGGACTTGGCAGCTCGCACAACCACCTGCAAGCATTAACTGTCCCCAGTAAGCTTTTCTCACTTCCTAACTTATGCTAAGCACTGTGGGAGATTGACCAGTTACAATAGACCTCGGTGTATTAGGGCTAGCGGTGATTATTGGTAGTAGAAATATGTCACGAGGCTAGTGTTTGCGAGGGAAACAGAGGTATATCGCATCCTTCAAAAAGCTCAAGGGATCGGCAATGCCTGTTTTTCTTGGAACTATTGACCAGGCCATAAGCTACTTGCTCCATGGCGCCGGTACGATACGGCATATGTTGCTCATGGCTTGGGGTGGTCGTGACATTAGTGGCCTGTAACTGCTGATCAAGATGGAAAATGAAGTTCAACAATATAAAATGAAATCCTGTCTGGATTCATAGACATTTCTATGATGGAAATATTCTCTGGATTGCTAAACTTCAACATGTCCTCATCCAAAAGCAAACATTGCCAGACATTAGTTACCCGGTATATATATAGAGTATATCGATTGATAGATCTCGGATTTCGGATGTTTAGTAAATAAACCATTTTGGATCATATAATAAATAAAAAATCCATAGAAAGCCATGCAATTGACCCCCCAAAATTACATAGATAGTTTTTCTAGGCAATTGTTTTGAGGCTTGGGTAAAAGAGATCAGATGGAAAAAAAATGAAATGGACGGGCAGCGATTCGAACGCTGGACTTTTCGCATGCAAAGCGAACACTCTACCAACTGAGTTACGCGCCCAATTGATACAAGTATAAGCGGATTATAGATATATGTTGTAATTGCTCAAAGGCTGCATTTGGGGAGTTGATTAAATTCGGAAGTGTTGACTGGATTCGATTGACAGACTTGGGCCGGAAACTGGTCTCTGTTTAGACGATCAAGGGGAGTAATTCGCGAGGTAAAGACGTGGTCGGCTAAAATCCATAAGCAGGGTCACGAGAGGTTTTAAAAGGAAAGGGATATGAAGTCTGTAGTGGAAGGAGAGTTGAGGGGATGTCATTTATGAATGCTGTCCAGGTGGATGGATATGCTGAGAACAAGTGCCCAGATGTTTCGGAGGTACGATTGAAGTCTACGATTACCTTTAAAGCAAGACACTAGTCTACTCGGCCCTGGATGGAAATAAAAAAAGATGCTGGTTCTTATTGTGAACACATAAAAATGAAAAGATAAAAAACATCACAGAGGGTCGTATCCCATTTCCCATTTCCCGTAAGACTTAAAATTAGCAATAACGAAAGTTGACTGAAACCATCTAATCAACCTCCTCCATGGTGCTCTCACCGGTAGCCTCGGCGGGAGCAGCAGCCTCAGTGGCGGGGGCGACCTCGTCCTCGTCGATGTTCAGGCCGAGGGAGACGAGCTTGTGGATGCGCTCGGAGAAGCTGGCGGGCTCCTCGATGGTGAAGCCAGAAACCAGCAGGGAGGTCTCGAAGAGAAGCTGGGTGATGGACTTGACGGTACGGTCGTTCTCGCCATCGGCCTCAACCTTCTTCTTAAGCTCCTTGATGATGGAAGACTTGGGGGAGATCTCGAAGGTCTTCTTGGAAGACATGTAAGAGGACATGGAGGTGTCACGGAGGGCCTGAGCCTTCATGATACGCTCCATGTTGGCGGACCAACCGAACTGGCCGGTACGGATGGCGCAGGGGGAGCCGACCAGCTTGGAGGAGACAACAACCTTCTCGACCTTGTCGCCGAGAACGTTCTTGAGGGCCTTGGCAAGCTCCTCGAACTCCTTCTCCTCAGTCTCGCGCTCGGTCTTCTCCTCATCGGTCTCCTCAAGCTCGAAGTCCTTGGTGATGTCGACGAGCTTCTTGCCGTCGTACTCCTTCAGCTGGGTGAAGGCGTACTCATCAATGGGGTCAACCAGGAACAGAACCTCGAAGTTCTTCTGCTTGAGGGTGTCCAGGAAGGGAGAGTTGGCAACAGCCTTGATGGACTCGCCGGTGATGTAGTACATGTTCTTCTGGTGCTCGGGCATGCGAGTGATGTAGTCAGCGAGCGAGGTCTGCTCGTCACCGGACTTGGTGGACTGGTAGCGGAGGAGCTTGGCCAGAGTGGGGCGGTTCTGGGCGTCCTCGTGGATACCGAGCTTAATGTTCTTGCTGAAGGCCTGGTAGAACTTGTCGAATTGCTCACGGTCCTCGGAGATCTCAACGAAGAGCTCAAGGGTCTTCTTGACGATGTTCTTCTTGATGACCTTCATGATCTTGTTCTGCTGGAGAGTCTCACGGGACAGGTTGAGGGGAAGATCCTCAGAGTCGACAACACCCTTGACGAAGCTGAGCCACTCGGGGATGAGGTCGGTAGCATCATCGGTGATGAAGACACGGCGAACGTAGAGCTTGATGTTGTTCTTGGTCTTCTTGGTCTCGAACAGGTCGAAGGGAGCGCGCTTGGGAACGAAGAGAATAGCGCGGAACTCGAGCTGACCCTCAACGGAGAAGTGCTTGACACCGAGGTGGTCCTCCCAGTCGTTGGAGAGGGACTTGTAGAAGGAGGCGTACTCCTCAGTGGTGATGTCGGCGGGGTTGCGGGTCCAGATGGGCTTGGTCTTGTTAAGCTCCTCCTCCTCGATCTTGGACTCCTTGACGGTCTTGGTCTTCTTCTCCTTCTTTTCCTCCTCCTCATCGACCTCCTCAACCTTGGGCTTCTTCTCATCATCCTCCTCCTTGGCCTCCTCGGCCTCCTCATCGGGGACCTCGGTCTCGGTCTCCTTCAGGACGTGAAGGTAGATGGGGTAGGAGATGAACTCGGAGTGCTTGCGAACAACCTCCTTAACGCGGGCCTCGTTGAGGTAGTCCATCTGCTCATCCTTCAAGTGAAGGACGATCTTGGAACCACGGCCGAGCTGCTCGCCCTCGGTGTCCTCCTTGAGGGTGAAAGTGCCACCAGCGGCGGACTCCCAGATGTACTGCTCGTCATCGTTGTGCTTGGACACAAAGGTGACACGGTCAGCGACCAGGTAGGCAGAGTAGAAACCGACACCGAACTGGCCGATCATGGAAATATCAGCACCGGCGGACAGAGCCTCCATGAACTGCTTGGTACCGGAGCGGGCAATTGTTCCAAGGTTGTTGATCAGGTCCTATAAGAGTTGAACATTAGTTTTCATGTCTAAATAGATACAAGGAGAGTGAGTTGAGACAACTCCGAGGTCAGAAACTTACAGCCTTGGTCATACCAATACCGGTATCGCGGATGGTGAGGGTCTTGTTCTCCAAGTCGGGGATGATGTCGATGCGCAGATCCTTGTTGGAATCGAGCTTAGAGGGGTCGGAGAGAGCCTCATAGCGGATCTTGTCGAGAGCATCGGAGGCGTTGGAGATCAACTCACGAAGGAAAATTTCCTTGTTAGAGTAGACGGTGTTAATGATCAACGAGAGCAGCTGAGAAATCTCAGCCTGGAACTCGAAGGTCTCAGACATGATGGCGGATTGTGATTCTGAAAAGAAATCTGAGTTAGAAAAGTGCTGGATTTAAAGCAATTGAGGAATATGCAGAGACAAATTCAGATGCAGAGTCTGATCAAGCGGTGGGGAGGTGGGGGGGGGAAATTGAGAAGCGGTGACGAGAAGAAGAGGGAGGGGATTATATATCTTACAAGAAAGCACAAAGTAATTAAAAAGAAAGAAGCTCTGGGGGGAGAGGAACCAAAGCAAAAGGGAGAGATGAAGAGAAAGAGTCGAAGAGGCGGGCCAGTTCCTTTTGTGTTTCCAAAAATTTCTGGTGGAGAGTTTCTACGGTGATCCAGCAACTTCCATGTTGTTCAGGCAACGCTGCAGCTCTGTCGATACTTATTCTAGACTCTTCTACTTTTACTTTTTGTTCTTTTAAAACTATTTGACTCGAATTTCCCTGGTTTGTTGCTTTTACCTCGTTTTTCTTTGTATTTTGAAGTGACAAGATGAGAGTTGCCTGAGGCATCAAGAACTCTAGAATCTTCCCCAGAAGGATGACTCGTCGACTTGAGATTAGGTAAGCCCTCAAGGTCCCCCGAGTATCAATCTTGGCAGTCCTGGACATAGTACTATAACTAGTTACCGAGTATATGTAATATATAGTTAGCAACTTGGTGTTTGATTATTCTCTAATCCATATTTGGTAGGCTCATAATCCCATGATACAGTTGTAATTCCCCCTGAGAACATCCCATCATCTCATTTACACACCAAAAAGAGAACGGATCCTATGGGAATCCTCATACATAAGAAAATAAAAAAAGAAGCAAAATACAAGAAAGACCGGGATGGCGCACCACCGTAAAACCCTGGAGTTTGCTATGCTAGTTAAAAAAAAAAAAAAGATGCAATATAACTTCTTGCAAAAAAAGGAGCAAGGAACAGATCATGGCAGAAGACACTGAAAGAAAGGAATATGGTGCAAAAAAAGAGAATCGTGAATGTCAAAGACAAGACCCGATCCCAGCAAAAAAAAAAGGTCAGGTTAAAACACAAGTGCCCAGAGGGAAGGAAAGAGACGCAACTTTTCCAGCCAACCCGGACCAACCGCTAATATGCACTGTGACGGAAAAAAGGGGGAGGCAATAGTCACGTAACACATGTCATTAGGAAGAGACGGGGCAAAAGAAAAAAGAGAATCAAAATCAGAGTAATACAGATCCTGAGAAGATCATCCGCCGGAGAAATGCTCACGGGAATTGTGAGAGACGGGACCCCGACGGGAAGTAGAAGGTAGAGGATCATCAAAATCAAGTAAAGTGTTTAAGCAGCTTGGGCCTGGCTGGAGCGACCCTTGGCGGCAACGTTACCACCGCGGCCACGGGGAGTGAAGCTGCCACGGCCCTCACGCTGGAAACCACCACGGCCCTGGCTACCGGCGCGGTCACCACGACCACGACCGGCTCCACCACCACGGCCGGCGGGGAAGCTGTTGCTGCCGTAGGCGTTGCCACGGGGACGACGCTCCTCAACGAGGATCTGCTCGCTGCCAATCTGGTGGGGGTTGGCGGCAACGGCAGCGGTATAACCGGCGGGCTCGTTGAATTCGACAAAGGCGCAGTTCTTGGGGCGGCTAACATCGAAGTACTTCAGCTTGCCGAAACGAGCCAGGGTCTGCTTAAGCAGGCTCGCGTCGACCTTATCGTTAACGTTCTTGATATAAGCAAGGACAGTCTCCTCAACACGGGGTTGCGACTTCTTGTGGCCGTCGCCGGCGGTCTGCCATCCGGCTTCGGTGGAAGGGGCCTCCTGGGAACGGACAGCCTCCGCGGGGGCTACAGCAGCGGGCTGAGTGGCAGGGGTAGCCTGAGCAGCGGGAGCAGCAGCCTTAGGAGCGGCAGGAATGACCTGGGCAGCAGGAGCAGCCTGGGCGGCCGAAGCCTTGGCGGCAGCAGCGGCCTTAGCTGCAAAAGAGGTAGTCGCGATGCTAGCCCAGGTCTTAGGGGCAGCGGGAGTGGCTGAGGTCTCCTTCTCAGGAACCTCCTCCTTCTCGGGAACGGGAGAGGGCTCAGGGGTGGCAGGCTCCTCGTCCTTCACAGTTTCAGCCTCGACAGCAGCAACGGGAGCAGGGGTCTTCTCCTCAACGGGGGCACCGTTGGTCTGGGGGGTAGGCTCCTCGGGCTCCTCAACCTGACCGTTGGCCTTGACCTCCTCGAGCTTCTCATCGACATTGGAGACAGCGACTTCATCAACCACCTGGGGCTCCTCAGCGGGAACTTCGGCAACGGCCTCGGAGGCTTCGGCAACAGGCGCAGCGGGGGCGGGCTGCTCGGGTTCTTCTTCTGGCTCTTCGGCCATGTATCGGAAGATATCGTTAAGAACATAGTAACCGTTGGGCTGCTCGGCGAGAACGAAAGTCTGCACGAACTTGCGGGATGGCTCGGAGTTGTTGGAGATCTCACCAATGACTGAGACCAGAATGTTGTCGAAAGAAGCCTGAGAATCGACATTCAGGACGCGCACCTTGCACTCCTGGAACTTCAACGAGTTAAGCTTCTCGTTGATAGCCTATGAAAGTGGGGATGCTTGGTTAGACAAAATTCACGTTGTGGGATTAAATTAAACTCACCTTAGAACCAACGCTGACGGGAACCGACTCAGCCTCAGTGCCGAAGACCAGCTGAGAGCGGCGAGAGTAGAACAGGTGAAGCTTGTCGGGGTTGCGGCTCATGGTGGTGTAGTACTGCTCGACGAAGTACCAGCCCACCTCATCCTTAGAGATCTCATTCTTCTGCTGGTCGGTGGGAGTGACGGTGGTCGGGGTGGAAGACTGCGCAGGCTGGAAGCTGGCAGCAGTGTTCATGGTGACGGATGCATGGTTGTAGGATTCGGGGAAACCGTGCTGGGCAGGGTAGTTGCCATTGATGGGGACTTGAGTCATATCGGCCATGGCGTAGGATTGAGGGGTTTTATTTGGTTTCGGGTGGAAAATGAGATTAAAAGTAACCGAGCACGGCGAAAATGATGACCGAGACTGTAACGGCTGAAAGGCTTTTTTTTTTAGGAAAAAAAAAAATTCAAGAAGCAAGCGATGAATGTTCTAAGAAGGAAATTGTTCGTGTTTCCCTCGCTTCACTGGATGCTTATTAGTTTCCAGGTCTTTACCATGCGATCAAATTGAATATGGTAGATCGGAACTCACGATGCGAAATAGGACAGGCACCAATGCAATCAATTGAAGAGGATAGAAGGAAAGCACGAAGAAAAGAGACGAGGCGCCTTGGTATTGCGGGAAAGCGGGAAGTATAGCAAAAGTGAGAAAGAGTTCTCGGTTCTGCTGGCGCGGAGAGGGATATGTGGAGGGCTTGCGAGAGAGATGAGAAAGATCGAGAAAATGTGGGTCTGGAAGATGGACAGAGGCGTGGGGGGAGGGGAGATTCAGGTAGAAAATGGGAAACAAAAAAGAGATGGAATGAAGCTGTGGGAATTCGCCTTCGAAGAAAAGAACTTCCTTCTCTTTGACTCCGTGCGGGTTTCGCGTGGGCTTGGCGGATAGTCACCGCCCGGCAGAATTCATAGTTCAACTCAAGTGTACAAGAATATATTCCAGGAATATATTCCAAGGTTGTTAAGAATACTAACAATATCTAGTCAATGTAAAGGTTACCAAAGGGTATACATAGACAAGTCTCTTGCACAAAGTATGGTTTTTTTAAACCGCCTTCGTATACACCTAAAAAGAACCATAAGGCCCCATAAGCAGCCGACTATTCTTGTAGATGTAGTTGAAGAAAGTTTTCATGATAGTTCAAGATACGTGATAGTCAGACATGAAAAATAAGAGGCAATAAAACACCAGATCCGAATGTTCATACTCAAGGAAATAATGCGCATCTCATCAAGTCAAAACGCCACAGACTGATCCGAAAAAAAAGAAAAATAGGGGTATGATAGAACATGAAAGGGTGACTGTAAAAAAAGAGACAGCAATCATAAGAACTGTGTCGATAGAGGCTCGAATGTCGGGACGAGAAAAAAAATGCAGAAGGGCCAAGAAATAACCGAACGATCAGAGATGGAGACAGTCAGCCATGTAGTGAATAAAGCACATAGCAAGCCACTTGTCTCTTAAGTGTATCGCTACCATCAGGACTAGTCAGTCCGTGCCTCAGTCTTCTCAGAGAGAGGCTTGCGCATGACAGCATCTTGGCTAGTCATCCTCCGGCCCAGGGCGCGCTCGACCTTAGCTCCGAGAGCGAGTTTGTTCAGGTTGTTCGATTTCTCCTCCGTGGGGACGAATCGCTGCTTGTTGAGAGGCTTGCTCTCAAGGCGCTCGAAGCCATCGTGGAGGTGGAAGATGTCGGCGATTCTAGGGTCGCCGCTGGGTAGAGTGCCGTTTGTGCGATCGGAGGCGGCCAGCGAGGGGCTTCCACTGACGGTGGAGAATCGCTTTGAGTTTCGGTTCTGCAGCAGGTTAGACTTGAGCGGTTCTCAGTAACGAATGTAAAGGCCCGGCGACGGACAGAGTAGGTGCAGGGCAGGAGGAAAGGGAGGAATTTTTACCGATTGAGCCATAATGGGACGTTCAGAGTCAAGAGAGGGTTGGCGGGCCATTTCTGTGAAGTGATATGGTTATAAAGAGGAGGTTTTGCGCCGAAAAGAGGGGCGGGTTTCAAATTGTAGGTAAAGGAAGGCCCTTGAATGGAATGCAGCCTGCAAAATTCACCTGTTAGTGGGTATTACTTGCCTAGTGGCTGGCGATCACGAATTTCCAAGGGATACATACTCAGTCCAGGTAGAAGGGGGTGTGTTAGAGTCAGGCACAAAGGTACCAATGTAGTGTAGGAGTAGAAATAGAGTCACAGAAAGGAGAAGACGAAACGGGGTGGGTCGAGTTGGTGGGGAAAGACAGTGTGTGGCGGGAAAGGGGTGGAAAGGGTTTTTTATGGAAAGATCGACGTAATCGTAAGATGAGCATTAAAGAGAGTCGGTGGTGAAACTCCCAGATAGATATATATTATGATTATACACAATATCATAAATCACATATGACTGGTTACTGCATAGCGATCAATGATCATACAAATCTCCCTTCTCTGATGTCAAGAAAGCTTTTTTACCGGGGATATATTTGCCACGTGCTGCCACGCGAGCCGATCATCTCGGCAAGTACTTACGTAGGTACTTTGTGTGTAGGAGATTATCAGCTACAGAGTATACTACTATGAGGTAATTTATTTTAATCCATTTTACTCCGTAGTCATATTGTATATTGTAGCAATGAGGTAAGGATGAAACTTGGCTAGATTAATTACATCTATATGATAGGTACTATAGCAGCAAGGGACAGTACCTCGGCCTAGATAAATATATATCATTTTTACAGACACAGACCCCTTTTGGCAGTACAAGGTACCAATATATAACTACCATATTCGAAACAATAAATCAACATGAAACAAAACAGCTTACACCAAAAGTCATCTCATCCTGGTCTTGGTACATATCCATGCAGATCTGAAAGATCGCTGCTTTGAGAGTCTTCCAGTCACATATCTGATATAGTTCAAAGAAATCTTACACCACTAAATTCACGAGTATTGAGCCTCAAATCCACTAGAAAAATAACTATCATTACCATTGTTGCATTTGTTACATGTAGTCGAGGTGAGAGGTAAAAGCAACGTTGGGACAGGATATACTCTGTCACACACCGCGCAGATTCTGCCAGATTTACTTCACATTCCAAGGCGCATAGCCATCTCCGTCGACTCTTATTCAATTCAATCAACAGCATTCCCGCAGATATGCCGAAGCCAAAATCCTTCCTCCGGGAGACAAAGACGAAGAAAAAGTCTGCTTCAAAACAGGTATGTGGTAGCAATATACCCCCCGCACAGAACATCTTGATCATGATCTCATACATTTTGATATAGGTACCTGTGACTGCAGATGATTTTCTTGCAGGTGTGTAGTTGAACCCCAAAAGCCAACAATATCAACAGTCCAAAAAAACTAAAAGAAAAAAAAAAAAAACTAATTACCTCTGCAGCTGGCGTTGAACTAGAAGAGGCTGGCGAGAAATGGCGGGCCGGAGATGCGGCCAAGTCCATGCGCTTCTTTATGCGGGCCATCACCAACTATGACGAAGGACTACAGAAACATCCCGGCACATTTGATCTAGCTTACAACAAGTATGTAAAGTCCACACCGATATCAAAACAAGTCATTATTTCGCATTTTTCAATTTCATCCATGATTGAGAGGTAATGATTTTGAGTTTTAACTTCTACTAACACACCCATCCAGAGCACGAGTCCAATATGAAATTACCCAGCACCCCAAACTAGCGGCCCAGTTGCCAGCGCCACAGGGGGAGATATTGCAGGTTGCACTGCAGTCACACCGGGAAGCGCTGGCTTTGGAGCAGGACAATGCTGACGTGTTGTTCAATTCGGGCCAGGTGCTGACCAGCATAGCGGAGTTGATGTCCAACCTAAAGCATCCCGACGAGGAGCAGCAGATGCAAGCGGGGACTTACTTGCAAGAGGCGATTGAGCTTTTCCAGCGGTGTCTGATGGTTCAGGAGATGAAGTACACGGAAAGGCAAGAGGAGATCGAACTGATGGAATCCGGGGATGTACCACCGGAGCCGGAGGTTGTACCACAGGCCGCGGGCCAGCCCCAAGCCGAGCCTGCAGACGAAGAGCAAGAACAATGGGCGATGATTGTGGAGCCCGTCACGAAGAATACGCTCGTGGACACGGCGGTGGCGCAACTAGAGACTTTAACAACTCTGTGCAACTTGTTGACTTCTAACCCCGGTGGGGGCGGTGTTGGTTGGGTGCAAGAGTACTCGTCGGAGCTTGTGCAGTCCCGACTGCCTGCTTATGCCGAAGGTTCGGATAGACAGTATGAGGCGGCCTTGGCACGCGCCAAATTCATCTGTGCTTTGAACGACTTGCTCTACCGAGGCGGACACACCGATGTCCAAACCTATCAGCAGGAGGTTGGACAAGTTTTTGGTCCAGAGCTGGATGTATCCGCGGACCCTGAAGGACTGTGTGGCAAAGCAGATGCGCTCACGTCGCTGAACCAGGCGCTTTCGGACCTCCCCCCATCGGAGGATGATGAGGCGTTTGAGAACGCGGTAGCATTGCGTTGGAAGTCGCTTTCAACCGCCCTGGACGCATTGACAGCCGCTACCAAACTCCCAGATGCTGACAACCTGCCCAAGATCCACCTTGGCCGCGGAGACGCGGAGATGCACAGATGGCGTCTTGGACGAGCGCCCTGGAACCACGCCATGGCGAAGCAGAACGGAGCTATGCTCCTGCGCAACGCTCAGACGTACTACCGCGGAGCAACAGCTCTGGCCCGCCGCGACGGAGCGGCCGAGGAAGAACGCGACGGAACTTGCAAGGAGGCGATTGCCGCAGCGATTGAAGGCCAGAATACGAAGCTCGAGCAACTCAAGTCAACGGACCTCCAACAGGTGATCGTCGTGGCGCAGGATATGGTGGAAGACGGAATGGTTGATGGCAGGGAATTGAGTGCCCTGATTTCATCTTGAATCGGATAGAGAAACGATTTCCCCAACACATTCACAGACCTGGACGGGCTTTCGCCTCCTCATCCATCTGGATTGCGTCCTGGCGAATGTGATGTTGTCTACTGAATTGCGTGGCCGCCGTAGCAGCACCCTCAATATCCGAAACGACCAATCCAAGATGTGACAATAGCCCTTCAATTTCCAGTCTCTGCGCCTGCACAGTCTGTGCAAGCTCCGCGTTTTCCGCATGAGTATCCTCGAGTCTGGCATTGAGTGTGGACTGCGCTTCCTGCAGATAAGGCGTAAGGTGTGCCTTGTACAGATCTTCGGCGCCGAGTGAATGCGCGCTGTATGTAGTAAAAGAAAAAAAGTTAGGAATCAGAATCAAAAAGACAAAAAAAAACATAGTCCGAATAACCGGTTAAATCCATTCAACATACACTGTTCTCTCCTGTCCCTCGGCATTATCCCCCTCCTGCTCTTTCCTAGCCCTCGCATCCCCAACTAACCGATCTAGCTCATTCAAATGTGCTACCGCATCCCTCTCTGTAATAATGTCATCAAATTCAGCCTTGGCATTCGCCTCCAGCTTAGCGTTCAACTGTCGCCAGACACCTTCCAAACTAGCAGGAACGTGGCGTGCAGGTGTCGGGAAACAGCCTGCAAAGTTCGCATATGAATTTGCACGGAGTGTGCGTGCTAGAGCCTGATCGAAGACTTGGTTTAGACGTGAGGCGCGCGGGCCCGGGGATTGGGGAATTGGAGCTGGTGGGGGAGGGGACGGCGACGCGGCGGGCGGTTGGTGGGAATTCGATTCGGCCATGGTGGATGTATCTGCTGTCGGGATGTAGTCGGGGCGCGGGAAGCAATGAAGAGCATATGGTTAGAGTGGTGTGTAGGTGGCTGTTTGTGGTTCTTGAGGAATTTGGATTTGGGGTGACCCTATTCAACGCGACGCGCCGGTCACGTGTTTCTATAGATCGGATTGGAGGAGGTCGTACATTACACCGATATTTGAATATTTTTGAATTTAATACTTTGATAAAGTGGTAGATAGTTATAGCAGGGGTATGAGGGTTATATGAATCAGTGAACATGGTACGTTGCAATATAAATGAAGCATTTAGCTATCAACCAGCTCCCAGGCCTAACTTGATGGATCTAAGCCCAGCCAACTCCGGCGTCTGTTCTCCTCATTCTCAGTTTTCATCAGAAGAGCAGGACTCGAGCTCTGTGAGCCATTCCGAAGATGGAAGGATTGTATATGTGTCACCGAACGGGATATGCGCCACGAGGATATGCGGTTATGGAGGTCAGACCAAAGTAATTTGAATGCGGGCCATGAAATAGAGACGTATATAAGGCTGTTCCAAAAGCCCTGAAGTGGAAGGACGAAGCTAGATGCATAGTTGAGACTGAAATTAAAGTCATCAGGACGAGCCAGGGAATAGACTCTGTTTATCGTCGAGGGGACCTGCAATGTCGAACAATCAACACGAAAAGAACCGACAACGGTTTTAGACTGTATTGAACTTTGAATAAACTTACCCATGTGACAAGCAAGGCAATGAAGAACAACATAGCGTATTTCGTATAGGCCCACGTAGCCGAAGTAGCTTCCGTGGACGTCGACCTCCGCTGTGAGTCCGCTCCATCCGGCCGCACGGTCTTGCTAGAATTCTCCTGGTGAAGAGGACTGGGACCGATTTTTGAGCTGGAACCTTGCATCGTGCTGGAGGTACCACCGCCCTCGATCGTGACCGAGTATGCTCTGAACGCACTGCACGGCAGCCCCCGCGCGGCGCTCTCTGACAAGGACCGACGCTCTGGAGTAGAACAGGCAATCTCCCTGGTAACTTGGATGCCAGTCAACATAGCAAAGGGAGATTCTGGGACAAGATCTGAGTCGATGCCACCGAGGTTCCGAAGCTGGCGCCGTTTCTGGTAAATCACCGACCCGGCACGTAGGTAGATGGCGAAGGTCGCTGAGATAATGAGCCAGACTGGTCCGTAGAATATGGCGATGCGGAGGAAGGACCACTGTACAGAGATCCAGCACCAGAGCTGTTGATGGCGGTGATTGGGTTAGCATTAGCTGGTAAAAGGAAGGACCTTCGGGTTTTGCTTACAATGGCAGAGCCATATATCCTGCCTCGGGCTTGGGTCTGGATGAAGAAGTATGCGAAAGCTGGGACGAATGGAATACCGTAGCAGCAGAGCACATATTTCCATTCGAGCCGACGTAGTTGCTCGGAGTCGTATTTGTGGAAGAATGTTAGGTAGACATTGCATGCCATTGCGAATGTCCACAGTGCATCGGCGGGCATGAACCTATTCTTGCTTCTTTAGTGGTCATCTGTCAAGGGTGTCTTAGTTATCGAGTTGATACGAACCATTGGATCAAAAAACCCTGGAACTGGCACAGGGAACTCTCAACCCCAGAATGAATCCCGTCTGCCGATATGATGGTGGCTATACTAGCCATAATGTTACCCCATGATGCATAGAACACCAAGCGGTTGATGGGTTTACGGAACGTGGGGGACCAGATAAAAGTAGTGACTATAACAAAAGTTCCAACCAGGGAAATAGTCGAGCAAACACGCTCTGTGGCCGAGATGGCCAATATTTGTTGTTCTGACAGCGTCATGGTATCATGGTCTATGACCTAGTCGCCGCCAGGGGGAGCGTTCCCAGCGCGTGAAGGTTATATCCAACGGCAGATATGAACCGAGAGGATCCTCGTGGTTCAACAAAGCCAAGTTGGCTTGTGACAGATCAAGGATCCAGACGATTGTAGATCTACCAGCGGGGGGACTTATTTTTGGGTATGATTCACCTTCGAAACAGAAGGCAAACGGCTGGAGTAGATATGACCAAAGCACAATACTACCTGCTTATTATCCGCAACGGGCAACAAAGGGAAAATAAAAAGCCAAATGACAAATAAGGCAGAATCAACCCAATCGGCATATTGATATTATTCCCATCGGCTTATAGGTAGGAATATGCTGGCCTGGTGCGGGGCTCTGCGACAAAGAGCGGCGGTCCCAACAGTATTAGATTCAACAATCGCCAAGAATAGGAGTAAGAAGCAAACAGGGCAACTTTTAAATGATTTCCTCGTCTCAAACACCGCATGGACCAGGACTCAAACCGGTACTCCCATGGAATGACATGCGAACGATTCCAGCTTGGGTGGTACCACAACGTGCAATCTCCCGGGATTTGGCGATATAAGTAGGGCATTGGACAAGGGACCAGTACTGGTCTGCGTGGACAAGCCTCAGAGGTATAGCCCTTGGGTTGCACTAATGCTTAAAGTCATTGTTTAGGCGTGCAGTCTTTGTCCCCCGCAGTTGTTGGGGTTCGACAGTTCTCGAGGATAAAGTAACCTGAATATGCCCAAGGTACAACGGTGACTATATTTTAGGAGCCTTGTGAAATCCTAAAGTCAGTTCCGTGTGTAACACTAGTAAAACTGTTTCCCCCCGATGTTTTCACGGCTCATTACTTGTTGCAGAAGAAGACCTGATTGAAATACGGGTAACCGCATGTTTGAAAGATTTCTCCGAACAAGCATGGAGACATTCAAACGCCAATGTAATGTCTGCTTGAAAGGGGGTTGTCTAGGTATTTACCGCCAGTACTTGATAATAAAGTGCAGTGCAGCAGCTATGAGCCTGCTCGTCCCAAAAATACTTGGCTGGTGAACAAAGAACTAGTTGTAGTAACAAGCCAAGATATTCCCGAGAATTGCAGTTCCAACGGGGGGGCATTTGAACTAGGCCCAAGCGTTGGTTGCACATGTCTCGCTCTCTGTGTTAATAAATACAGCTTGGGGTGGATGGCAGAATTCATTTCTCGAGGAAGCTATTTAGAAGACAAGCAGAAAGTTGATAACATCCTCGAGCGCTGCTCTAGAGCAAGACAACAGAACAATGTTCCGAAGTTGAACCATCTTCAAGGCCAGATACTCCTTATCTTTGAAAAAACTGGCCCAAAATCAGTAATATCAAGCTAAAAAAAAAAAAAAGAAAAACAGGGCTGCAAAAACGTCCATCATCGGGTATAACGCCGAATTCTCCCATGTCAAATTGTCTAATCGGGCTCGTCATCTCGTCATGCGCAGCCTGGATCGTTAATAGGCGGGCTGCGGGGGGATCATGCCTCCATATCCAGCCATCTGCTGCTGCTGGTGTTGCTGCTGCAATTTAGCCTGGATCTGAGGTAGATCATGGAACCATGGGTGCTGCAGGGCCTCGGTGGCGCTGATGCGCATCTCCGGACGGAGTTGAAGCATGCGGTTCAACAGATCCATCCCGATAGCATCCATTTGCGGGATGATCAGCGACAAATCCTGCGTGGCGTAAATTTGGAAGTCGGATTTGTATTCTGGCAGCTGCGAGATGCCGGGCCATGTACGCTCGGATGGCGTGCCCATCAGACGGAAGATCTTGACCAATTGATCCTCATTGGTTGTGCCGGGGAAAAGTGGACGACCCGTGTACATCTCTGCCATGATGCAGCCAGCAGACCAGATGTCAATGCTGGTGTTATAGGTGCGACTCCCGAGGAGGACGTCCGGTGCGCGATACCACAGAGTGACAACTTCGTTGGAGAAGGTATTGACGGGGATGCCAAATGCGCGAGCCAGTCCGAAGTCACCTAGCTTGAGCTGGCCTTTCTTGTTGATCAGGAGGTTCTGTGGCTTTAGATCGCGGTGGAGGACTCGGTTGTCATGGCAGAAGGCGATACCCTTGAGTAGCTGGTGCATGAATGATTTGACTGTGGCGGGATCCAGTTGTCCACGATCACCGCGAGTATCCATGTATCTCTTCAAATCTCTGTCCATAAACTCAAAAACAAGCATGAGTTTGTTTTCCGTGTGGATGACATCGTAGAGCGAGACTATACTCTCATGTTTCAGCTCCTTCATCAGCGAGATCTCACGGATTGCGGTTGATGGTGTTCCTTCCTCCGAATCCAAGTGAATCTCCTTCAGCGCCACCATTTCACCGGTTTGGCGATTGCGCCCTTTAAAGACCTGTAGTATTCTGCGTCAGTGGTGAACGGGGGAGCGTGGCGATCATGATAGGAGCCGGGGTTGGGGGAGAAGCAGAGATAGATTGAGAGAGATCGAGACGTACAGTAGCATAAGTGCCCTCACCGAGCTAGAATAAGACGAATACCAGTTAGCGAAGGTCCAAGGCCCGATAAGTAGAAAGGCATACCTTTTCCAGCTGCTGGAAGGAACTGGGTTGCTGAGATTTGTCCATTTTCTGTGGAACTTTGGTAGCCGGTGGCCCCGATGGTTTGGGTTTAGAATGGAAGAGAAAGTGACCAGGAGAGACCAGATTTGAGGCGATCTTTAAAGGGTGGGCTGCAGGATCCCTAAAGTGCTCCATGCTGAGACGTGAGGGAGGAGCCCCGCGCTGAGCGGCCCGGGACTTATCAGACTTGGCCTCTCTCTTTTTCTTTTTTGGCCTGAGGTACAAGGCGCTTATTCTTTTCTATTTCTATTTCTATTTTTATTTTTCTTATAAGTGGTGTATTATTTCATATTATTTCACAATATCTTGATTCCATGCTATTTTTCATCTCATTTTTCTAAATCTATAGATTGTCTGGGAGTTGGGATACAACGGTCGGGAGAACTGACTGGGATGGATGGCTACATCGGACATGAGTAGTGCAATCATGTCCAATATTTCCAAAAAGCACGGCTTCATTTCTGACGCCACCAACATTGACAATACCAATAGGCATGCCTCGTTTATGTGCTCGTTCCACTAGGCGCCACGCCGAAAAAGTCGCTAGGCTGGTACCCAAGATGAGTAGCCGCCCAGCATCATCAATGGCCTCTTCAGCCGCTGTCTTCACCAGTGGGTCGATATTTTCACCAAACATGATCACTGCCGGTTTCAAAATGCCAGCATTTGAATTCGCTGATAATGCCCCGTCGCTCTCTACCTCTACAGTCGCCTTCGTGCCATCGTTCAGCGTGGGAGGGTTTTCCAAGCAGGTCGGACATGAAGGATAACGGAAAGTAGAATATGGCGCTTCAGCGACATCAACGTCACCATCCGGGTTAAGCTTCAAGCCTTTCCGCCGTTGCTCCTCCGGATTATCGGTGTCGAGCGCACCCTCTGCAACCATACGAGCCAAAAACTCCGCCCAAGCTGGATTGAGTCTTTCCAACGAGGCTTGAAAGTCGGCGCGGGGAAGTTGGCTTCGACAGCTTGTGCAGACCACCGATCGCAAGTATCCGTGTAGTTCGAGGGTAGACAGTCCGGGATGCGCTAGGGAATGAAACGAGTCGACATTCTGTGTTACCACGGAACTGATGTATCCCTTTTCGCCGAGACCCTTAATTGCCCAATGAGTCGAGTTCGGCTTTGCTTTCAAGAGTCCAGGCCATCCGATGAAGCTGCGCGCCCAATACCGCTTGCGTGACTCATGGTGGGAGATGAACTCGTGGTAGTAGATCGGGCGATAGGATTTATTTAGTCGGTAGGTACCCTGGTCACCTCGGTAATCTGACAGACCAGACGCGACTGATATACCTGCGCCAGTCAGTAGTACCGTCTGGGAATGTCCTCCCACATCGACACCCCGGAGATTTAAGGACGGCGGCGCAGTGAGAAATGTGCTGATAGCGTCGATTGCCCCTGCAAGTGTTGTTGCAGTCCGAGGGATAATAATAGCAGGTGGCAATGGTCCCGTGAAGGGGATCCGAATGGCAGGCGTCGTCATTGAAGACGCACCATTATACGTCGAGGGTGTGGCTTGGGAGAAGGGAGAGTGGATGTGCTCCAACGATTGCGTAGTTGGATCCTTGGTGGGTACTGCGGAAGAAGGTATCAAAGATTCAAGATTCGTCAAAAGATTATATTCCCTACAACATAGGTAGATTAATATGAAAGATTGATAAAGAAGGAATCTGATAGGCTCCGGGGAATAGTCCGAATTAAAGGGGATCAATAGGAATCATGGAGATGGTCAGAGGGGAGAAATGCAAGCGTGCAGATTGGATTGGAAACGGAAAATCAAGGGAATTGCCGGATGATATGAACATCCCACACCTAGAACATCTTGTCTTTTAGAATTAGAGACGTAACTAAAAGAAAAACCCAAAAAAATTGTCTTAACAACCACAAAGAACCCCAAAGACCCCTGACAAAACCACTCTGTCCAATCCTTTCATTTTGTGCTCGCGTGTCCTAGACGCGATGCCGCTGACGCAGCCCCTATGCAGGCTTCGCCCTCTCCACTTAAGGATCCCCAATCTCGGATCTCTTGCTGCCCAGCGGCGCATACTTACTTCCACTCCTTTTATGAAAGACCCTTCTTCTTTCATCTTTCATTCCAGACCTCGTTCTATTCCACGCCCGGCAACATCTTTAGCTATGACACAAACTAGGGATCATGGCCATAGCCACGGCCACGGTCACCACCATCATCACGACAATACCTACCTAACCTCCAAAAACAAACACGACGCTGGTGTTCGTATTACGCGGATTGGTCTCGTTGCAAATTTGTGCATGGCTATTGGAAAATTCATTGGCGGTTATATGTTCCACTCTCAATCTCTCATCGCCGACGCCTACCACGCCCTCACCGATCTTGTCTCCGACTTTTTGACTTTGGGAACTGTCGCCTGGTCCCTGAAACCCCCGAGCGAACGATTCCCCAATGGATATGGAAAAATCGAGAGCATCGGTGCGCTGGGAGTTAGTGGGCTCCTGCTCTGCGGGGAGTGTTTATGGGTCTCAATGCGGGACAGGTCCTGCTGGCTCAGTTCTACCCCGACGTGGCTGAAACAGTAGCTCACTCCGGGGTTTTGGGACATGGTCATTCACACAGTCATGGGCCAATTGGTCCTAGCATCCACGCGGCGTGGATCGCAGCAGGCTCGATTGTGGTCAAGGAGTGGCTTTACCGTGCGAGTAAGTGAAGACATGCAGGGATCTAAGTGTTTATATCCATCAAGCGACTAACTTTATTCTAGCCATGAAGGTTGCCGAAGAGCGCAAGTCGTCCGTGCTTGCCTCCAACGCTATTCACCACCGCATCGACTCCCTGACGAGTATCGTCGCCCTTTGCACAATTGGAGGAAGCTATGTCTTCCAAGACGCCACCTGGCTGGATCCAGTTGGCGGAGTCCTGATCTCCCTGATGGTCATCAAAGCCGGTTGGGGCAACACATGTACCTCACTTTTGGAGTTGGCGGATACCACGGTTGATGAGGAAATCCGACACTCTGTGGAGGATGCTGCCTCCAAGGCCTTGAAGGATATTGAGGATGGACATGAAGTGATTGTTCGTGACGTACAAGGCATGAAATCCGGTCAAAACTACCTAATGGATATTGAGTTGGCTGTACCGGGGGCCTGGGCTATCAGTCGGTCGCGACACATCGAAGAAGCCGTTCGCCAGGCTGTTGGATCTGGAGTTCGTGGCGTGAAACGCATCAAGGTCCGCTTCATTCCTGTGGAAGATCAACACCTCACATTCTCAGATGAGTTCGTTGCGCAAGATGTTAGTGGTGACCCGGAGACACCCCATGCTCGGAAGCAGCAATAGGGATAGAGTTCTGCAAATGATACCCTCCGATATGCGATCTATGTATATAGATTGGATATAGAACAAGTTTACAATATAACCGACATAACATACATCCAATATCCAACACCATATAGTTGGTACAGGAGTGAGTATATAGTGGGGCAGTTCTATTCTACCGAGAATTTAGCAGAGCTACAGCTAAAAAGAGCTATTTACCCGGCTAAAACCTTTGCTCGGGCTTGACTTGACATTTTTGAGAGAATCATAAGCTTGACCTAATAGGCTCTCGGTATTCACTTTCCACTTTTTCAACTGTATTTTGGTATAAAAGAATAATAGATGTGAAGTCCACTATGGGAACCGGTTATAGTCATTTTACATCATCGGTTCATCCCACCTTGGGAATATTGCCGCTTGCACTTGTACACTTCTTTTCCCGGATTCATCATCCCTTGATCATTCGATTAATTTTTGCCTAAATTTGGAAGAATCCCAGAAATCCAGGAATCCCACTTGATCCTTCCTATTACTCTATTGCCTGGAATTGTATATCTTTCACCATGTCAGATACCCCTCTCTACATTGGATTCGATCTCTCGACCCAACAATTGAAGGGATTAGTTGTCAACTCCGATCTTAAAGTGGTTCACGTTGCTAAATTCGACTTCGATGCCGACTCGCAAGGATTCCCAATCAAAAAAGGTGTTCTGAACAATGAAGCCGAACATGAAGTCTTTGCCCCGGTCGCTCTGTGGCTGCAGGCATTGGACGGTGTGCTAGAAAGCTTGCGCAAGCAGGGCCTTGATTTCCGCCGTGTGAAGGGAATTAGTGGTGCGGGACAGCAGCACGGAAGTGTATACTGGGGACAGAATGCGGAGTCGCTTCTCCGCAATCTAGATTCCAGCAAGTCCCTCCAGGCACAGCTGGAAGGCGCTTTCTCCCACCCATATAGTCCTAATTGGCAAGACTCGAGCACCCAGAAGGAATGTGACGAGTTTGATGCTGCTCTCGGCGATCGCAAGCATTTGGCGCAGGCCACCGGAAGCAAAGCGCACCATGTAAGAACCCTTCGAAGTCCAAGTATATGCGGGGCAAGCGTGCTGACACTGTCATTAGCGATTCACAGGTCCTCAAATCCTCCGATTCACAAAGAAACACCCCGAGATTTATGAGAAGACCTCGAGGATCTCATTAGTGTCGTCTTTCCTGGCGTCGCTTTTCCTAGGCCATGTAGCCCCATTCGACATCTCCGATGTGTGCGGGATGAACTTGTGGAACATCAAGAACGGGGAGTACGACGAGCGCCTGATTCAGCTCTGCTCGGGTGTTTTTGGAGTTGAGGGTCTCAAGCAGAAGCTCGGCGAGGTACCGGAAGATGGAGGCCTGCACCTAGGCTCCGTTCATCCATATTTCGTGGAGCGTTTCGGCTTCAGTCCCGATTGTACGGTTATTCCAGCAACTGGTGATAACCCGGCGACCATTCTTGCGCTCCCACTACTGCCATCGGATGCAATGGTTTCGCTCGGAACATCTACTACCTTCCTCATGTCCACCCCCAGCTACAAACCCGATCCGGCTACGCACTTCTTCAACCACCCTACTACCCCGGGCTTGTACATGTTCATGCTGTGCTATAAGAATGGTGGTCTGGCCCGCGAGCACGTCCGAGACGCGCTCAATGAGAGCCTGAAGGATACCCCTGCCCATGCCTGGGCCAACTTTGACAAGGTTGCTTTGCAGACTGCCCCGTTGGGTCAACAGAATGCATCGGCCCCGATGAAGATGGGTCTGTTCTTCCCGCGGCACGAGATCGTACCAAACATTAGTCAGGGCCAATGGCGTTTTACATACGACGCCAACACCGGAAGTCTGAAAGAGACGACCGATGGATGGAACTCGCCGCAGGATGAGGCCCGCGCCATCATCGAGAGCCAGTTGCTTTCACTGCGCTTGCGGTCTCGAGACCTTACCCAGAACCCTGGGAATGGACTTCCCGCCCAGCCACGCCGAGTTTATCTGGTTGGCGGCGGGTCTAAGAACAAGGCAATTGCCAAAATTGCTGGCGAGATCCTTGGCGGTGTTGAGGGTGTATATTCGCTCGACGTTGGTGACAATGCCTGCGCCCTGGGTGCCGCATATAAGGCTGTTTGGGGTATCGAGCGACAGCCTGGTCAAACATTTGAGGACCTGGTCGGACAGCGGTGGAACGAGGACGAGTTCATTGAGAAAATTGCGGACGGGTATCAAAAGGGGGTGTTTGAACAGTATGGTCAGGCCGTTGAGGGCTTTGAGAAGATGGAACTGCAGGTTTTGCAACAAGAGGCTGACAAGGCCAATTGAGGTGGAAACTGGAAATAATATAGACGTAAAAAAAAAAACATCGGACTAGAATTATTTTGGCATTATTTTAGCTATTTTAAAGCTTTATTATATAGTAGTGAGTAACTATAGCGAGTCGAGTACATATTGTCTGGTGTTGCATCAATCAAGCTCCCGCCTAGAAAATTAACTGTGTGCAAGCCCCTTGTCCTATTTAGGAAGACACAAAGAACATCACATTTCAATCCAAATCTCCTTAATATCTCTACTGGACATACTTGAAACTTTTGATTTGCAGACTTGACACTCTCTTGGCAAGCGAAGGCGGAAACCTGGTGCACGGGACCGATTACGATATCCAGGTTGAATACTCGCAGGTGATATCTCCTCCACCGAAAACAATTTTAAAAACAGCACACACCTCCTCTACATATTGATTTTCCTCTCTCCTTCCCACACCTAGAAGGGAGACTGGAAGATGGAAGAACAGGTGAGTCTCCCAATTATGTTCAGCACACTCGAAATCCAAAAAAAATAAAAAATAAAATCCCAATACCCCAAAAACCGCCCCTCCCCCGCCGTTTCAACCAACCCCTCCGATACCTTTTCCTCAGCTCAAAACACAATATGATTGACACATCCTAGGTAGCAAATGCAATTGAGATTGCCTGGAATCCATCCTCCGACCAAACCCTAAAAGCGCAAGCCTATGAATACCTTAACCAACTCCGCTCCGACCCCTCCGGATGGCAGGTTTGCCTCTCTCTCTTCACCAAAACCCCACAACAGCCCGAAGTCGTACGGCATGTCAGTCTCGAGATTGTCAACAGTGCTTCCCAGGTCGGCTTGATCGATCCGGCCTCGCTCGGCGTCGTTCGAGATAGTGTGCTAGCCTACATTCGTCAGACCTACGGCCCGGAGGCCACTGCCACCCCCGACGCCCATTATATCCAAAACAAAATTGCCCAGACCGTTACTTTTCTCTTCTCCTCCCTCTACGCGAACGGCTGGGAGACATGCATCGACGATCTACTGAACCTGACCAACAAATCCACGGGCCGGGATAACCAAGTTGGTGTTATCTTTTACCTGCGTGTGCTGAGCTCGATTCACGAGGATATTGGCGATGCCCTGGTTTCAAGGTCTCGCGTGGAACAGGACAAGGCGAATGCACTGAAAGACCTGATCCGTGAAAGGGACATGCAGAAAATTGCCAACTCCTGGCAGGAGATATTGGCGGTGTGGCGGGAAGGTGATGATACAATTGTCGAGATGTGCTTGAAGGCGGTCGGTAGCTGGGTCAGCTGGATCGATATTGGTCTTGTTGTGAACCAGACCATGTTGGACCTGCTCTTCCAGCAGCTTGGACGAGCCGAGAAACAAGACCTTCGGGAGGGAGAACAGCGGGTGCGTGATGCGGCCGTGGACGTCTTCACCGAGATCATTGGCAAGAAGATGAAGCCTTCGGACAAAATTGAGATGATCGCTTTTTTGAACCTCGACTCCATCATCACGCAGCTATCTAACAGTCCCCCGCTACGGGAGAACCGATTCACATTCAAGTACGATACTGATTTGGCAGAGACGGTTGCCAAGCTTGTCAACAACACAGTCGTGGATATTGTGCGGGTATTGGATAATGATGCTGGTCCCGTCAAGGATCAGGCAGAGAACCTTTTGCAGGTCTTCCTGCCGCACATCCTACGATTCTTCTCAGACGAGTACGATGAAGTCTGCTCGACTGTTATTCCTTGCGTCAGCGACATGCTCACCTACATCCGGAAACTCGCGAAGGCGACCCCATCTCTTGCGGAGCGAAACAAGTCCATCCTGCTTCCGATTTTGAAAGCCATTATTGCGAAAATGCGGTACGACGAGACCTCAAACTGGGGCGAGGAGGACGAGCAGACAGATGAGGCAGAGTTCCAAGACTTGCGCAAGAGACTCGGTGTTTTGCAGCAAATCATTGCCTCAGCCGATGAGCAGCTTTACATCGATGCGATCTCGGAGGTGGTGGGGACAACCTTCCAAAAACTACGGGCGTCTGGCGGGCAGCTCGACTGGCGTGACCTAGATCTCGCTTTGCATGAGATGTTCTTGTTTGGAGATCTGGCCGTCAAGGGTGGCAGTCTCTATCTGAAGGGCGCCCCTAATGGCATGGCTGCAAACCGTCTCATCGAGATGATGCTTGCAATGGTAGAGTCCGATATTCGATCGTTCACCCACCCCGCAACCCAACTTCAGTACATGGAAATATGTGTTCGTTATAGCTCATTCTTTACCCACCACTCTCATCTCATACCCGGAGTTCTGGAGAGCTTCCTCCAACTTGTGCACCACCCTGTTCGAAAAGTCAAGACTCGTTCGTGGTATTTATTCCAGCGGCTAGCTAGACAGCTGCGCAGCCAAATTGGCAATGTGGCACAGAATGTTGTGGAGGCATTGAGTGACTTGTTGGTTATCCAGGCCGAGGTGCCTTCGGAGGGCGATGACGGCGATGAGATGTCTTCCGAGGACCATGAGGGCTCTGCGGACGCCGTGTTCAACAGTCAGCTGTACCTTTTCGAGTCCGTTGGAATCATTTCCTCGACCCCAAGTGTCGCTGCAGACAAGCAGGTTCTTTACGCCCAGTCGGTGATGAACCCTGTCTTTGGTGACATGGAACGTAACCTCGAAGCCGCCAAGGCTAATGACCAACGCGCGTTGCTGCAGATTCACCACGATATCATGGCTCTAGGAACTCTTGCCCGTGGTTACTCCGATTGGCAGCCGGGTTCCACCTCTCCCTCTGCTCTCCCGGCGCCGGAGGTCTCGGCAGCTTTCGCCCAGGTGGCTGAAGCGACCCTGGTTGCGCTTGAGTCGCTCAGTTCCTCATTCAATATCCGGACTGCTGCTCGCTTTGCGTTCTCGCGACTCATTGGTGTTCTGGGCGCGCAGATTCTTCCTCAACTGCCCCGATGGATCGATGGGCTCTTGACGCAGACTTCGTCCCGTGATGAGATGGCGCTGTTCCTCCGCCTTCTAGACCAGGTCATCTTTGGGTTCAAGGGTGAGATCTATAGCATCCTCGACACGCTCCTGACTCCTTTCTTGCAGCGAGTCTTCTCTGGCATTGCCGATCCGACAACCGGAACCGATGACGAGATCCAGCTTGCTGAGCTAAAGCGAGAATATTTGAACTTTTTGCTGGCTGTGCTGAACAATGATTTGGGCGCTGCCATCATTAGCGAGAGAAACCAGTCCATCTTCCAGACAGTGATCACCACCATCGAACACTTTGCCAAAGATATCGAGGATTTCACAACTGCCAAGATGGCGTTCTCCGTCTTGGGCCGTATGGCAAGCTGCTGGGGCGGACCTGACATTGCCCCTGCCCCTGCCAATGGCACCGCACCTGTCCAAGCCGCACTCCCCGGCTTTGGTGGATTCATGATCTCCCGGTTCTCGCCTCTGTGCTGGGCACTCCCCACGACACCATCTTTCAACTCGAAAGATGCACAAGCCAAGCAGGTCCTTGCCGAGGCCGGCGCTTTGCAGCGCACTATCTACTCTAAGACAGGCATGGAATATGCGGAATACTTGCGTAGTCAGGAACTGCCCGGTATGGGCATGGGAGCCGATCTCATCGAAGAGTTCCTGTCCGCAATGAACCAGCTGGACGTGAAAGGGTTCCGGCAATTCTTCCCGGTATGTGCTACTACTGTCTTATACTCCTAATGTTTTCGACTGAAGTGAAATCATTCCCACTAACATGCAACTTTTCACAGTCATTCATCCAACGATTGAGCGCATGAAGTTTCCTTTTCTCCTCTATCTGCTTTCTAGATTCCCCCATCCATTTTCCATATTTACGTTTTGACGCGACGAGGTGACGTCTCTCCTCATGTTGCCCTATGCCCCTCGCCATCTTCTATACCATCTACTCCCATCCCATTCCAATACCGATACCAATACTTGCCCACCTTGAACCCCAAGAATAGTGCTGGATCAAACTCCCGGGCGGCAAATCAGAAAGAACAAAAAGAATTTACCAAAAAAGTTCCGAGTATATAGCTTCTTGATTCCCGTTGATCTCTTCTGCTCATGGTGCATTCGCATTGTGGTGTTTCATTTGTATCCCCCGCCCCACCACTCCTCAGCGTATCCTTTTTTTGCCCTTCGTCTCTTCTACAGGCTTCATAAGATAAGACCGAAATGGGTTTACTATTTTTGTTTCTCGTGTCTTCGGTTATGGTTATTTCAAACTTCAATAGGTGTGAACTTGAGGAGGTAGATCATGAAATGAAGAGGTAGAGTTACCCTAAATAATTCGACAGCTTATGTAGTTGGCGTCGGTGTCCAGGGGTATGAGCCAGATAGTCTGATTTACCTGCAAGTTTCTATTTCGAGAACATAGGAAGGTTTCCACTCAATTATCGAACTCCACCTTGAAGTGTCCTATAACCTCTATAACTATTGGCAGTGTCTCAGTACGATATTAATCACTGGGATAAAAATAGCATCAGTTATCATACTAAATACTAGTGCAAGTGCCGGTGTGTCAAGATACCATCTAGGTGATTGGCACTAAAACAACCTAATCTCACCTTCTAACATTTATATTCAGGATTGGAGTCTTCAAGAGAAACATTGAAGTTCCAATAGCCAATCCCACAATCCACAATGGCTCAGAATTACTTGACCGGCGCTTGCCTCTGCAAGAACATAGTATACCGTATTATGTTGCCCGCGTCAGAATCATTCCCTAAGGTATGATTTATTATTTATCTCCATCTATCCATTTATCCAATCAGAAAAATCCCCATTCACCCACTGATATCGCTAGGTCATTATCTGTCACTGCACCAATTGCAAACGCTATACCGGCTCCAGCTTTTCCGCCAATATCATCGTGCCACAATCTAGTCTGGAGTACGTCAAGGGGTCACCCAAGTTGTATTTGGATCGCGGCAACAAGGGCGGACAGGTATTGCGCGAGTTCTGCCCTGATTGTGGTACGCCGTTCACGTCACGATCAGGCGATGATGAAGAAGTCGTTGCGGTGAAGTCGGGAACACTCGATGAAGAGCACCGACTTAATTGTGCGAAATTGGTAACGGAAATATACTACCATCGAAAGGATAAATGGGTGGATGATATGGGGAATGAGGATGTTCAGAGGATCAATGGTAGTATGGGCGGTTAGGGAGATAAAAGAAAAATTACATCTCGTTGAGTACATATGAAACTTCAGAATCTGGGTATTCTTCGGCATAAGTGAGCATTTCACGTATTTTGGCTCCCTATTTTCATTTGGCTATAAGCTGACCAGGAAGGAATACAAATATATTGTAGAAGAATCATATAAAGTCCCGTTGTTACGCTGATAGCTAGGGAGGGGAAATTCAAATAAAAATGGGGAATAAAACGTGCATCTGTAATTGAACAAAGCAAAGAGGCCTTCCCTCCACCATAATTTCGTCATGGCAAGGAGTCATCGGCGTAGGGAATAAATCATGGAAAGGGCTTCACCAAACTGGTACTGCTGTTAATCCGCGAGGCGAAGGACGCTGCCTCGTGGGTTTCCAGTTTCTGTGGATGGCGGTCCTTCACATTGCCCCAGGCTGTGACACTTGTGGTCTTAGCCCTCATAGACTTACACTCAACGAACAACACTTTTTTGATGCTCTCCTGTCGGACATGGGTAGCCACGATGTTGGCGGGAGCTCGTGTGTTTTCAGAGGTGTAGGGTTCAGGTTCAGGTTCAGGTTCAAGTTCAAGTTCAAGGCCATAGCCTTGCTGAAGAGGGAAGCACAAGCGCAGAATCTGTGTCCACAGATGATCTATTTTGTCTTCTTTGCATCGCTCAACCTTTTTTTGACATAGAGGCCGATCATTTGATTGTCCGCATACTGTGTAGGCCACCCCGTTAGCAACTCAATTCTAACACAAGCAATACTAGACTTACGGATGCAGACAATCTCAAGGCACGGCCAGCGTGCTTGGCTTGAGTATGTCCGAGGTATGCGTAGAATTCGGTGGGGTGTGGAGGAGCTTAGATGAGAGAATCTTCAAGGGCATAAGCACAGATATTTATACTACATTGATATTGATATCAATTGTAAATTTGTAGCCTATTTCAACTACAACAGTCTACCCTATAAAGATTTACCCATTGATTTTGAATTCTTCCTTCTTCAACTACCCTCTCTACAATACAGTATAATTCAATTCAGATTCACTTCAGATTCACTTTAGATTTAGAAGTCCCTATATTATACGTATTATAATAGAAGGCTTCTTCTATCTAAGAAGGGAGTAAGATCCGATTGTTATGTACGATAATACTCCTAGGCATACTACTAAAGAGACTCTTGATTTCCTCGACGAGCTGAGGGTTATTGTGATAGAATAGCCTACCTTTTTACCTGATTTAAACTCTATTAAGGAGGCATATAACTAGATGAAGGATTATATTAAGAGAAAGTATAGGGATCAGCACCTTCCTTTATCGAAGCTTCTTGGTGTGGTTTAGGAGCCCTAGGGTTTAGGAGCCCTAGGATACTGTACCGGAGGAATTCCTATCTGATCTGATTGATAGTATGCCATTGAGGTGCCAGGCAGTGATTGCGGCTAGTACCTACTACATAGTAAGTAAGATAGTAAGAAATTGGGAGTTAAGAGTTGAGAATTAGGAGTGCAAAGAGCCCAGCTTTTAAAAAATTAATATAACATGCATTCGGTAACTAGTTAGCTAGCATATATCTAATAGAAACCATACCATCCTAACAGAATCTCAGTAAACTAAGCAAGGTCATGATGATCCCTCTATATATTAGAATATCCATAAATCTTCGCTCCTAAATCTTTAAACGTCTAAGAATCGCTTCTAGTTTTCAATTCACAGGTTTCTAGCTAGATATGTCTGAACATTCTTGTATCTGCGTATTTTGTGGAGTAGCCATTTGCCATAAGCCTCTTTGGGCGGCAAGGTACCAAGTGTGTTGAGTTGGACCCCCATGTTATTATAATTACTCCCTTACGCCGGTCTCATCCACCATAGTGTATTCGACCCGAAGCGCAACCCAGTTATCAGATATTCAAACAACCGAGTTTGACTGGCGACTCATATACCGCTGTACGGCGAATATTGACCGCCGGTCCCATGAGCACCGTCAGCACGACAACGGTGGAAAAACAACCGATGGCTAAGAGAAAGATATTCGATGACTACAGCTTCGAACGAGCAGATTGTCTCCAACAAAGAATTACTTGGCGAATTATGCTGGAAGGAGGTTTCTTCTGGGCTCCGATGCGATAGAGATGGCATGAAGTTGAAAAAAATGGAGGAATTGCCACATGTGCCAGAGAAAGCATACCCCCTTTTCTCAAGTCGTTCTGTTAGAAAGCTCTATCATCGGCTTAGGTGTGTATATAATACGTGAGGGAACATAGACCTATGTGACTGGTTTCGACCTGCTGAATGCAGATCGGGAAAAGCCAAACCTGATTCTTGGGTATCGGCTACCAGGGCAATCCGTGACAGTCAATCTCCACGGCGAGAAACTGATAGGATTTGCGGCCGTCGTGGGCGAAGCTGGAATCCATGCAATACGTCCCATCTTCAACAAGAAGATCATTACCAGCTGGATAGGCCTACCAGAGGGTAGTGGGATCAGAAATACCACCGAACTGCTCCTTGAGCGAGACATCAAAGATATTTCTGGAAAATTCGATCTAAGTCACGTAGATGCCCCAGCTAAATGTGTAGCATATTGTAACCCTAGGTTAGTATTGCAAGATGGTTGGTCTATCTATAGCATAGGTAGAACCCAGACACGAAACTTCTTTTGCTACAATTTCTCATTATGTAGAAATACCACGGTTTGTGACCACTTGGTTCCCAGTGAATACTACCAAAGTGTTATAACTCAGACCTAAAAGATAGACTTTGATGGTGCTATACTGCCGATATAAGAGAAAGGAGACAAAATCCAGCAGGGTAAAAGAACTTCAGTTGTTGAATTAAGCATGTACATGTTAGAGATAACAATAAGAAAGATTGTATCAGATACTAATAATATACTTCTAGTTCTTCAACAACGTATTTTCAGGGTCCTTTTCATAGGTCCTCATATTCTAGTTGTAAACTAGTATACAGAGACCTCCCCTATATATAACTGGGAGACTTCCGTTTACCGGATATAGCAGCAATCTCCTTAGCATCAGTTTTGTCTTGTCATTCGAGACCCCAGACCCATTTAAATCATCGACTTAACAATCTGGCGCTCACTTGAGCCAAAAGAGAACCAATCAGATTCAGTTTACAAAAGAAATACGCAAGACAAGAAGTAGAACATCATAGGTTTGAGATTAGGAGTTAAAAGAGGAGAGCACACACTATGCAAAGAGATACTTGGCCGCATGTTCAATATGGTCGTCCGCAAAGGTGGCCATGGTATAATAAGAGTGGTCATAGTCAGGTTGGTAGCGAACGTTCAAGCCGGCGATGCCTGCGTCACGGGCCGCGGCTTCAAAGTTCTCCGGAAGGAGTTGGCCTTGTTTGTAGAAGTTGTCGCCGGTGCCCTATATATGGATTAGACGTCATACGAGTACACAATGGATGGAGGAAGACGATTGAAATAGAAAAAAAAGAAAAAGAAAAAGGACAGAAACTCACCACATCAATCAGAATATCCAGCGGACCCGCACTCCACTTCTTAATCAACTCAGTAGCATCGTGCTCCTTCCACTTATCCTGCTGATCATCGCCGAAGTAGCCCTTGAAAGCCTTCTGGCCCCAGGGGCAGTTTGTCGGGTTCGTGATCGGCGCAAACGCAGAAACCGACTTGTACTTGCCTGGGTTGCGGAGGAACTGATTGATTGGTTAGATAGATGACACCCCAACCCAAAAGGATATGTAATTTCTAGCTCTTTTTCGCCATATAGCGAATATCTGGATATTATCAGATAGGTATTGCATAACTTACCATAGTGAGAGCACCGTGCCCACCCATACTGTGGCCGGTAATACTAACACGACTGGCATCCAACTGGGAGAACGCAGCAAAGACGGTCTGCGGCAGCTCGTCGGTGACATAGCTATACATGTTATAGCCGGCGTTGTAGGGAGCTTTGGTGGCGTCGACGTAGAAGCCGGCACCGGAGCCGAAGTCGTATGCGTCGTCTTCGCCTTGGATGTTGAGACCGCCTAGAAAATGGGTATGTTAATTATATATTTTTCTTTATATTTCAACAGGATAACTTGAATTGATGGAAAGTATGGGCAATTGACGCAATAAAAGATGATAAGGTAGACACATACGTGGGCTGGTATCAGGGTACAGCACGGCAATTCCCTTCTTGCTGGCGCTGTGTTGGAAAAAGCCCTTCTCGGAGCAGTTCTCGGCGGTGCAGGTCAGGCCGGAAAGGTAGATGAGTACGGGGACCTTCTGTGTCTGGGCTTGCGGGGGCAAGAAGAGGTTGAATTTCATCTCGCATTTTGTAGTTGTAGCGGCATGGCTTAGCTTAAGGAGCTTGCCGCCGAAGGAGGCGATGGTTGCGTTTGTGGTGACGGACATTTTGAGGATGGAGATGGAGTATATCTTACGGAGAAAAGAAAACTGAGAGTTCAGAAACCGGGAGACGTTGACGTTTTTATGGGGTGGGGGGGATTTTGTCCCGCATGAGGGGAAAAAAGGTCCACTTCGACAGGATTATTCTTCCTATTTGGGGTTTTTATAGAACTACCTAGGTGCTTTGTACATAGAAATACTCTAACTAACTATGTATCTAGGTCATATTTGATATTAAGACTTATAGCTATTGCATTGAACATTGTCTAGTATATTAACTTCACCTTAAAATATGACACAATAAGTGGACATTGTTTGGTCTATTAACAGTAACCTCTTGAAAGGTCGAGTATGCAGAGTCAAATCATATCGCTGCCCACAGTGGAGAAAACGCCAAGGTAGATATATACACCATAAGAGAGAAATAGGAGAAACATGACTCCAGATTCACTCCAAAAACACCGGAACTCCATAAACCACCGGCGCCGCGCCGTTGAGATACCTCAACACACACGCACCCCTCGACCGCGCAATTGCCGTGTCAAGCCCAACATCCTCTCCCGGACTCTTATCCTTCTTATCCTTCTTCTCGATCAGACCCCACGCGTCAAAAGCGGTCGTGGTAAACCGG